AGTTCTGATCAATGATGAATGCCAGTGCATGATGATCGTATGAATCAATGATGATAGCATAAGCGTTTCCATATGAAGCATATGAAAGGTTCCCCATGCAACATGGTATCCCAATGATGAAGCTGAGACTTCTTCCTTGCAACCCCAATGACCATCCACAGGGATCAAAGCAGCCAGAGATCATTAGTCTCAGGCTGTGAGTGCAAATTGTGCTAACAGTATCACTCTCAAGTGTTTCTCACCGAGAAACTAGACGCGACTTAACAGTCTGTGTTCGAATGGTCCAACAAATTCATATAAATCAATGATAGTTCTTGAACTTGTGATCTTTCTTCGCATTTTAGTAGTAGAGCCTGTTGCTAGACCCGGTAGTTGTTCACTCTCCCCCGAACCTGATCCGCCTTCCTCTGGACCCTCAGCTGGAGAGAACCATGATTGAAAACCATATCTTATCCAAGAATTCTAAATCTACCTTACTTAGTACCACCAGTACCACTTTATTACACCACGACTCATAAATCGATTCGATTCATCTTGTAAGTAATTCCACTGTAGTTCTCTAGTCTCCGTGATCCTAAACCACCGCCCATCCGTTATGGCGATCCAGGAAGCACCAGTCGTCGCCAGCCTCCTCGTCTTTTTCATCCTCTTCCCCTTTTTCGTCCTGGAGAATTAGAACTATCATCTTCAGCTGTTAGTCCGTCCCTCAATTCAATGCATGCATGCAATTGTCCCTGTTACCATCGTTCATGGGGGTACGTATCTATCCTTTAAGAATATCAACATGTCGTGTCATGCTACCTCATTGTCCATCCTGTCAAATGGGATTGTGAGGCCCTTTCAGCCTGTTGATCTTCTAGTATTTGTATTATACCAGGCTACTACCATTATAAATATATACATACATAGTAAGTACACAACTTCTTGAAGGACAACGATCCACATGAACAACTTCGAAGCCATATTTTAGCAGTTGTATCTATGAGGTAGCCTTAACAACAAAAGATCGTTATCGCACCAAACATCGTCCTCACTTCCCAAAACTGGCGGCATTTCCTCATACTCCTCCACCACGCAGAAGTCATCGGCTTCAGCCTCCGTAGTTTCTCCATCATCTGTTAAATAAGGGTTCAGACATTTATTCAGTGGATGCTCATAGAAAGTATTCAAGTAACAGTTGGTTAGGTTTCGGATACAGTGCATGTGGACAAGGCTACACAGCGGCTGCACCATACGAGGTAACAGTAAGACTATCAAAAAGCCACACAACGACCTAAAATTCAACTCGGGTAGAATGACAATTCAATGCCGACTGTGTAAAACACGAATCAACTTCGAACAAGTGTCGATCATCCTTATTGAACTAAAAGTCAAACTTCCCAACGGTCCCTACTACCAAGTGTTAAGGAGAAAATGAGGGTGGCTTTACCGAGCAAGACCTAAGACCAAGAGTTCAGACATTTATTCAGTGGATGCTCATATGAAGTAACAGTTGTCTGAAGGGTAAGTAGGTGCCTTTACTCGATCTACATGCGAGGTGCTGGTGACAAGACACTAAATATTCGGTCGTTCACGTTCTTACAGATACTTACAATATTACAATTTATCGAAATTCAGATGAAAAACTACCAACCAGGTCTTAGCTAGCACAAAACAAAAGTTTATGAGTTAGGAAGTAGAAGTACCAGGAGCATCAAGCACACAGAACTCCTCCTCATCCTCGTCTTTTTGGACGAAGCAAAAGTCCTTACTCGCTAACCCCTCCTCTGCATCCATCAGCATAAGCGTGTTGCTGATTCAGTTGTTGATGTTAAAAATCAGAGGGTAATCAAAGGACAAGAGGTTCATCCGTGAACGCGTAGTGAAGGCTCTTCGCGTATTACAAAATGCATTCATCAATTTTGAGTGCAACGTCAACCATTTTCATAGTATAACTTTGAGTGCAACGTCAACCATTTTCCTAGTCTCTTGCGCCAGTGGCTGGGAGCCCAGCAAAGAATGTATTCGAAAAACTGAAATACGCAAGTAAATGACTAGAATAACGCAGAAGATAGTACTGAAATGATCGTAGCCTTTCAAAGCTACCTCCCTTATTTCAGTCATTAATTCGGTTATTTCAAGAAGTTTTCGAATACCTTCTTTTCTGGGATCGTAGCCACTGATGCAAGAGACGGGCCAAGTTTTGCAGCAACATCGCACGAACTAGCACGTCAGAATGCGAGAGCGGACGATGCAAATCGTAATCGAAACTCAAGGGGATATTAGAGGTGAAGAACTCTTGAACATGTTTGATGTGTGACGAGGAAATGGAGAACCAGCTACATTTCTACTCAGATCCAATAGGAATTATATGCTGAAGGATACAACGAAGTGATGTAGCCCTCAACTAGTACTTGAAGATTTTTCCCCGTGAGCACGACAAGGTCTCGAAAGTAGATGAAGCATCAAAAGTACCACAAATAGTATCACATGCACCCGCTCTTCATCTTCAAGTCATAATATAAGCCAAACGGAGAGTAGACAGTCTCGTCGCTCCGAAGAGAAGGTCGCCTGCTGTCGTCGCAGACACAACTTCCAGTGGCGGTCTCACAGGTCCGAAAAATTCCCCTTTCGCATTTTTTGTACACAGCTGTCCTCCAGAGACACGAGTTGTACTTGTTCTAGTGCTCTTTCCTCTACTATAGTACCTCTTCTTGGCGCCGCAAGTTGGAAGTTGACATTTACTCTTGTACAAGTTGTTGTAACAAGGATCGCAAGAGCGCAACATCATCCTCTTACCGTACAAATACGGACAAGCAGTGTTGGTATTCCAATACGTGAAGGAGGAGGACCACCATGTAGAAGATGTGATCATGCTCCTAGTAGAAACCGTAACCGGTACTGGTACCGAAGTGGAAGAAGAGGAGCTGCTTGTCGATGGAACAGCAGAAGAAGCAGAAGAAGCAGCAGTACTTGATGAGGCAGCTGTAGCAACGTTCCGAATAGCTGCAGCATTCTGAACGATGTTCTGATGGGAGATTGTCGACGTATAGATCTTCTGTTGTGGCCCACGTGGTACGAAGGATCGCTTTCGCATCACGACATACTGCGGATCTCGCAATAGAAAATCGAATCTCCCAGCAGAAGACGTTGCTCTAGTAGTAGTACTGGAAAGACTCTTACATTGCTGGAGACACGCGGTTGACGTGGTTTCGCCAGAAGTATCTTAGAAAACGACTGTAGGACATCATGCACATACTAGTTCACGCAATAATTCTGTGACGCTGTTATTGGGTCAAAATCACCTCTATAAAGTTAAAAATGTCCAACAAGTCGATGCCAGTCTTCAAGTAGACCTAGGCATATCTACTTCGATTTCGAACGAATAGTGCCATTTGATCTTTCTGAGTAACACCTCCACCATAAGATGCGGTCTGGGCCACAGTGGATGGCATGAGCATCTTGTAAAGCCGCTGCTGCAGTAGTTTTTGCGGCGATCTGTGGTGGTGCCATAGTACTCCACTTTTAGTATCTACGGGTACCAACTCCCCTTTCTTGTTGCTGGACGACTGCGATGTGGACCAGCCAGACGGCGTGTAAGACGTCGGTCATAATGAAAAAAAGCAAAAGGAGCCTCAGCGCATGTAGTAATTTGCTAGAAAACTTCTGACTGTAGGAGATGAATCAGGCATATAATTCAATTATTGTAGGACACCAGCAGTGACGGACCCCTCGTCTTCTAATCAATTTCATATCGAATTTTCCTCAGAAACTGAAAAGGCACTGCATAATATTAGTAACAAGGACTCTCCCGAAGTTCGTCTTCTAGTTCTATTCTACTTTATGAAAAAATGAAAAATGAGATAACGGGAGCTCATTTGCTTTCTCGCCATAAAAAAGTTGGAGGATGGTCGTCCCACGCCGGTTTCGCGTTGATGACAAAGGTGACCCCTAAAACCGGAATATGAACTATCGGGCTCCAAGGTGTCATCAAGACGAAAGCCCGAACCTCCGCGGCCGTGTGCGTAGTGCTGTCTACCATGTTTGCGGCCCTGGAAGTACTTACCACAGTTCTACTAGAAAAAGTTCTTGCCTACAAGTTGTACTGCAGTCTAGGAGGTGGACGAGGTAGTGGCTTTTCAATTTAAGCTAAAGCTTTCTGGAGGTGCTGCGTTCTGACGAGTGAACGGGCAAACTCCTAAAAAACTGGGCCAACCGCGCAGGAGTCGGCTGCAGATGTTCTTGTGGCTCCACACCTTGGAAAGTAGAAGGCTCTTGATGTAGTACTAGTTTTCAAGAAGAGTACTTGAGTGGTATTAGTAGTTGTGGAGTACTATATGGCTCTCCTCGCTGCTCCCAATGACAGTGCTGGTGGGTACAACTAGGCTGCGTACTACTCCTGTGAACTCCGTCTAGTTGTAAAGTTGGACGAGGGTTTTATGAAGATACAGCTGGATCTCTTCCTGGACTCTAGTAGATGTAAACTGCTCGGAGTATCTCGTTCCCAGCCGTGCGATGCCTCTGGGTCTCCTCACCAATGCCAGCGGTATCGTCAAACAGGCTGTCAGTGTATCTTTTCTCCTATGATCGAACGAAGATTTTTTGGGTCTCTACTTTTTAATTCTGTCTCCTCTCTTTCTGTCTTTTTTCTACTTGTAACAATGTTCCTTCTCCCTCTAGTTGTTGTTCTTCTATCAGCCAACTGCTACTGAAGATTATAAGTATCTTCTCCACTATTGTCTCTTTATTCACTATAAATGGGGATGAGGTTGGATGGTTATTAATAGAAAGGGGGACAGGCCTTTTGATGCTTTGTTTTTAGCTCTCCTCGTATTCTTGTTTTTCTAGTTGAACACGTGTTACTTGTTTTTGGTGCTGTAATGGAAAGGGGGAAGAACTATGAATGGGATTGGGTTTGGGTTTGATGCTTGGTAGCAGGCTCACATTTTGCTGTTAACTCATTTACATTTTCTTACTTCAGACGACTAAGGTGGAAAAAAACTTGACTTCGACGATCCTGAATTCGTTCGACACCTCGACACCTCTTACCGATGATGAAGAAACCGTATTGAAGAAACAGCATGTCAACATTACATAGTATTCGACGTCCGACTTCGCAACAAATCTGTTAAGCAGGGAGAAGCTTCTCGCCCATTCCATTCCATGAAGTCTATCACTGGCTAGATACCAGCACCTAGACTATGCGATGCTCTGTACGCTCAAATGAGAAGACACAAGACACAAGTCTCTTATGATCATTTGCGCACACCTCTCAATTGTAACTCACTGCCGAACAAGCGACGGACATTCGTGGTCCGTCGATGGGGAGGCCAGCAAACAGAATTAGTAGTACATTCTAGATCTCCGAGGATCTTCTTCCCGTATGAAAAACAAAGAGTGTGAATCTGTCTATTTCGCGATTGTGAAACAAAAAAGCCCTTAGATGATAAGCGACGGATAGCCATCCAAGTATTTCCTTCTCTACTTTGCAACGAACTATAAATAAGACTGTGGCGCCTGCTTTAAGAGTTGTCGCATATGTATAATGCTACACGTCGCATACACATCTATCCATGATTCGAGTACTACGCAGCTCCCCCATGTGAAGAGACAGCGTCCTCTTCCTCAAGAATCAAAGGCTCGAGTAAAACGCTTTTTAAAAAAGTAGCAAATCAATACGAGTACTTTCTTACACCACTTCCAACGTGTGCTCTTGCTATGTGTGCTCTTCCGTCATGATGCAGCGAATGTAATGGCATGGAACCTCTTTCATAGCCTTTCGTAACTCGATGCGACGCCACCTGAGTAGCAGCTTTACATAGAAGATGCTCAGCTTAGAGCACCAGTATGCATGTAGAAAATTCTAACGAGCACCCTGCTCACTATCATCCATAAATATCTGAACTCACAGCATTTTTCTTCATACCATAAATCTAACCATTGAAATTTTTGAAAATTGAATAAGTACTGACCAAATAGAACTAAAAGTGGAGATGCAACGGAAATACTGCACCAGGACCTACGCCAGGCCTACTACGTACTAGGATGAATATGCTGCACCCATCGACTCTATTCTTTCTAGCAAGGAGCTCCAATTATACACGAGGACATTGCTGGAAATATTCGAGGCTGTAGAATACGAGTTCTAAGCGCGACGATTCGTATCTTTGTTGACAACTTGCGTGACGAGGTCCTCGTATAGTAGTACCACGTCGCCTACCTCCAACCAACGTACGATGCCACTTATTCTGAAGCCATGCTCTGGCATATTTTCCTAAGTAGGCACAACGGGCCCTAACACAAATCATTCCAGTCAGGTTCCCAAGTCCTTTCTTCTACCTGTGGTTGGTTCTGCTCAGCAGCGAACCTACGGCTCACAGTCCCAGTCGTGCTCTGCGACGGTCACCTTCACCTGTTCGGGGCTGGCGCTTGCCTGGGCCGTGGTGTTTAGAGCGCTTGCCGTGCCATGATCAGGCGCACTAGACTCCGCCGAGGCAGACTTCGTCGGCGGACCGCCTCCTCCCGCCTTGTTGCTATTTCCTCCTTCCGCCTTGCCCTTTCCCGACCCAGTCCCAGACACCATCGCGACAGCAACAAAGAGGCCAAGCAGTACAACTGCCCCGACAGCGATCACAACGGGTAAGAACCAAGATTCGTCGACAATGTCCTTATCATCTGTTGATGTGGAAGACGAAGTAGGCCGGGGAAGGCCGACGGGCTCTCCAGACCCGGAAAGGTCGACGGGCTCTCCCGATCCTCCTCCAATTTCACTGGGAGTGCCGCGGACTGCAGACGAGGCGAGCGCGGGCGGAACGCTCACTGAGGTGGCCGCAGCAACTCTTGCGAAGGCCAAGGAGAGTGCAAGCTCCCCCGTGTTAGCCACGTACGCGCCCAGGGCCGTCGTGTTGTCCATAGTGGCAGTTTGGGCGTACAGCTGCATCACCAGTGCGGCGGAAAAAGCAGTCTCCCCACTGTTGTTCACAGCCGCAAGGTGCGCGTTCGCGTAGAAACCTGTAGCATTTGTGCCCCCGGTTTCAGAGGAATAGGACGCGGTATACTCTGCCTCGGCGATGTAGTTGTCGGTCGCGCTGGTCAACGCTCTCCTCGTGGTCGTCTCCTCGGCTTCCTCGTTCTCAACAGCGAGGCTGCGTCGTTGCAGCAGAGAGGCTGCCGGAGCACAAGACTTGATAGTGACGGCACAGCTTTTGCTCACGGTGGGAGACTCCATGACGCTTTCCGCTTCCGCCAAACACGCTGCTTGGAGTATTTTCCTGGTCGTTTCGATAGAGTCGGCCGCGCAGAAGGCCGCACTCAGGGAGCCCGTTTTGCGAGTGAAGGCCACGGTCGTGGTTGTCACCGTTTTAACGTCAGACCCGCAAGTGTAGAAGTAGTGATGGCGACGCTGCGGCTCCACTTTTGCATGAAGATTTCGCGGATTGATCATGTAATCCAGCGCATCCACATCGGAACGCGACCAACAGCCTTCTCCGTAGTCGTACCACTTACCACGAGTCGTGCACTCATGCGGCGACCTGCCCATAGACATGCGCAGCAGCCCTCCACTATGGCACTCGTGGACCTGCAGGTAGAAGTAGGTGTCGTTCCCCATCGTCGGGTCCCGCATCTTGAGACACTCCCCCACCTTGTGCGAGCTTGACCACGTGAACATCGGTTCGCCAGTACCCTCTTGCTCGTACTTGACCCAAGCAGGGTCAAGGGCGCGGTCTTTGCAGGATCCCGTGTAGGCCGTTTGGTTAAACAGCTGTAGCGAAAACGTATCGCGTGGCGCGGTCTTGGGAAACGTGTTCGGAAACGCGACCACAGTCGGAACGCACTTGTTGCCCCTCGAGTAGGGGCTCTTATGAGGAAAGAGTAACGCTTCTCCCCCCTTGCAGAAGGTCAGCGGATTGTATGCCACGACTGTTGCACTCAACGCAGGCACAGAATGAAGAGGCTGCGTAAACGTGGCTTCAAAAGATACTGTCATGGGATCAGCCCCAGCCGGAGTTGTGTATACAATGTACCGATCTCGGTAAACAAGAAATTTCCGCCTTTCGCCCCCCACCATTTCCTCAAACGTAAACGGGTTTGTCCTCAAATAAGAAATGTAATCCGGTCGAGTGTCATAGAAACCCATGAGTTGGAGACCTTTCCAGGCATTTTCTTCCAGATACGTCTGAACCTCTGTCGGCACTCCAGCCGCGTTGATGTTGGGAAGCGTCGCGTTGTAGAACTTCGTGAACGGACCGACGCCGCAGCGCGTAACAAGTTGGTGCACAAAAGGAAGCGCCTCGGAATCCAACGGCGAAACAGAGTAGCCCAGCACGCGATTGAAGTATTTGTACGCGGGAAACTTGGTGTACAACAGCAAACCCTTGTAGCAAGTTTCCTCTAAGAAGAGGGCCAACTTGGTAGAGCCCAAGCGCAGCTCCTGCCACGCTTTGAGCGTCAGATTTACAGTGGCCGAAATCTCCGCCGCCAGCGCATACTCTCTCATTTCGGGGTTGCTTACCACTTCGGGCAGTGGAGTCGGTGTCTCGCCGTCCGGGAAAGCCACGTGGTAACGCACCAGATGGAGATCGGTTGCGTTTTCGATGCCTGGCAACACTCCGTTGGGAACCTTGTAGCTAGAAGCACACGTGGTCTTCGAGTTTTCACACTCTTGGAGATCCTTCTGGTAGGCACCGGTACCGTATGGGTCGAACTTCCACGTAGAATAACCGACTCTCGGGTCATAGGATTCCGACCAGCCTCCAAACGTCATCATCACATAGTCATCCTGCTGAAAGTAATCCTCAGCATTCTCCTTGTACTCGAAACAATATTAGAGCAGCCTACTTACGAGATGGCCTTCTTGGTGCCCGCGGCCTGGTGCCATCAAGATCAAGGCCTCAACTTACTTTCTACAGGAACTATCAAAATATAACGAATACGCAAGAGATAACACGCTTGTGATGATGGTGCTCCGTCAAGACGTCCATGATTCTGCATCCCTCAAATACAACCCACACACAGCGTTAGGGAGTACTCTGATGAATGCTCCGCGCATCCCAAACTTGACAGGGGCAGGAAATAGACGCCTATTTCAGACCCTTGATATTCATGTGCTCTATCAAGTTCCTTATTGTATATCTACTCTTGAAGGAATTCTGCAAGAACAACGACAAGAACTACACCAAGAATATTAGTGTAAGTTCTTGTCGTTGTTCTGTTAGAACTACACCAAGTATCTCCAAGTACTAGCGTAAGCATTCCTCTACTAAGCACCTCCTAACCTAGGACGAAAAGAAAAATGTGTGGGGACAACTAGAGGCCTTAATACCAAGTGATCGGTACGGTAAAATTCACGGCGCGATACGGTTCTCCGACGTTCGCGGTGCCGTTAGGTAGCGGTGCAAGCGACGGAACAATCGTTTTCGTCACCGGGCCGGTAATATTGTAGCCTGCGTGGTATTCAAAGGCGTTGAACTGAGGCAAGAGAATGTGCTCAACATGTTCCCACTGTAGCTGAGTAGAAAAATTGCCACTCAAATCCTTTCGGTCCTCACCGTTTCCTAACGAGAAAGTGAACTCCGACTCCAGCTTGTATTGTGCACCCGGAAGCTTCACCGCAAGAGTCCCGTCATATTTCCCGTTAACGTACGCATATGAAAGAAAAGAAAAAAGGGGAGCCCATGATCCTCAAGAAAGTATATTTTTAACTTGGCACGTTCGCACGTACCTTTTCTTATCACCAATAAGAAAAGAACAGCTTTGTTTCTTGTGAATATCTATAGGATCGTAGGATACTAGGAATTGACTCGCCGTCCACAGGGTGACGTATAGCGGCGTCAGAGCGAATTATATGTGCAGCCACAGAAGGACTTTTTGCTTTCATAACGGAAATCTCCTCCACATGTGAAAGTGATAATCAGAAGCGGCGACGAAAAACACGGACGACGTCAGGAATGCGGATTCCAGAGAGCATAGTAGAATAAGCAACATCCAGGGAATGGGAGTAGAGGTCATCATCATGCCAGAGTGGTGCACGACCCCGCGCGCGCGGGAGGATCCTTGCGTGCCAGCAGACTGGGATAGCAACATCTTGTAGCTAACCGCGATGTGGAAGTACTCTGATAACAAGTTCTGTGATGATCGTAACCGCCCGTCTTCGATGATGATCGTGATGATGAGTTGTTTCTTATAACTGATATTGTTGCTCGCGTCTAATACACAGGCGACTTCGACTAGCCTTGCTGCAGCTTCAGATTAGTACCACAAAGAAAAGCCTGCACTTCGAGTGGTAATTACTTACCTTTAGATTTTAAACTCCGGCCACACCTTCAACAAAATTATATAATATGGATCTACTTAATAGGTGCAAACCTATTGGTACTACTTGGGAGAAAAACCGAAAACCATGCAATAATTGTGAAGATATGCGTTTAGTCTTTCTGTCGTCTATTTGCGACACTAATTTTCCTTTCATCTGTTCGGAAGAAATATTATACAACCTTCTTTCGCAAGAAAAACTGTTGGTGAGAGAAAAATGATCATGAAGAAACTGTGCGTTTTGGTGAGAGAAGGTTGATGTTCATAGGGAGTGAGAGAAAGTTGAAGCCCTTGCAAATCGTAGTCAAAGGTGGTTGAGACTGATGATAGAGGACGTTCTCCAGCATAAATATTCGTTGTTGCACAAAAGAATACAGCGTTAAAGACTCCCTCAACAGAGTTCAACTCTCACAGAAACCAGATTACAATTACAAGCTTTTCGATGGAAGTTCGACGCACCAGCAGAGGTGGGCGCAGAGAAAGCAAACATTTAGCGTGTGAGTCTAAATTGTAAGACTCTTTCTCTTCATATCACTCACTACACTCGCTTCTTTAGACCACTCGTCTCACCTACAGAGTTCAACCCGCCTCACAGAAAAGAGCTGCCGTATCTCGCATGCACTCGTTAGATCACATCGTCATCATCATACTGCATCCCAAACGACCATACTTGTTCATCGGCGTGATGATACATTTCCTGCGGTTGTGAAGACGGCCGAGGAAGCGTTAAACCTACTTGAGGTGCCGTTACATCGTTCTTTGCTTTGGGGGAACTTATAAGAAGATCACACTCGTCTCTCATTTACAATGATTACTTTTAGACCAAGGGCTTCGATTTATATTTCGTTCGGAAAAGGTACTCGGGAACTTGGATGAAACTCACGTGGAACACAGTTTCGATCTATTCGACCCACCAGAAGCCTGGGTGGGCGCAGAGAAAGCATGCGCTTCAAAATGCGCTCGAAGAGCTCTAGCTCCTTTCAGACTCTCTCTCAAGAGCCCTCTGACTCTTTCAAGACCCCTGACAAAAGAGGACTACTTCCTGCTCAGAGTAAACGGAAAACTGAAGTAACCGAGTATCCCAGAGAATGTTCGATCACGTGGGAAGCGTTCTACTAGGTCGACGTCTCTCCTTCGCACCTATTAATTCAAGTAGACGTCTGTTTTCCTATGCAGACGTCTTGTCTTCATGAAATTTCTTTGACTCGCAGAAAAAAACAAGTGTCATTCACATCGAAGCGATGCTGTTGTTTATGGCTTTGATTTAAAACTCCTCTCAACGTTAGATTGTTTGATGATGTTCATGTTCTTGTTACCTTATTGAGTTCCAAATCTTCTTCGACAAAGATGTGTGATAAGTAAATCCACCTTGCTGTTGTTCCTTTGTTCATTATATTGCGATTTATTCCACATCAGAGCATATCATCAATCAATGCGTTGTTCTTTCTCTCTGTTACCACACCAATTGATGCGTCCGCTCGCTCACCAAGAGCTGTCCGAAGAGGGGATCATACTTCGGTCGCAGCTGTCCTCTTGGGCCCAAAAGCTTAGCCCGGATGCTCATTTGTCCTCGATAGTCAAGCTGTGGGAGGTAGAAAGTATCACGCCCAACCCGCGACAACGAAAGTTCTTGTATGAAGAGGGGCTGCAGAGATGATGGGGTCGTGGGAGGGATAGAGAGGTAAACGCGCAGCTGCAGAGATGATGAAATTATTGGGAGGAGAGGGTATAATTGTGGTGGAGCAGACCTGTAACTAGAAAAAAGAAAGACCAGAGGAAGATGGAAAAGAGAACAGGGTAGTTGTCATCAAGTATCCTCCTATCTGCTAAATCTAATAAGGAGTCTGTCCAAGAACAACTACGACAAGATACTTACATCCCTCCATTCGTGGATACTTCCCATTCGTAGATACTTCCCTCCATTCGTGGAATAGAAATCTTCAGACATAATTTTAGCATGCAGTAGCCGATGTATGGCGTGATAACTGCTTGTTCGGCGCCAGTCGGGTCCACAGAGCTTTTCATTTGTTTCTGGAGAATATTGCGCGTCAAGTTTAGAGGGCCAGTAAACGTAGTGACACCGTATCTTCTCGCCATTCCGCCTGTACCGGTCAAACATCGCAGTATCCAGGAACGATCGCAGATAATCTACGAGGGAGAGAAGACGGTGCTTGCGCAGAGGAAGAGGTAGAGGTGTACAAGTTAGACGTTACTACTTATAAATATTCATCCTGAAGAGCATTTTTGACGCGCTTTCCCCTCAGGAAAGCTGTCAAAGATGCTTCTCAAGATGAATTGCTGTAAGCCTTAATGTAGGTAGAAGTTTTGTTTGACCTTCATTTTCTTTGCTGGTCGGCGAAGATGTTGAGTTACCAAGTACTGTCCCTGCCGTACCAGAAAAATCAACATTTTCTTTGAGACGCAGTCGCGTGGTTTTGTTTCTTTTAGTCCCCTGAGGAGCAAATCGTAGATGGCTGCGCTCATCAACTTGAGCACGTACGTCCTCGGACTCTGAAATCGTTTTCACGGCTTCCACTTCGTCTTCTCGAAATACGAAGAGGCTCTTCCTTTGTATGCCTAGGTGTCGTGTCTGGCCTAGGTGGCGTTCATGCTCTGAGGAAGAAGTCTCTTGTTGAGGGTGTTCGTGTTCACCCATGTTGAAGTGGTGAGAAGACGTCTGCAGTTAGAGCCCAGCAAGAAAGTGTTTCACTTCTTGCTCCCAACATGACTGACACTTTCTCAGAACGAATCCTAAGAAGCAAATAACGTCGGTGAGAAATGACTTACAAAAATGACTTACAAAAAAGACTTACAAAAATGAGCCTTAATGCAATTGCAGTGGCAAAATCAGATTCCAGTCGTCCTCGCGCAAGAGTTCCCTTTCTTCCATCAACCGCATGGGCCACTTGATCAAAAACGGACCGTTTTCGCTGTTAAAAAGCTGCTGAAACAAGGGCCAGAACGGAACCTCATACAGGTCCGACAAAAGGACGGGGACACAGCCAGCGAAGAGTGCGCGAACGAAACGCGTTGTGTAGCCACTGATGCCGCGAGGGATAAAGCATATTAGAGGTGACGCATGATGTAAGTAAGAGGAGAAATATTGAATTGTATTAAGTAAGAGTGAGTAGCTTCGTTGTAACAAATTCAGACGATTAGAGGTGAGGTTAAGATTTTTTCTTCTCATGCGGTATCGGTATCAGACATTAATGTTAATCTTCGATCCTCAAATTTCAACATAAACAAAACAAGCTTCCTCCCTGTCCGATGAGGCCTTCTTCAGCGGGAACGTCCTGTGCCACGTGCAGATCTGTGTATTCTGGGTGAGCAAACGTCTCACCATCTATAGACTTGTCACTGTCCTCCCGCATCCATCTTAGCAACGCCCCTCGCGGCCCCTCACCGCCACCCAAAGCCTTATGAATTCTCCGATTCCAGCCGATAAAATCTCCACGGCGATTAGAGGACCTTGCTACTGTTATTCATCGCGAAATGCATTTTCGTTAACCTAGTATTCCTTTTCCCTTTCTTGCATCAACAAGATAGCAAGCCATAGATGCTGCTCAGCCTCAAGATGCATTACGTCATGTGGTCGCTCCATAAGATGGACGTTCAAGCTGAACTTTCTAAGGAGCTGGATCACATAGAAGCTCTAGTAAACTAGCTTAGAGGACCTTGCAACTGTTATTCACCGTGAAATGCAGCTTCTAATTTATTACGGGGGTTAGAAGTCTTAAGATACAAACGATCCTCGGGACTTTGGTTCAACTCTAACTACTCTAACCATAAGATACAAACGATCCGCGGGACTTTGGTTCAACTCGAGTTGAACGCCGAGCTCTCGCGCATGCACTAGTGGCGGCACTAGTATGTCCTTGGCGAAGTTGTAGCTTCCAGAGGTCTGCCACTCCTCGAAGTAATTCCACAACTCGGGTTCGTTTGAGATTAGAATATAATGTGGACTTTCTGGACAATCATGGCTTACAGGTTCGTTGGTAGTTGGGTAGTTTCTTTCATGTCAACTTATTTACCTATCTACCCATCATGGTGAGGCTGATGATTGGCTTTGATCTACTCAAGTTCACTGATCCACCTATCATGATCCAGCTAGAAATTACAATTATCGATTGGCAGCATAACATGATAAAAATGCTTTCCGCAATGTAGTCTCGCCAGCTCCGCATTGGTCCGTCCGCGCCTTCTCCTCCGCTAAAAACGAATATGTGGTCTCTACCATTACTAAACGGAAAATAGGCCAACTTCGGCACCAATTGCTCCAACAGCTGCTCTGATACCGTGTAGTTAAACGTCCCGATCTGCGTATGGCAAGCCGAATACTGCGGAACGAAGAAGAAATCTGCTTCCTCAGGGATTAACGTTCGGCAGGCACAAGACAGGAAGAACTGATGCAACAAGACTTCGTGACCCCACTGCACATCTCGGCAGAAATGTCCACCGCGAGTCAGAAGAGGTAGTTCTGGATAGTACAACGGATCGTCCACATCGTACACGTAAACTTTGGATTAGTAGAGCTCAAAACAGTAGTTCACCCTCGTCATCGTCCCATATTATCCTTAAAATAGAAGATGCCTCCCTTAATAATATTTTTCCAGAATCTTCCGAAAGAGGGAATCATAAACAAGAAAGAATTCTGCTTCTCATATCTTACATGCGGAGACCGCCTTATAATTGAATGACTATGCATTGGATCAAGCCTTAATTGAATGCTTGCCGATTCCATGCTCGTGGGACTCCTTGCGGTGCAGAGAGACTTTCTTGGAGAGCTACCAGACTTTCGTGGGACTGTATTGGTGGAAGGCCTTTTCCTCCTGGAGGGCCATCTTGCAAAGCCGAGAGTTTTTGCAGCAAGTCCATGTCCGACTGCTCTTCGTCTAACTGTGCAGCTGTCGGATCCCCATATGAAACTGCACGCGCTAGAGACGTGTCAACAGGCTTTTGGTGGAAAGCGTTTTGCCCGTGATAATCGGGTGGCACTGAGATTAGAGCACCTGCTGTTGACAACTCCTTTTTAAGTCCATAGTCTAAAGTTCATATAGACTTGAACGAAGGGGTAAAGAAGACCTTGGAACTTCTCTTGCTTCTACATTTTTCGTTCTATTTACACGAGCAAACGAACTACGTTTCTACTTAATGAATCCACAGTCCGCTCTAGTGTTTGCGTATGCGACCTTGCCAATCGCCGTGCTGTGACTGGCCACCACAAATATTGTCCTTCCTGGACATAGTGGACAATTCCATCTTGGTCTGCATGTGCATGTAGTTCAGTGTTTGTCTTATTTTCAGAGATCTCCGCGTCCTCCTCCACCACCAATCTCTCCACTCGTTCCCAGTTTGAGAGCTGACCTAGCCTTTCATCGTCATACAAACCTAGTTGAGCCCTCGTGTCTAAGAAACGGAAAACGCGCTCGCCTTCTATGCTTTTACGTAATACGGCTAGGAACTTCTCAAACAGGTTGTCTTTCCGATTCAGGTCGTCCTTTGAGTCCTCTAAAGATAAAGGTGAGGATGCATCAGCCGTCTCAGCCTCCCTTTTTAGAAACCGCAACAAATCTAAGTGATCTAAATCCTCAAGCTGCTCCTCAAACGACAGGGTAGACGAGGAATCATCTGTTTGTCCAAGCTTCTCCTCAAACGACAGGGTAGACGAGGAATCATCTGTTTTTCCAACAGAGGAACCTTCTGTTTTGCCAGTCCTTGTCGAAGAGAAATATGCTTCCAACACCGCGCGAATTTCCTCTGGTGAGAGACCACCTGCTGGCATAGAAGGATTACGATTACCAATCCCTTTCGGCGAGTCTGCAGTGAAGAAACCTCCAGACCCATTTACAACTTCTTCTGCGAAGGCATCTCCATTTTGACCATCGCCAGGAGAATTTGAACTGCTCAGCCCTCCGTCTTTAGTACTACTCATCTTTGAGCTTGAGGAGATATCTGCTTCTTTCCTTGCGGAATCGGACAACAGGCTTCCCGTGATAATGTCCCTTGCGTGTGTGCTCAGTAGATTATTCGTGTCTGCGACATTTTGGGTGTCTAGGATGTCCGGGTGCGTCGCCGTAATAACCTGGTCCAGCACGCGCCAATGGAAAGCTAGAGAACCATAATCTTCGTCATTTGCAACCCTAGAATCAATCAGGACACGGGAGTTAGAGCCGCCGTCGAGTAGCCGTAAGTAATCCTCCTAGTAATTACACGATAGTCTGTAGTACAACTAGTAATTATACGATAGTCTGTTTAGTAATAGTATATACAACTCTCCTAGTTCTTGTGCCTTAACAAATATAGTCAGCACTCCCAGCACACATGTGTCCCAGTACGCCTCAACCAATTCCTCTAGCTGTATGACCCGCAATGTGTTAAAGAGAAATGCATTTATGACCCTTCGCTGCCTTTCCGTCGTCTCTATCTCTAAATCTTTCAAAGCGGCTTCTTCGCGGGCAGTTGATATGACTACCGGAACACGGTTCCAGGGTTTCTTACTTCTCTGTTTAGCATTGGAGTAAAAAGTTTCCAAGATTTTACTCTCAAATCGCGTACCAGGATTGCGTGCTTGCCGATGCTCTGCTCGTGTACCCCGCGGCACCAATACGCTATCGAATTGAGTCTTCTTACCTCGGATAAAGGGATAATATTCGCTTAGCCCTGTAGGAGTCAAAGTCACTGCAACCTCTTCGTTCTGCTCGGCACCAGAAGGAGGAGTTGCGTCTTTACCACTGTCACCAGCAACCGCGGAAGAATCATTCTCCACCTCCACAAGCCCATGCTTTTGTAGTACAGTCCATCGTGCTTCTTTTTCCGCTTCAAATAGCTGTCGTCGCAATGTACTCCAATCTATCCACAACTTGTCAACGTAAACTTCTTCCCCAGTCTCTTCATCCACCTTCCTTTCACTCTGATACTCCAGCGGCTTCAGGGGTGAGCAATTCCTTTTAGTACTTGATTTTCGGCTGTTAGAGGGAAGACGTCGGATTGCCTTTCCATTACTTGGCGTTGGCGCGGATGCAGATATGCATTGAAGAAGAAGTTGAAGTGCGCGTAAGTAATCTAAAAGTATCATGACTCCTCTGATCTAAATCATTTTCTTTCCTCTAACACTCCTCTCACGAGATACTTCATCCCGATTATAATTTAGATTACTCCTCGAAAAAGAACAACAACAAGTCTTAACTCCTGCAGCTGCATCCCCGCCAAATAACGCCGCCCACTCTCTCCCATCTTCCGGCGGCTGCAAACCGCATGCTCGCCAACTATCCTCCAGCAACTGAATCAATGCTGGATGCCTCTTTTTGTAGACGAAGGAATCTCTACACCTAAAATCCCTTTGATACAATTGCAGCATCCGTTCGGCATTTTCCTGTAAGTATTCGTCCGACAACTGTCGACGAGAGGCCACAGAATGGGCCACGCCCACACTTCTGACTGCGGAGAAATCAACGTCCTGCTCACCAACTCTGGCATCTCCACCACGTTGCCAGCTCTGGAAGTAAAACTCTGGCGGCAATTCCGGTTTGGCGTCAGTTGTACTAAAAACTAGTTGTAGAACGAGAGGAAGCAATGCTGAAAAAGACGGTCGTGCTCGTGGCGTGCGACGGAGTCGTAATCCGCCTCCTCCTCCGGAAGATGCGACAGAAAAGTAGTCGCTAGAAGATGTTGTCGTGCTTGGCCACATCTTTAACCAGCGAAGCTCTTTCTCGACGACAGCGAAGCGTCTTTTTTTTTTGAGTTTTTTATAGTGATATGCTGGTGATCAGATCTCTCGTCTTCTATTCCTCCGTCGCTAGTATTCTCGTACCTTCCCTCCGTCTCTGTCTGACATACTCTGCTTATTTCTCTGTCTCCATTCATGTGGATCAGATTTGGATTTGGATTTGGAGATTTCAGAAAAAAGTTTTCTGGCCACCAAAAGGGGCACAGTACGTTTCGCAATCAACAAAGAGGAGGGAGACAAGATGCCTCTACCCTTCGTGAGGTACCAGGCAATACTGCGATCTCAACACTGAAGCACGCACAGATGCAAGAGGCAACGCGAAGAAGCAACTCGACTCTGCTCTTCATCTTACTCAACATATCTGCCTATTCGAAACTGAACACAAGCATGGATCACTCCTTTCCCCTACTCGGTGGAGCCAGTTATATCTGCTTTATTAGTCACACAACGGTATAAACTTTTGTTATCAAATAGTAGTAGCAGTAGTAGTAGTAGTAGTAATAGTAGTGTAGCCATTCTTGAGGTAGTTTAGACCACATGTATTTTAATTCATTTTCAATACTGTCGCGGTACCTACCTAGGCAAAAGATAAAAGGTAAAGGTAAAGGTCGAGGCATTTCTAATACTATGAATAACAAGCAACAAACGTCCTGGATCCAGGGACGCACAAATTCAATCTTCGAGAACGACGTTTTTCTTCCTTGTGGTCTCGTGGTCTCTTCCCGTGAACCACAGGATCGTGATCAACATAAGTAGCCATTTCCATTTGGTCCCGAGCTGCTTCTAGTCTGTACAGAGATAGTGTGCTGCGCCTCGCTCTGGCCAACACTCAATATTCGCTCTTGTGTAGCGCAAATAACGAAGTAGTGCAGGCACAATAGCAACATATCTTCCACAGGCCACACCCACAGCTACTGCTTCCACAACGTGAGTAAGACACACAGAAACTAGAACTACCGGCTCCACTATGCAATAAGGGACTCGTGGTTCTGTATACCCAGGCTCGGCGCGTTCATTGAAGAAGCTTCAGCTACGACCATGACAGTGCCGTGGTGCGCGCTCGGTTTCGTGTGATTGCCTCATCCGTCTATTTGGGTATGCCCATAACTACATCTGCCTGCGGCGTTTGCCCTTTCCGGATTAGCGCATCGACAGCATCCAGGGCACGCTCACGCCGTTCACGTATTTCGTGTAAGTTCTTTGCTTCCGCATCCCTTGACTTTTTCCCTTTTTGAAGCCCCCCCTCTATGCGCTGCACGAAATCCTTTTGGGCCCTCTCCAGTTTACTCCAGAGGTTCAGCCGGTCCTTTCGCGCACGTTTCGCGACCTGGGTGCTCGGAGGGTCCTTTCGCGCACGTTTCGCGACCTGGGTGCTCGGAGCCGGCTTGCCTTGCTCCTTATTTATCTTGGCCCGAAGGCTCTTCGCCTCTTTCTCCGCCTTGTCCTTAATCTTCTCAAAGCTACGCACTGCAGAGCCGTAGACCCTCCTGGCAATAACTTCTTCTGCCTCTCGCTTCATTACCAGCTCCGCCAAGCGGCCCGCCTCCTTATAGGCCACAAGCTTGGCTTCCAACTCGTCCAAGGTCTTTTCTCCTGACATAGACATTTTTTGAATCATGTGAATGCTAGAAAAAAATGATGATTGTGGAAAGATAGAACGATGGGTCAGGAAATGAACTGCATACTCTTTCGAACTATGACGAAGAGACTGCGACTGGTGCAAAGCGATAATTTGTTTGTGAGGTCAAGGCCCTCTTCGCGAAAATCGGACGGTGCCAGGTCATGTTTGGTCTCGCGCCGCATCGATGAAGAAGAGTCCGAAAGATGCGTTTGACCCACTGTGGATACGGGAGTGGTGCCATCTAGAATTATTGCCTGGAGGGTTAAGGCAATTTCGAATTATCTTTTCTTGTTGAAAAATACGATAATTGATCATGTCGTGAGTATTCATAATAATTGGTTGTATTTCGAGACTGCGACTGGTGCAAAGCGATAATTTGTTTGTGAGGTCAAGATGAAGTTGAATAAACCCACATTAATCTATTGTTGCGCAATGCATATTGAATATCGTCTACATAGATGAAGAATAAGAACATTGATCGAAACGAAGGTAGTAGTATCTGTGCACACGACTCACTGTATGTAAAAAAAGATGACTAAAGTGAGCAAATCGCTGTGGTCGCTAACCTATACTCTATGACGATGTCTTGGAGCCGATAACTGTCAGAAAAATGCCGACCACAGGAATTTTTTGGGCTTTAGTTACATTGGACACGCAATCTTTCCGTTTCTCTGTGCCGTTGCAGTTCATTTGAGGAAGTAGATCCACGAACATGGAGAAGATTGCGCCACTTCTTGACCGCTCGTCTCGTTGCACTAGTTTTATCTACTTCGTGACTCTCTTCGTTGTAGCTCGGTTTTTTTTAATTCGCTTCCAAATTCAGCCCGAGGACCACACAGATGGATACATTGCTCGACAGAAGTCTTAGTATCTTGGCTTTGTAGCAGTAAACTCATCTTTCAGTGCAACTGCGAACACGCAGACTGACAGCCATATTACGTAATTTTTTAGACTTGCTCCTCGACAGAAGTCGGTCGTCAACTTCTCGTGGTGGTGAATCTCAGGTTTCATGTCTTTGAAATAGGAATCGTCACAGCTTATGTGGTGGTAGAGCGTTTCGTTTTTGTGACTACATAATTATACCAAGAAGCAGGACTAAAAAGCTACTGCTTAAGGTATATAGTTTAGAAGTAGTCCCTGTGTTATCCTTGATCCTATTCTGGTGTAAGGTAAAACACCTCCACAGTCATTATTTTTCATCTTTCGCGACCCTGGAAGCCCAGCTTTTCGTTCATCATATTCATGATAATCGAATTGCTGCAGAGCCCTCCCTATCTAAGAAAACCACAAACAGGGGATGATCATGATATAATTAAGTAGTTGTTACAAAGCGATATGGAGATGCTGCTTTGCAAATAGTCTCGTTTACTTTCATCTCTCTAGACTTTCAACAACAACGACCCGTTTAGTTTTATTGAAAAACGTAGCTACATCACGCACCACAAAGAGCGTTGTACTTTCAATTAAATCTAATTTATCTCATTTGTACTTAGTTGCTGTATAAGAAACACCACGTCGGTGAGTCTACGTACATCTACCTGTTCTAAAAAAGTAGAGATGTACGTAGAGATGTACAACTACTTCATGTTTTATTGGTACTAGTCCATAATTGGACTTTTGGACTTCGTCGAGGTAGTGCTAGTAGATGATGGCGCCAGCAACTATGTACTCTTCTGGTATTCAGTAGCCCTATGCATTTTGATCATCAGGGAAAACAAGACGAGAATCCTTGTGATCAAATTCAGGTTACCAAATACTTGAACCATTCAAACTAATGATGTGCTGCATAATGGACAGCCTCCGAATGTATGTACCCAGCAAGAGGCCGTGCGGCTCGACTTGTCGTCAAGGTCCTCTAGCCCTCCCTAACAAAGTTAAAGCTTCATGTTTGATAATTATAATATAGTCATTTTCTTTCATTGTGCCGGCGGCGCTCGAAGATGTGCAGGATCCACAACCTAGTAACCCACCCTCTTTTTCTTGTAGCAGTAGTAGAAGTAGTAGTAGTAGTATTCGTAGTAGTAGTGTGCCCATTCATGGGGTATAAGTTTGCTGTAGCTTCTGGTCCATTTTCGAATGTCCAAGGCTCCTTTTACATCTCCCAAAGCCCAAGGCTCTTACATCTCCCAAAAGCCTGAAACTTCCCTTGTTTCTGCGTGCAATACTTCTTCATCAAGTGAGTCCTCGTCATCACGCGCGCGCGCTGCTATAGTCGTCTTTAATTTGATCCCTTGAAGGCAGGCTACTACATCTGGCGAAGCAGATGGAGAAGAAGAAGATGGAGAAGAAGCAGATGAAGACATAAGAGGGGGTGTGCCTGGCGCAGCTTCGTCTTCTTTGAAAAGGGGAAGGCCCCAGCGCAGGCAGAAACGTAGCGTAAGCGAAAATTTGTAGCTCAGACGCTCGGAAGCGCGACCCGAAAAGAGTGGGTTTGCGTCCCAGATCTCGCCGCGAATGTGGATCTCTACTTTGTCACGTTCAGCAGAAAACTGGTAATCATTCGCGATGTCGCGCCACTCTCTGGCTCGCAATTCCGCACCCCTCCAGGTGACGACCGCTGTCCCTCTGTCCACCCAGAACGGGGAATCATCCCTAGAAGTGAAAATATCACTTAAGCCATTCTCCACATAGGCGTCATAGTTAAAGCCCGTCACTTGGTCCATCTTGAGTGAGTGAGTGAGTGAGTGAGTGAGTGAGTGAGTGAATGAAGCCACTCCAGAAGTATAGAAGACCCCTACACGACTACTACTTTCGTTTACAACGTTTCCATCTAGTGTCAATCCGTAGCTGTACAAGTTAGATACCTGATGATGATAATGATGATGATGATCCTGATGCACCCAGCACCCGTAGTAGAGACGGACCCCTATTCGGGTACATTAGTCAAACTCGACTTACCTTTTGGCTTTGCCCACCCCTTGATAGTTCGAACCCCTCGATAGTTCGAATTCCAAGGGAATGAAATAACAGCACGCTCTACTTGAGCAGGTAGCGATATAATATCTCTACATAAACCTTAACCTAATTATAGATACATCTCAAAGAATATATAAGAGATCATGTTGGTTGAAGAACTACGTCACTGGTGGTGTAGTAAGGAAAGTGGGAGGGTTCATGTTTATCATGTGATGCACTTGATTTTGATTAGTGCGAGAAGATCATCATCCTAAGAAATAAATCAGCTGCACACGATAGTCCAAACATAGGAAAAATGCCTTAACATAGGCGGACGGAGGCAGATAGGTTTGAATGAAATCGCTTGGCAATAAGTCCGTCATTCGCCCTAGCTTGGAATGCGAAAGCAAGGAAAACCAGGCCGCATAACTGGGGGAGACGGCGCTGACACCGGGAAGCCAAAGCTGCGGAAGTAGATCTACCGTGTGGTGGACAGGGTAGCGGCTACAGTTAAGTAGCATGTCCAGATCATCTCTTTGGTAACGATCTTGCTCAATTTCACGAAACACCTTAGAACTTGCACTGTTGCACTGAGTGAGAGAATGACTGAGTGAGTGACTGAGTGACTGAGTGAATGAATGATCCAAAGAACTTCAGGCTTTTGCATTGATTCTTGCATTGGTTCTTCATCCAAATTTCTCTCATATTGGGAAACTTGATGCTTCCTAGATGACTCCTGGTGGAAGACTAGTAGTTCTTGACAACTGTCCTACTCCCTGCATACAACAAGGCAAGCTAATATAATAAGGTGACCCATCTTAAAGACGTATACGCCATTATAGTGATGAAACATGAAGTCCGGTCTATCCACGCACGTCAGCCGAATAGCGAAAAAGTCTACTTCAAAATCGCCAAACGGGCTGTAAAACTCGATCCCAGGCTATAGAGCCAAAATCTATTATCATTATCACAGTTTTCTACTTGAGAAACTTGATAATGATATTATAAGTGTTGGCTCCATACAGGCCGAAGCTCTCCTCGGGCGCCGTCCTCCTCATAGATTAGCGACCGGAAATCACTATCGTCTGTGTATTGTTCTGGTGTTCAGTAGCCATATTTTGATCATAAGGGAAAACAAGAAGAGAATCCTTGTGATCAAATTCAGGTTGCCAAATACTGGAGCCATTCAGTCTGTCGGTGACGAGTGAGTTGCTTCCTTTCGTCCCCTTAAAGATTTCTACTTTCCCCTTTATATTTCTGAGACATCACAGGAAGGATAAAACAAAGCCTTCACTGAAAAAGCTTCACCTCACACCAGATAGTGGAGATGAAAGAACGCCTTCTGCTCTGAGGAAGCTTCACCTCACACCAGACACACTATCTGATAGTGATGACCAGATAGTCACCGACTTCTTCTACTACCCTTAAGTAAAGCAGCGAGGCAAAGATCGAATTCGAACGGCTTCTTTTCTTAGATAAAGATCCGGCTAAAGAGGTTACATCTTCCCAGTCTTCCAAGCACGTTTTCTTCTAAGCAGCCTGAAGAAGCCTCAAGTTTGTTCTAGCGCAAGACTATTGAAAATAAAAAAATTCATGTTTGTACTTACTCGAAAAACATCAATATAAGGATGGGATAGGATAGGATAGGATAGGATAGGATAGGGCGCATCCACCGAGACCTCGCGCGAGGTGATGTCTAGGCTTGAAAAATGTTTGCATATAAAATCTTTTTGATAAAAAGTACTACTCCCTGAATTATTGTCTCCGAATTATTGAGTGTGACCACATGAAAATAACTTGATGCAAAAGTAAAATTCACAATATACCGATAAGGAGACTAAGGAGCCTTAACCTTGTGCGTTGTTTGCACAAGCGTGTGCGATTTGTCTGGCGTCATTATGCCAAGCGTCGATTGAACTACTTGAACAACAATCTTCCTTGGACCAACTGCACGATCAGGTGAAGATCCACCAGGCACAGACGATCCTCCACCTCCACCATCATTTCCACCTACACCTCCCGCGAGTCCGAGTCTGCGATTGGAGCCACGACCCGAATCTTGTTCATCGTCCGTGGTCGAGAGTCCTAGAATCGCGGAGGTCATGAAATACTACTAGGATGAATAAAATAATACGCCAAGAAGGAAATTATAGGCTAAGAAGGATCTCAGTGAAGGATGTAAAAGGAAGAGCATGATAGATTAGTATGAGTGAATGAATGAATGAATGTGCCTAGCAAGAGGTGTTTGCATTGCCTTCCTTGAAGGACTTTGTAGTTGTAGTGTTCTTGAAGGTGCACGGCGAAAAAGCAATAAACTTGGTAAGCCAAGATGGATCACAGAGGAGCAGGAGGATGTAACAACATTGCACTTGGTGATGGTAATGGTGTCTCTACTTGGTATAATTGTGGTGGAGCCGACCTAACTAGAAAAAAGACAGACCAGAGGAAGATAGAAAAGAGGTATAATGCTAATAGTGTCTTGGTAATGGTAATGGTGTTGAAAGCCCTTAAATATAGTTTTTGCAGCGGACGACTTTGAAGCTGGATAGAAGCATCGGTCGCCGTAGACAAACTGAGTAGAAGCATCGATCACAAATTGGGTAGAGGAGAGCCTCCCAGCTTCTTCTTCGGTGCCACCTTGATTGGCGACTTTCTTCTGATTCGTGCTAAAACGAGCCACGGCCCGCTGGCAAGCAGAAGTTAGACCTTAAAAATACGAGCAGAAGGTAGACCCCTTTAAAAAAGGTCATCTTGGGAGGGCAGCTTTCACTACACATTCATCTTTCACACATTCATCTCTCATTTTTGAATAAGAGGTCATCGTTCACACATTTAGCTTGATAGCCACTTTGGGCAGCTGCACGAATTCCCCTTTATAAAGGGGGGACCAAACAAGATGCTAGTTAAGACGTTAGTAGTCTCTTTGTTCTAGCATTCTTCGGCTTGAACATGATGACCACGACCTTCTATATCCGATAAACTCCAGTTTTCGCATGAATTTGAGGAAGCCTTAAAGAAAAGAACCACTTTCCAGTGGCGTTCGGATCAACTTGTAGCTTCTCGACCACAACCTCCCCACTCAAAGTTTGGATTAGAAAAAAGAAGCATTCTAAATTGGAAAGAACTCATCAAAAAATAGATGTTAGTGGAAAACTTTTCTAAAAAGTGAGTGTGATTCAGCGGAAAGACCTAGAAAATGGGTGTTAGTCTAGTGGAAAGAACTAAAAGTAGCCCTTAACTGGAGGTCTATACTCAATTGGTTTGGATGCAGCTTCGTGTTCTTCAGCTTGAATCTTCTCGCAGGACCGCGTTGCGTCCCTACAAGCTCCTGGCCACCAGCGTCTCCCATACCAGCATCGTCTCCCTGACCCCTTGCGCCTCCACCCATACCAGCGGCGTTCCCAACTGTGCAAAGACTCGCACAACAAGCCAACAGAAGGTAGAAGCGAAGAAAGACCATATTGTTGCCTTTTCTTGTGGACATGGTGATATTGTTCATATTGTAGATAATTTTTCAAGGAATACCGAAAAAAAAGAGGTGAAGTGGGGGTGAACGAAGTGGATCAACTATCAATAATCTCGTCGATTTACTTCCAATGTGCTAAAAGAATTCTTACGTTGTTGTAACCATGTAGAAAAAAACGTTGTTGCGCTAAAAGAATTCTTGCGTTGTTGTGATCATCATAGAGAGCGCCGGCAAGATTGACTTAGTACTTGAAGCTTCTAGTTGCTTATTTGTGCCAAAAGAAATTTCGACCCAAGCAATAGTTTTCCTTTTCGTACTGCTCTTTCGGAAAATTATACTCCTGGCATTGTGTTGTTTGCAGAGGTCAGAGTAGGGATACTCCTAGTGATAGATGCGAAGTTCCATGGATGGTCGCGATCCGTGGAACTATCTTCGCAGAGCAAGGCACTTACAACAGGTTCGCCTGTCAATTCCATCTTTTCACGTCGCACGGAAGATGCTAAATAGAAACGGCTTCAAGAAGTTGGCTCTTGCATTTCTATTTTTCACTTCTGTGTCTGCGCAGTGAGAGAGGGAGGATCCTTTGTATGCTCAAGGGGGGTATTTTGATGATTTTTGTTTCAACTTCAACGTCGGCGGCAATGCTGCTACACCCAGCACAAAGTCTATATTTTCACTTCAAGCTCAACACAGAGAGATCACATTTAAATGAGACCGATTCTGTTGCCGTTGAACAGGATCACAGATTCCTTATGACACGCCGGGCGACGTGTCAAGATCAAACCTCCTTATTCTCAAGGAGCGTTTGTCACGCGTGGTGGTGATGGTGGTGAGATGGTGGTGGTGATGTTGTCTAGGCTTCCTGGTCTTAGACATGATGGTAGTGTTAGAAGTGGTGGCTGAACTATGTACCTGCCCCGACTAGCAGTTCTGAGAAATAGATCGTCCCAGAACAAGCGGCAACCGGATTACTCCGAGGATGATTGGCAAACCGTACAATAAATACTCGGAGACTGATTCTTGACACTTCTCTCAAATGAGGGGGCGCATCGATTTTACTTGCGCTCGCGTTCAGTCGTCACTGGGGTCTCTCCAATATTGATCTCCACGCTTGATAATAGCGCCTTAGCCTCTCTAATAATGCTGATAGCGTCTTTTTCGTTGTTGTGCACTCAATCGAATTCGAAGCGCTAGAAGTACTAGACTCCATCGGAAGACGAACGCAATAATTGTGGTGGAGCCGACCTAATTAGAAAAAAGAGAGACCAGAGGAAGATAGAAAAGAGAAAAGGGTAACTATCGCCAAGCATCCTCCTATCTGCTAAAACTAATTTATTAAGCGCCGACGCTATCGTCGTCCTGTCAGCCCCATAATGGAAATAGATGATCAGAAGAAACAGCGGAGATATAATAATCAGAGAAGTAGAGCGGCGACCAAGACAGCTCCATCTACGCCTTCTCACCCGGGCAAGCGATTACTCTTCATGCATTTGCTCACTGTCGAAGACTTCCATAAAAGACGCGTCGGCAGATATTGGCTGGACAATTGAGCACGACACCACTTCACCACATCGATGCGCTATCTTCATTGACTCGCCTTCAGCTTCCTCTCCTCGCTGCATCTCAAGTTACAACTTGCGGCGGCAGCGGTGATTCACCTGCATGCAACCTGTCAAGGGGAAACCTCCGTAGGTAGATGCCTCTCAGGGTTGGCAAGGAAGAAAGTGCATACGCACAAAAAAACAGCTTCAGTTGTCTGCTGATGTTGCGTTTTTGACTCCTCTGCGATGAAATCAGATATGTAGCACTCACCTAAATGTAGAGTTTACCCCAAATTTTCTATCTTAAAAGTTCAAAGTGTAAAGCTTGGGGGGCCGTCTCCAACACCTCCAAGAATCACAGCACCCCCACGCGCTGATAGATTCACAACTGCCGTGGGAGCTAGCTAAACTCCCTGCCAGTAAGTAGGACTCACTTAGCTCAAAAAAGGTTGAGCCAGGTTTCGCGCGCTTGTGCCAACCTGGGTGTCCTACTCCTATCCCTCGCTTCATCTATCTATCTATCTATCTATCTATCTATCTACTTCATCTTCATACATTCAGCCCAACGCGAATCAAATCAGCTCAGGTGACCAAATGAAAACGAGCGCTGAAGCTGTTGACTTGGAAATGTGCGCAGTGCTTTTCCTGATTCTCCAGCCGACCTGTCCGAGCTACAAATGGCGGCTGCTCTTGTTTTTTTTGTTCCCAGATAAGTGCCCCAGACCGATGCTTCGCCGTTCTTGGCGTGAACCGCTGCCAACCATGGCAAGCCGCCGCGCCCGCCTTACTCAAAAAAGAACCACGACTGACTGACCAACGCAGAAAAACGAGGGGCGCCAAGCCAATAAATATGAAAGCAGAAAAGGAAAAGAAGACGAAGCGGAAGCGAAATGATCGCCGGTGCACGTCGCCCAACCCCCCCCCCGAATGGTATAGGCGGGCGCCCGAAAGTCCAAGGCCTGGGCGCCTGCTCCCTTGTAAGCGGGGCAAACACCTAGCCACGCGCACCCATGCTGAAAAGCTGCAGCCCCTGCCCGGTCTTGTTTTGGGTGCTTGCTCAACTATCACTTGGCGGCCGAATCAACGTGGCGCCCCTCGTGGGTCAAAAAGAAGAGACGGCAGCCACCCCCTGCCAGGTCCCCTGCCTTTCACTGTCGTGTTTTCTTCCGCCGCCTCCCTCCTTACCGGTCCCGCCCCCCAGCCCCCCCGAGCGCATTGACCAGCCCCAGCGCCCAGCGGTCGCGCGCACCCGCTGGAGGGTCTTTGGGTTTTTTGCATTCAAGCTCGTGCCAGCTGGTCTTGGGGTCGTTGCAGAAAAAAACCGAAGAGAAACGCGGCTGGGCTCCGCGTGTCCTTTCGAGTGGGTTAGGGGGCTAGCCTCTCCACAGTTGTCCCGCCGCGCTCCCCGTGCCTCGCTCCCCGTGCGGAAGAGAGACAGCAGATGCACGAGCCCAGAGAAAACAACACACAGAAAACCAGCAGCGAAAACAGCAGGGCCTGAAATGAAAACCACTCCCGCCCCTGGGGGAAAAGAGGAGAGGAGGGCCGGGTCTGTATACCCCGTTCGACTAACAGACGCGGGCGAGCCTCCCCCCCTCCGTCGCCTCTCCTCACTTCTGCGCCCCCTCTCGTCCCTACATGCACTTATCCAACGAAAGCCGCACACAGTTGCCCTTCACTCAGCGAGCGCTGTCACTCTCTAGGCAGTCTTGCCTTTGCCCACCGCTGCAGTTAGAGTCTGGAGAAACAGATCGCTTCCTATTTGCTACCGATTTCTCTCTTGCCAAGTTCTGTTCTCTCGTTCGCACAGATTTCGTCTTGTTCCGATTCCTGTCAGTAAGTCCGATACTCAGGCTGCCCTGCGGCCAGCTCTTTTTTGTAAAACGAAAGCAGGTACGACTTCAGATTCCAAAGACTAAATAACTCTATGACGAAAAAAGTTGCGCATGGTCGTGTCGACGTGTCTTCAATGATTCATCTTGACGAGTCAACTTCACGGGTCTTGGTCTTGCTGCCAAAAAGAATGCTGTGATCGTCCTGCGAGAGAGATCCCCTGCTCCAATGAGGGTTGAAGATACGAAGTTAGAGGCGTGTGGTCATATCGTGGCCACACCAATCATATGTGGTCATATCGTGGCTCAATCACGTCATTATAATCAAGGATATCATACATCGAGAAGAGTATAGCCTTCATCACTACACTACGAACGAGTCAGACAAGAATAATATACATCGAAAAGGACAATATGAATATGCATGAAGAATGGGGATACTGGCAACCAAAGGCCGCACCACGAGGAAGCGCAAGCGCAGCTATCTTAATGTAGAAACTCATAAGATTCTGCATGCGCTTCTAGGTTATAGGGGTAAACAACAATTACATGGACTTCCATTCGCTAGAAAAATCCATTGCGACTCATTATGGAATTCCGGAAAGTGCATTGCTTTCAATTCTGGGTGTATTTCTTTAAGCATTTCCACTTGCATAACAATAGCGATAGTAGTAGCAAGTTCTCTCATTTATTGCGACGACTACCGAATGGCGCGGCACATCGTTTCTCTGACTCTTATCTTCATCACAACAGTTTTTTTTTTCAGTGGGGTGAGTGAGGTCATTGTTGGCAGCTTCCCTGCTGCTGTGAGTTTCGTAGACGAGCAAATGTCGGTGGCGTCACAATGGTCTTCGTCTTCATCTTAGTAGAGGTTCAGCAACAGCAGCATCGCAAATCTCAGTAAAAATACGACTACAGATCGACGTCACTAGCTGCATCTCCTTCGTTTCATCTCAGGCCCCCCAGATTGGTGCCTGCCAGTACTTCTGTCGCCATGGCCGGAGGTGGGTGCTCCCGGTGCCTGTTCTTCGCTCTCGCCCTGCTCTTCGTCGCCGTTGAGTCGCAAATGCTTCTTTTTCTCCGCTGCTGCTTGAGTGATCTGGTTCAGCTTACTGCGAACACCAGCGAAAAACCTGGCAGGCTGACTCCTACCCGCTGAGCCGTCAGATGCTGCTGCCGCGAGCGTGGTCTCCCACTTGTCACTGTGGTAGTGCAAGAGGCAAAACTTCACGCGTCGCGTAGCTTCCTCCATCGCTGAGTTAGCGCGCCCCATATTTCATCTCTGATCTGCGTCCCTCGTTCAAGAGTATAGCACGAAGATCAGAATACTCAAGCATACTTTTCACGGATGCGCACAAGGATGAATTAAGTACAGCCTTAACTGAGGGCGCAGTATCCCGCGACAGCGAGCACGGATTGTCGAAGTCTACTGGCCAGGGAATTTGTTTCAACCTGTGGCGGATGTGGGCTAGGCAAGTTAATTACGTCAAGCAGGCTCAGGCTGCAAGAGCTCTGATCTAAGATCCGCAGTGACTCACATTTGATGATAATGCTCAACTTCAGATAGAAGGGCTGAGAAGTGTTATTTAGTCGTAAAGAAAAACAACTTTCCGACAGCAAGAAAGACGCGTCATTTATGAGCCAACTTCGTAAAAAGAATGAGTAAGTACTGTTCAGCTGGTGAGAGTTCTGCCTTTCTTGCGGCGAAAATTTGCCATTCTGCTTGCAGTCTGTCCCACTCCGCTTGCAACCACATCCCTCTTTCTTCAGCATCTTGAGATGAGTCCACTTCTTCATCTTCACTGGAGTCACTATCGGGACCACCTCCCGGACCATGCGCGTACTGGCTGTAGCTGCCTCCACCACATGCGGAGCCAAATCGTTCATGCTGTCGTCTCTGCTCTTCCTTTTCCTGATTCTATGAACGAGGAGAGCGTCGAAGATGAAGAAATAATACAAAACAGCTAGACGACGTGCTTGTCATACTCATGTTTTGTTCTAGTGTGCATTCCAGTTTCATAACCTTTTCTTCTCGTCGATATCTTGAAGAAAATCCCACACCTTACTGCGTAGCCGCAAATTCCCCATGGCTCTAGTGACAGCTACGTAGAGGAGATTGATCGCCTCAATATCGCTGAACTTCAGGTCCGCTTTGTCTTTGATCTCCCCAGCGCGTACGTGATTCTTGTTGTACACCGGGAGCGGAAGAAATATGAAAGAATTTGTTGATGTTGCAAGTACATGACGATGGATGATCACATGAAAAAGAAATTTCAAATTCATGAATACAGGGAAAACAAAATACATTTACAGAGATCATGCCTTCTAGTAGTAGGTTCTAGAGTAGCGATTCGCCTGTTTCATGTCAATATTGTTAAAAATAGTTTCATCGAGCCTAATTTCGAGCAACATGATTGACTATTTACTTCGTTCCTTTTTCTTCAGTAAGTAAATTACTTAAAGTAATAAGGACTTCTAACCTAAGAATATTCGAACGCCTCTATTGAAATATAAGTACTCGCTTCCCTTTTGACATCATAAAATCGTCTGCAATCACAACCGTTTCTCGGTATTCACAGCCCTTCACCGCATGAACAGTTCCTATCCTCACCTCCCAGTCATCATTCTCCACTTTCGCCGCAACGACAGAACGCAGATGAAGCGCAACTTGCGATCCGAGGTCTTCAACTATGAAAGCAGGAAAAAAAATAGTTTAGTCCAGGACCTCGATTATGAAAGGAAAATAATTCTAATTTTCAGTCATAGATTTAGAAGAAAATAAGGTGTTTGCGATTTCTCGGATAGCAGCGACTCGTACAGGATAACAGAGGACTCATAAACATGATTTATTATCATTATGTTATTTAGACTCACCTACTAAAAAGTATCTACGAGTATGTACAAAAGCGCAGTGACTTATTCTGTGTACTTGTTACCTACACCAGAGTATTAGTTTAATCGTGAGTATGTGCAAAATCGGATTCCTGCCATATCGATGAGCAACAGCACAGACAGAGTTTTTATGTCCTCGTTGTCGGCGCAGTGGTTCTTCAAGTCGTCCCACTCCTCAAATTCCTCATTGTCATGACTAACAAGACCAACGGGAGCTCCCGCAGCACGACTTTGCCGCATGCCGCTAGACGATTGGCTGCGACCCGATTGAGTTAGAGCTCCTTTCCTGAATATTCATCTTCACGCGCACCTTTGGCTTTTTTCCCCTTGGAGACGGGTCAAAGATGCTTCTTTAAATGAATTTGTGGAAGCCTTAATCGAAGAGTAGCGATCATAGTATCGAGGTAGTTGGGTGCTGCGATACGCACACCGGGGGGTCTACTTCCTATGTTGACGAGTTGCAAATCATGATGACTGTTCTTGTAGTGCCGATCATACGGCTGAGAGCTACTGGGCGCGGAGTTCTGTGTAGCGAAAAGTGGCTCCTGTGACTCCGAGAGATTCCGGTAGTTCTGGTGGAACTTGTGTGGCGACTGCGAAGACGACGCGCTGTGCTGCGAGTTGCGATGGTGCGGTTGTGAGGATGTGAAGAAGTCTCGATCTCGCCGATCATTGGCCTCGCCACCTTCTTTCGTCTCGCAATAAAACTTTGCGAACTTCTCTACTGTCTTCGAATCCGGCAATCTCATACTCGTACTCGCAAATTGCCATCTTGGAAATCGACCGAGTTCCGCACGCATACCGAGAAGCTCTTCCACTATGAAAGAACGGACAAAAAAGGTAATTGGGTTAATACCAGTTATTCTAAGTTACTAACAGTAGTGAACTGTACCACTGGTAAATCACACGAGAGCTTAATGTTGTTGCTGCTGCAGGTGAAAAAGTGGTAAGACGAAGAGACATAAATTCTTACTTTAAGCAGTATCTTCATGGACAATCATTTCTTCGAAAGAGAACGAGGCTGATCTTAGGGAGTGTTGAGCAACTTTCTGTACCAGAGTCTTCTATGGAAAAAATCTTCTAGAAACGCGAAGCATTGAGGACAAAAGGGAACATAATTATGATTTGCTTGTTGCTCCTCACGAGCAGAACAAACCTCCCATCGTGCGCTTCTAGCAAATTCTCCTCTGCAGGTAGAATACTAACAGGTCTGGTCGGAATTCCCCGACCAATTACGAGTGCATTAGGGTCTGCGACTCGCAGAAACTTCGTAGCCAGTGTCGCTATCTCCTTGCCGAATCTGAAAGAGATCGTCAGCCTAAAGTCTTGCGCGCGGACGGATTCAAAGGAATCGCTAGCGCCGCGCCAACCGTAAATCCTCTGACTGGTGTCTCCAAGATGAATTAGAGTCGCGTAAAAATCATGTCTAACCTGCATCTTCCGTGAAGCAAGAGTATCTCTGCTTCTGTCCAGTGCCCCTTTACGGCTAGTTGTATCCTCAAATAAGTATTCGATGGAGCGCAGTTACTTGTCAAGGCTGCATGCAAGTCAAAAGTGAACTATGTGTTGAGAGGCTTAAGAGAAGAACTCGCGTGGTCGGCTGGTGGGCGAAGAATTGACTCTGACACCTCGTCATGTCCTGGCAAAACATGAAAGAGGAGGAGCCAAAAAGTTGTAGAGGGGTCAATGTCACAGAAGCAAGCCATATCTATAAAAACGATAAGTGGATAGACGTCGAAGTTCTATTTCTAATTCCAAGCGCCTAACCGACAGACAGACAGTTACAGACGTTATCCAACTTTCGTTTCATCGAAACGAGTACTACTTATTCATCCTCTTCCTTGAAATTTACATAAGGAAAAGAAACAGAGTGAGCTCAACCTTCAAAAAAGGAAGCCATAAACTCATCGACGATTATGAGGGCGTATCCGAGTAGCCCCAGGTCTGGGCGCTGCAGCTGCCAAAACTTTAGGTAGTTGTCATGCCCTACTCCGACGTCTCTTTGTGGGTCACCTCGAGCCGGTGGCTCGTTCATCCCGCCTCTTATCTCCTGTTCCATTTTCTGCCAGACTTTTTTCGCATGCGCGACGTAGAACTCCGGATCCAGCAACAACTTCCACTTTGCCGACTTCTTCTGGTCTAAGGTATCAGGATCCGGAATTGCTCGCAGAGGTACGTCGTCGTTTGTGATAGTAGCGCGCTCTGATTGACAGAACTTCGCAACCGTGCCGGCGATGAGGTTGCAGATCGTTCGCACCGTTCGCCCGAGGAGCTTCTGACCTTTTGCCGATCGCTCCAGGAAAGTGGCGCGCTGCTGAGCTGAGAGAACTCCGCCTTCGTTTCGCTCTACTTTGTCCCTGAAAATGTCCCAGATGCCACATAGCGCCTTTGTTTTCCACGGGTCAGGATTGTCGGAGTTCCGCGTGTTGAAGATCCTGAACAGCCGCCGATAGGCGAAAGAGTGCGAGGTAAAGATGTCTACCTGCTCGTTGTCGAATTTCTTGCTTTGCTTCGCTTCTTCGGCGTTCTGTGCTATGAAGGATAGGGAAGGATGGGAATATATGAGGGAACGCTAGATTTAGTCTTCAATGTCAAATCATACAGAACAAAAACAAATGCACTGTAATCAATACTCCTGTAGCTCTTAGATACTCTTGCCACCCGTTAATATAGTCACTGGCGATATTGACACACTATGGAAGAAGCTGACGTCTTGAATGAAAAATGGCGATAGCGAGGAAACAGTTCCTAAGAAACTTTTTAATTCGATCATCGCTTATCATGAACATGTGCCATAATCTTGTTAAAGACGATGTAGAGGATCTTAGAGCCGGGGCGAAGCTGCAAGAACCTTTTACAATATGCGGCCGCCATCGTTGTCTTCCCAGAGTTAGAGCTCAACACCGTAAAGAACTTCTATAGAGATCATCCCAGAGGCCAAGACGGCAACTGAGCAACTAAAACCGACTTGATAGGTGGTTCCTGATCATCTTGAGCCTTAACGCAGCCGGCTCTTGCGATGACGCGAGCCACTTGGCCCGCCCGCATGGTATAATGCAAAAACTTCTCCTGCTCTTGCGTGCCATTAGAGTCCCGGAGTCTACTTGGTGTCAATCTACCCCGTTAGCAGTCATGCCCCTTGTTCTTCTTTGAAGAAGGCAAAACTGTAATTATGGCATCAGACGCACCAAAACAAGCATGTCCTTAATATACTTCGTGTCATCTGATCGAAACGGAACATGCTGCACGATTGAATAGTCCATATCGCTTGTTTTTCGCGGCCGACCAGAGGTAGAGGGCGACGAAGCAGTAGCGCCTGCGCCCAAACTGGGATGTGTAGCATCATTGGTCAGCGCCAAAGCCTTCTTGATCTGCCGTTTTTCCTGTTGAGTGTAGAACGAGAGAGAGTTGTTGATGTGACCTTAATATACGGAATCCTGATAGAGATTGAGATGTTGATGTGACCTTAATATACGGAACGACCAACTACCGGCAAGATCTAGTTAGCAAGGGAGTTGTAATTAGCTACTAAACTGCGAGTGCTACTATTTGAAAAGCCAGCAAATAGATATAGACTCGGATAATTAGCATTGAACAACATCGCTGAAATAATACAAGCTTCCCAATAGAGCCGATGATTTCCTCCTGGCTCCTGGCCACTGCCACCATTCTCCCTTCTATGTCCCGATCTCGGCCCCCTCCCATTGCAGAGCATGCCGTGTGTTACGATTAGGTGATACAGAAGTCCTGCGGAACAAAGCCTGTCGATGAAAAAAGAGTAATTACATATGTTCCAGGGCTCAGGGCTGGAGGCCCCCCCCCCGACCGCGCAAAGGTGGCCAGGCTGGACCCCTCTGGCGTGGTCCACCCCCGATCCATCCACAGGGGGGGCCTGCCAGCCCTGAGCCCTGGAACATATGTAATTACACTGTTTTCATCAACAGGCTTTGTTCCGCAGTACTTCGGAACAAAGCCTGTTGATGAAAAAAGTGTAACTATATATAAAACTACAGAATTGAAAAACTTGTCAGCTAAGCCATGAGGCTCCAGCTGCTGGCGCCTTCTCTACTAGGTTACTTTCGCCTCATCCATTACTTGCAGTCCTTGCGTTGCAACTAGTTACGTAAAATGAACTGGGCTCCTGGGTAGCATATGCCTATACTTGCCTTAACTCCAGGCCCGGTTGCCGCAGGACGTAATACAGTCCCCTTCCCATATTTTCGCCTGCCTGCATCCCTGGCAATCGCCTCAAATTAGAGATAGAGCCATCGGAAACCCATTCCAGCAGCCATGTCGTCTGGAGGGTTTCCTTTTCTTCTAGTTGTTTCCTTCCAGATGCGTCTCCATGAGTATCCATGTGATTGACATTGAGAGTATCCATCCATGATTTACTTATTATATCCATGATTCCAGTTATCCATGATTTCCAGTAGTATATTAATCCATGATTTCCAGCGCGACACTTAAAAAGAACCGAGCCGCGTAGCAGCCGCATGGTAAAGATCGACTCTCCGGTATGGGTAGGGTTGGGTCTCGCCTCTCACAATATCTGTGAGATTCTCCCGGCATTTTGATTTCTATCAAATCTTCGAGATGAATGCCAACATTTGAAAAAAATGTCTATGTATAAGTTACAACTAACTACATCAACGATCGGCCAGAAATCTACAATCTGTTGTAACTGTAACTCATTTCTACTGGTTCAAAACTCCATCCTGCGATATGCTTTGTAAGTTGGTATGCCACTTTCGATAAAGGACTTCAAAACCAGTGACGGATAACAAAATCGTCGTCGAGAAGAAAAACTATAACTAGCTCGAGACAGCAGAAAAAAGCCGTTTCTTTCCGTGTGCGGACAACAACACAAGTAATAAGGATAACACGAGGACACCATGATCATGATAACTTCATCTCCAAGACCCATATCTTGTTCTTCCGCACGCAGATCGATGGGAACACTCTCGTATTCGAAATGTCAAAGTGAGTCTACGTAATTAAAAGGGGAAGATGGAGGAACCAAGATCATCGGGGGTTGTACCGGGGACAATCATCATCCACTCCTACTGTATGTGCTGTACTAGCACAATCTCCAATGACTGTCTTCCCTCTTGGTGCGTGGTGGTAAAAGAGCGATCAGTCACAAAACCGAAAGTTGTTCTTACACTCAGAGGAAAGCCACCTCATCTAGAAGAGTCATCATTTCACGAAGAAGTAAAGGGACAGAGGACAGAATAAGCACACTCCACTTGTTGTATTAGAAACCCAATTCCAGCACTTCATGATCGATCCTCCCTCTAACCTCCTGCATTATCTCCAATTGCTCTTTTGTTCGCCATCTCAACAAGTGATTCTTTCACCCACCAAACAGCGATCATAGTATCATCGTCAATCCCAATCGCAATCTCTTCGTTTGTTAAATTTAAAAAATACTCATACTGATGGAAACCGAGAGACCGGCCTCTTCTAGATGACCGACGTCGCACTTCTGAACAGGAACTTCCAGCTATGTACTGGAAGCAAGGCAGCAACAAGCAGTCGAGAGGCAAGCGGACTGGTGCTTTTTGGTTGTAATCTTAGTTTTTCATCTCATCAATGCTAGTGTCATACAAGAATCTGATGTCGTCTGCTGTATCTGAAGTTCGTTCTTGCTCGGGTAATCATCAATGTTGGGACAAGCGCGTTTGAAGTGAAAGCATATTTTTGTGGGCCCATCAACATCGACATGTTGGCTGTAAAACTAAATAGCACAACAGGTACTTATCTTCTAGTAGCATGGAGGATACCTTTCCTTGCTCAAATTCAGAAGTAAATTTTCTAGGTCATTGAGGCTGCTGAAGCTCTAGCTTCCCAGCCAGTTGTTGATCTTCTTGATGTGCTTATTTTTGTACTTGTAGTTGTACTACTGTTGAATTTGAAACTCATCAGGGCAAAGGATACCTTTCCTTGTTCAAATTCAGAAGTAAATTTTCTAAAGAACAATGGGAGGATTGTGAACTACACTCGAATGATGATGGTGATGTGTTGTGGTGGTTACTTTGACGTGTGATGAATACGAGAGAAAGAGAATTATCTTATCAATATCAGCTAGATGAGGTCTCTGACTCGCTTTTTAGAGGTCAATCGAAATAAAGAACTTGTACTCAATAGAAGCAATTTTTCAAAGACACCACGAGCTTACTTTAAATTCAATGAAAGACTGTGAGGACTTTTCTTTTTCTACTGACCCTTCGACCTTATTCTAGCTTTTTCTTCATCAGCATCCCGAGATGGATTGTTCTTTCGACCTTTAGCTTCATTGTGCCAGGCAAGAGTCAGCCGACGTTTGCTTATCGGTGCTAGCTTCTTCTTGTGCTTGTAGTTTCGTCTTGTGCTTTTAGGAAGTACGCGTCTTCCACTTGTCGGTTGATGAACGATATCATGTTTTTTCTTCGGTTCTTGCACGAGGAGATTAAAGCACGAGATTAAACCCGATGGATCCTTCATCCCCACCGACGCTGCAGCCACTATATCGTCATCTGTGATTCCTGCGCCGCCACGCGCAGACAGCAACGGTGGTCTCGTGACTGCCCCGCCAGCAACGGAGGTTCTGTGCTGTTCGGTTCTGTGTCGTTCATCTTGTTGAACCTTGCCTTCTCCTTCTACATGTTGTTCGGCAAGCCCCCACTCTTTTTTCCGGTCGTCTAGAAAAGCGTAGAAAGCGGCAGCTAGACGTAGACGAAGGGCAGCGAGGCCTCGTTTTGAATACACGGGCTCAAGAGTTCCAGGACGCTCGCATTTGCAGGTGGTCGTGGTGCCAGATGAAGTGGGAAAAACTTCAAGATGTTGATCCTCATCTAGGTCGTCTGTAGATGGAGCGAGCATGCAGTGGTCCGTAGATGAAGTTGATGTAAGGAAACAAGACCTTGAGCTTTTCCGCAGCAAGAATTTTCGACCACATTTCCTACACTGCTTCGGCGCGTCAAACTGCATCGAAACTTGCCTCTTCGACCATTGGAGTTCATGATCACCAGTCGTAGTCTTGTTCAAAGCGAAACCCTTACTGCAGACGTACCCTTTCGAATCGTGGGAGATGAAAGAAGAAGAAGAGAGAGAAGTAGAAGGACTAGAAGAGGTGAGATGACGTACAACAAGATTGAACGCACCAACATATTTCTCTATCGTGAAGAACAAGATCCGATGATAATATCGGTGGAGCACTCCTAACTAGCAAACAAAAAATCAAAAAAGTCAGGTATTCCGGATGATAATGTTAAGGACAACATGTTATAAGGCGAAAGGAGTGAACCAAACAAAATGCAGCGTCTTATCCTTGTGGATGTTTGAGAAACACGTCATAAAAAAAGCCACATATTCCCTCGGATCTTTGGCTTTGTTCCCGCAATGGAACTCGTCGCATCGGAACATCAGGTTCGGAAACTCCTTACACGACCCAATCAGATCAGCACGTGTCAATTCGGGCTCCCCCGGTATGAAGAAGTCTATGATAGAAGTCGTAGTAATGTACGTAACATAAGCCGTACGCGTACTAATGATTAACGACTAATTAATTGATATCTACGTTCGTAATACAAAGAATGAGTCGTGGATTGATTGATTGATCGATTGAGTGACTAATTAAGCTTTGAAGCCGAGAACTCAGTAGATGAATTTTGATTGATGTGCCTACCTCGGTTATACTAGAAGCTGTACCACAATGAATCTTCGTTAAATACCATACAAAGAATGGGAGGGTTGATTCTTGCTACCCTAACTATACAAAGAAAAAAATCTATATATCAATCATAACAAGGAGCATTTTGTTAAGCAGATCTTGCTGTGCAGGTCTTCTCTTCTGGTAAAAGAGTTGTTCAACATAGGGGTGACCACTAGTATCGTGATGTTCTTCGACGTCTATACCTGTCAACGAAGTGTAAATACTCCTTAGAACTAGATTTGAGTGTGAGAGAGTACTACACATCATTACTTTCGATTTCATAACGTCTGGCAATTTGAATTGGGGTGCTGAATCCGCGCTTGCCCAATCTTTTTCTAGCATGTAGCGCACAATAAAGTCCCTCATCTCCTCTTCTTCGCAGTCTTAGACCTTTCACTTGCTAGTAGAAATCGAAATACGGTACTCAGGAATCAAATTCAATTAAAAGTAAATAAAATCAAAATTTTACGCTTTTTTTCAATCTTCAAATTCACTTTTGGCAAGATTCCATCACAAACGTGAAGCAACTGCAGTACGCACATCAGCAATTGAATTTGATTAAAAGGCGATGAAAGCAAAATTTTTAGTTTCTCGGATTCAAAATTCCATTTCAAGGAAATTTGTTGCTTACGTTGGTGGAGTCTAATGAGAAAATGATTCTATACTGCGTATTTGATTAACTTGAAAGTGTCTCCAATCCACCCTATGTTATAATACAAAAACAAACACATTGTCATTACACTTATTAATTGTCCGTCGAGTACGAGTTTCTTTCACTATTTATAAGGTTAAGAAACAAGCTTAGTAGTACGTCTTCCTCTACTAGCCTTAACGTTCTACTGCTTTGACGTCAACTTCCTGAGGCAACTGCAGTGTAGCAACACCGAGAAGCATGTTGCGCTCTGTTACTGCGAACCGGTAGTACGCACGACTCAGCGGGTCACGATTAATCAGAGATAATACTTCCCCATCTGTGATACGCATATACTCTTCAACAGCGAGGTCTTGCTCCATGCTGTGGTCGTTAGCTGGTGCTTCCTGAGCTGGAAGCTGAGAAGAATGGCATTGATGTTGTTGTTTTGATTCGGACGTACTAAGTCTGCCAATACTACTGCCGCTGCTACCACTACCATTACACCCAGCCCTCCCACTACCACAACTCCCATCGTGATTCATCTCCCCTACTCCTTCTAACTGCGCTGCTTCCAAGAGCCAAGGACAATCTAGCATTTTCATAGACCTCAAGACGCAAGTCTCCAATTTAGCGCAAGCAGGATGCACATAAGCAGTCGCATATGTCACCATGCGCCATCGAAAAATAGCATAGGCCATCTTCTCCGCATCTTTCAAGGGTGTAGCAATAGTTAAAACTTGCGTAGTAGTCGTGGAGGTGACGAATCTGTCCTCTTGGAGGTTGTTGCCAGTGGATTTGAGTGATCTGTCCTCTTGTTTGTTGTCAGAAGATCGTCCAGAGGCACTTTCAGAAGCATCCTCGTACTTGCTCCTAGAAGCAGAAAGTCCAGCAGGAGCAGAAAGTCCACCAGATGCACTTCCTGTCACAGCAGAAGACCTTCTAGTCACAGCAGAAGCACTTCTCGTCACACAAGCAGGACCTCTATGAGAAGATGAAGAACCTCTCTCAGCAACTCCGTCAGAAGCTCGTCCATCAACAACTATTACTTCTTCTACCAAGTCTACGGGTACTACTTTCAAACTGTCCAAAAACCGCATCCATTCGACTGGTGATTCCAAGGCCAACATTGCTGAATCACGCACAAAGTAATCCAGTCGATCCACATCCATCCCACCACGCCAGTTTGAGACCAATTCATACACCCAAGCGTGCTCCACGCCTCTTCCTTTCACGTGTTTAGCCCACTCACTTGCGAATGAGATGGTGCTTTTCTGACCGGGATGAGGTTTCTGGGGATTCAAGGCAGCACGAAGCACCTTTTTACCAGGTAGCTCGACTAGCTCCTGTGTGTTGAGAGTTGTGTATTCAAAATGGACGACGAGCAACTATTTTTGAAAAAAGAGCCCAAGTAGATCTCTTCTACAGTACTTCTATAATCTAAGTATGTCACTCTAAGTACTTCTAGTTGAATTTTCAATAGTGCTAGTGCTACTGTGAATAAAGCAGAAATACTTGAATAAAATCCAAATCTCTGTCTTCAAAGCGAATCGGCGGCCATCCCGCAGCTACTGCTTCGACGTTGTATTGGTCTTCGATTTTTGTTTTGACGTCATCCCAGAGAACGCCTATCAATTTGCGAGAGGCAATTTCGTGAGACCAATCAGGATAGCCATTTTCATGCATGAAATGCTCAAAAGAGTGCGAGAAAGCTGGATGCCCAACGTCGTGACAAAGTGCGGCTACGATCACACAAATGCGATCCTTGTCGGTGAGTCGTAACTTGATAGAATCGTAGCTTCTAACCCGACTATTAGAGTTCACCTCTTTCTATCCATCGTTAGTTAGATGCATCTTGATCATGATTCTTTGTTCCTACCTATGGGACAGGGACAGCTTCTAGGGACAGATTATCAGTTGTCTTTATATGAGACAGCCTCAGGACGATGCAGCCTCTGAAAATGGGTTAGGGGTGGAAGATGCAGCTTCTGGAAATGAGTTAGGGCTGGAAGCCTTATGACTACGACCGGTCACGAGATCACGATGTAATTGGTACATCTTCTTTCCCAATTTTTCCAATGCTTCTTTCGCTAAGAAGCCGACTCCCAAAGAGTGCGCGAATCGCGTGTGCGTAGCGCTCGGGTACACCAAACCAGCGGTGCCTAACTGGTTTACGTGACGCATCTTCTGGAAAATTTGATGGTCGATCACCGGTAGTACCAAAGCCGGGAAAGTGATTTGCTTGTAAAGAGGATCACCCGTCGTCCACTGCGGCAGTCGGTCGAGGAGCGAGGTCCATGGTTTCGGCTCTTCATCTACCTCTTGGTGCACGCCAACAGTTGAGTCTGATGAAGCCTGTTGAGTCCCAGTGAAAGTAGCTGGAAAACCTTGCGCAGCGGCGTGTGCACCTTGCAGGAAAGCGAACTGCAAGATGAGCGCCAGAGAGGCGAAAGAGCGTGTGCTTCGTAGTACCATTTTTGTGGACATAACGAGAACTCGTTGATTTAGTACAACAACTCTTTATGGTTACGTTACGATATTTGTTTCCAAAACTGAAGCTTCACAATCTAGTATTGTGTTATCTTATAATATGGACTCAAAAACCTTGCTCTCTATTCAATTCTAAATATTCCATCCAGTCATAATTACAACTTCAGTCAGTGGGCCATCTCATCAATAACGATCACAAATCTCACGTAGTAATTCTAATGGACATCGATATTCTACTGCTTGACTTTACAACTGCACACAAAAAGTCTTGAAACATATAGAAAAGCACGTGAAGCGATGGATTGTACTTATGAGAAAGTCAAGAAGCTTCTTGATAAAGACACTGACAAACTGTAGAAACAATACTTCGTTTTCTAAAAAAATGACTATCGAGACACACAACAGAGGAGTCAAATCTTCGTTTTTGTGGGAGTGAGAGGGTATGTAGGGACTTGGTAAACATTTTGGAGAGCAGAAGGTGCTGATTCATCAATGTACTAATCTTCTTCGCCTTTCTAGTATGTAGCTCATATACCTCGGTACTAGTAGTACTACAACACGCACACAGACACCAGACACACAAGAGCCACACTGCCTTCGACCACGGCCAGAAAGTGCCATCTTGTGTAGCAGACTTCCCACAACCGACAAAGCCAAGTTGCTCAGTGGAGCCAAACTACCAACCAGAGAAAAGTGACACATAAAACGCCAAACACGGAAATGTGCAAGAGTACTATGCAGTTGCGTCAGGTCGTCTTCCTAGTTTTCACTGTTGTAGCGAAAATGGGTATCTTTTCGTGAATGTTCATGTTGTTCAAATGATTCTTATCCGAACAGCAGACTCGAGTCTGCATCATCATCAAATCGTCTTATTTCCAACAATGCGCTTGTCTTCACAGAAAAATCAACCATGCCGCTCAAGGCCCAAACATCTCCCTGTCCGCTCGCACATTGTCGTAAGCCGCCGTGACGCCCTCTATCCGCGCATTGCTTCTGTTAGTCGCGCGAAAGTCTCTCTGGACGGATCGGAGTTGCCTCAGAGCTAAATCCCTTCCTACACGCTGAAACCGCACAGCTAGTCTCTTCCAAGCATCTAAGTCCGTGATACCCAAGTCACGGAATAACTGGGTCTTAGAAGAAAAGCATCTGGGACGGATTGGGGGCATAGAAATAAGGTGTCGTGGAATGGAGTTGATGATGTTGAAACAGGTAAAAAAAAATGAATTCAAACTATTCTGCAAAGATACACGACTTTCTCTTCGACGCTCTCAGACAACGCGCTTTCATGTTTTCATTGAAGATCAGCAAAACTCTTGTAAAAATGACTTCCATCTTCATAATCGTTACTCGCGGTAAAGTGTCTGGACGAAGCTGCCTTACCGTCTGCTCGCTCTGAATAAAGGCTAGCAACTGGTACAGCACTCGTGGGTCCATTGCGAGAGATGGTGGATGTAAAAGCGTACGCGGACAGGCAAAATCTATAACATCAGTTGTAGCTTCTTTTCCGTCCCCTGAGAGAACCGGACTGACCTTGTGTTTGACATGAATAGCCACCCTCGCCGCACTTTGGACATGGGGTTGCATTTCGACAAGTGCTGTTAAGATTTTCACCACATGATCTTGGTTGAACGCGACATCGAGACGCATTCGCCGGCTCCTCTCGTTCAGAGCGTTCACGAATAAGGACAGCAATCGTTAGAGGAGCTTTCCGATAATACCAGATAAATCGATTTATATCTTCTTGGCAAGCACTTCATTAAGAGATGTAGTTTTCCTCTCGCCGTTGAACAAAAAGCACTTTAGCTATAACGCTAGAAGCTATCAAACCTCAGAGACAGAAGCGGCCTCCTCTGTCAAATTCCGCGGCGCCTCTGTTCCGACTCCTCTGGCGCGGACCATTTCGCCAGGAAAGCGTCGCGAGCTGGCGGAAGAGGAGCGGGGGAGGCGCGTCTTGGCGAAGGAAATGCGCGAAGGAGGTGGAGGATTCTAGTGGAGGGAGAGCTATCGGGCGCCGAAGTCTAGTACTAGAAGCTATCATCGAGGATGCTTTCAAAGATGAACCACGTACACCAGATCAAAGGCCATAAAAATGGCTGCGCTGTTGTATCGTCGTTAGAAGGCCGGTAACACTTTTGAGTTTCTTCACACGACGCCGAAGCAGGGTCAACTCGTGATGATCCCTATGTCCTCTTGGCTCGTTGACGAGTTGTCCCGCAGAGTCTACTTCCTTGGAAGGAAGTTTGATCCTCGCACGTCGAGGTAAAAAGCTTTCGTTGGCAAGCAGCTGCGCGGCGACCTCGTACAGTGCTGCTAAGGCCTGAGCCGAGAATTGAACGTCCTCGCTCTCTAAGGCGCGTGTGGTCGCAGACAGCAGCTCGGTCAAAAACTCTGGGTCTCTGGGCGTCACAGTTGCGAAACTTCGAAAAAGGACGCTGAGAGAATGCGCAGATATTTTTGTAGTTGTTGCAGAAGTACTAGTTTTATTTCTATTAGTATTTTCTTGCTGTCCTGTTGCGCTATCCTTATGTCGAAGAAAACGGGGACTCAGCATATCGCGCAGTGCTTTTTGTGCTTCAGGTTCAGTGTCATCTTCAGCGTTCATAGTGTTGATAGCGTTGCTAGCGTTGTTAGCATTTACCAACAGCCCACAATCTACGAGATGTTGTCTCACTCGCTGCTGCACCAAGTGGATTTCTCGCGGCTCCGTGCGTCCCACACCAGCCAGACCCCACATCAGCATAGAGAGGTCTACAATTGACATATCGTCTTGATGTTCCTGTTGTCCAAGAAGGAGGGCGTTGTCTCCATTTTCCTGTGCGCTGAGGCTCTCTGCTTGGATTTGTAGTGTTGGCACCTCGAACAGTCCCGTAGCCTTGTTGTTCTCTTGTACTTGAAAAGGACCCTCTATGCTACTCAGTCCAGGCCGCTCTTCCCCACTGTTAACTTGACGAGCGTCCTCACCACTTCTGCTGCCCTCGTCGCCACTCAACAGCAATATCATCCTCGTCGTGAGTAGGTCCCATGTTCGGTCGTCGTAGACGCAACAGCGCGCAAGACTCCAGGCCGTCAACGCCAACTGCTTGCCGGTGAAACTGAGCGCCCATGCTTGCACACAAGTTAGACAGAGTAGCTCTATTTTTGTCATTAAAGTTAGATGAGACGCCACACACCTACTAGCTGAATCTACTTGTTTATAGTCACTCATCGTCCACCCTGAAGAAAGGTAAAAACTCATTTCCTTGTTGCACGTGTTCGTTCCTCAAGTGAAGATCTAGACGAAGTTATATTGTTGCACGGGATAACCTTAGAATTTCAGAGGTGCAAACTAGCCGGCTGTTTTACTTAGTGCTTTAAGCGTCGCGGGACCTAAACCTTCACCTATAGAAGGTGAAAGCCAATCAAGATTTACAGCACACCTCGTCCTTATTCAAAGGGAAAAAGTTGCTGTATCAGATCCTGCTATGGGAGGAGGTTAATTACTTACGTTTCAGATTCAGATCTATTGCTTCGTTTTGAAAAAAGCAACTTTTCAACATGATCTAGACCAAGCTATACTACTGCACGATCAGGTCACTACAAGCACAACCAGCCATAAACACGGCAGCAACTTCCATGCAGCCGGTGTGTAGCGGAGCACGGCGTAGCGGTGAAGCACCAGTACCAACAAGGCTCGACCAGAAGAGCCTTTGTTTCTGTCGTGTCCTGCGACCCCAGAAGGAGGACTACCAGAGGTAGACACAGAAGATAGCTGTACTCGTTCGATCACTCCTGCATTGAAGAGTGCAAACCCAGGCCACGAGCTATCAAATTTATCCTGCTGCGTCGTCAGCCGGAATGAAAAAGCATGAAAGGCGGCAATTTTTGATCCAAAGATCATGCACAGGCGATGATATCGCGCCCACTTATGCTTATACTAAACGTAAATTTCTATGTACTAACACGTATTTTCTAGTATTTGATTTAAAAAGCGAAATCAAACGTTGGAGAGCCTTATTAGGCTTGGTCATAAGAACGTCAATGCTGCCAGCCAGTCTCTCGTCTTCAGTTCTCGGGCATGCTTATGACAGTAAGAAAAGACTGCAAGTGGGTCTTTGCCAAGAGATTCGATCTTTTCTGCATGTTCTGTGTCCGTCTCCCATCTCAAGCGGTTTGCGAATCCCCGACGCTGGAGGGTCGTTACCTGTTGTAGCCGCGTTGTAAGAGTAAGATGATGAAGAACCTGGCATGTAGTATTTATATATCGATGACGTACAACGACCAACTGCAAATTGTCTACTCCTGCTAGTGCTCCAGCTCCAGTTCTCTTAGTATTCGTGAGGCTGCCTTGTGCATGTGCTCCCGTTCTCTTAGTATTTGTGAGGCTGCCTTGTGCTCCCGTTCTCTTATTAGAGCTCACTCTAATCCATCTCGAGATGCATCCTAGATGCCTTTTCCCCTTTAAAAGCCTCTTCAAGATGCTTCCGAAGATGGATCTCCTCAAGCCTTAATCTTGATTCTGCTTCCAATGCTGCTGCAACTGCTTGTACTCGTAAAGAGAGCGTCCCTGCTCAAACGGATTTTCCTGGATGGGTCCTTCATGATGAAACGCGACTTACAAGGTTCAAGGTTTAGGGTCCTTCATGATGAAACGCGACTTAAAAGGTTGGTACTATCGATCAGTTACAACACCAGCTGCAGCACCACAACACACAAAGGTTTCGGATAACTCACTCCTACAACGGCGACTTACTCGCATTACATTACCTGAAGCCTAACATTGGCTAGCATGCCAACACCTAGACTATACGATGACACCTTGAACGGCGCAATAGATACAATCATTAGGGGTTGAAAGTTGGCTTCTCTAGCTCGCATATGATAGGATTGAATCTCGCACAAAAAATAAATGGTTTACTTTCTGAACTCACTACCAGTGCTTACCAGTCGTGATCTATTGGAAGAGGTTCCTCTCTGACCGATACTTTCACTACGATCTGGATCCATCACCTTTGTCTCCAAGGAACTAGGATCCATCATCTTGATCTCCAAGGAACAGTTGTAATGATCCACGATCACATCGTGCTGGCCAAAGGAGTTTTCTTCAACATAACTTTCGCGGTGAACTTCGTTTCTTTCTCCCCTTCATTTCCTCGTAGTGGTATCTTCGGGAGTCGCGTTGCTGATAGGCTAGTACCTTCCCAAACTTTTGTTGGAAAAAGCCTAGGAAAAGCCACTCAAGAATGCGACGTCATAGCACCAATCACGCGATGCGACTACGTGATTCGAGCAGAAACAACTACGACAATATGTCAACAACGACATACTAGTACAAGAGAGCGAATAATGAATTTCACCCAACAACAAGTCTAGACGACTTGGCTTCTCTATTATGGTAAACATAGACATTGACAAAGTGAGAGAGAAAATCAGATTCAGATTCAGAAGCTAGCAAATTTTTCGATAGTTCGTTGTAAACAAAGGTACAGCGTCCGAAAACTCGAATCAGGATGATGTCCAAGTCAAAGTATTCATGATGGTGCCTATCGTCATAACGCATATTTGTGATGACTTGGAAGATGGTGACATTTTACCTGTGTGGGCCCTATTCCCACAGGAGCAAATGGAGACGTAAAAGTCCTCCATAGATACGTACTTATGACAATCAACGTCTTTGACAAGTAAACCAATATTTGTTGAAATAAAAGAAAAAGCTTGCGCTTCAATACTCAAATATAATCGTCACGATGAAGTTGCCAGACGAGGCAGAGGATTCTTTATTTTGTCCGAGCTCCAACCCCTCATCCTCTACGAGTATTTCATGAGAACTTTTTCGTGTATGTATCCAGCGCCATATTCATCGTAATCCATATGCTTAGAGAAGAGCGATTCTTAAGATCCATCCTGAGAAACAAATAGTATCTTTTTCGGTGCAAGCACTCTGATAGACTTAATAAGAGTTACTGTTTTGATTAAATAGGTTAAGACAAGATACCCAAAGAAAGATGGATTTTAAGAATGAATAGTCTTTTTTCCATAAAAGCTGTAATCCACAGGTCGCGTTGCATGGTACCTAGGTTCGCGAAGACCTGCGCTCCTTGCCACACAGAGTTCTTGCGATCGGTTGCTGTCGTAACGACCCTAGTCGGTAACTGCGAACTGGACATGAGCAGCATTAGAGTGAGTGGTTCGTTCTACTTACGGAGTTTTTTTCGTTTGTGTGATACTCTTCAATTTGATAGATGCTACTATTCGTATTCTTGCATATGTATGAATATGATTCTGCCATGACTCATCTACATCTTCTCAGAAGTTCTATTACATAATCATAAAGGCCCTGGAACGCCAAAAACATCTTACTGTTACTTATTCATCACGGAAACAATCTATTTTCTCCTTCTAGAAGTCTAAGTCCTCCATAACATCAATTCACGGGATAATCGTGCGTCGAAATTTCGGAACATAGTGCTGCCACCAGACAACACGATATTCTGCAATAATGGGCGCCTTGCATCTATCTCGCAACTACCCACGCAATCCCATATCAAACCCGCTACTCCGCCCGCTTCTGCTTCGATGCCAAGCTGATATTTTCATTCGGACGGTTTCGATGGATTACTCTACCAAGATAAAAGTATTTTTCGTGACCGCTTGTAGGACTACTGATCTCTGTAAGTGTCGTGTACTAGCTTACTTTACCTAGAGGGTACCTACTGATCTTTGTAAGTGTCGTGTACTAGCTCTCATCGAGAGAGGACTATTGAAGATCTTAGTGGTGTCCCAGGCACAAATCTAATCATATAGTACCGATCCCGGATTAAATAGCGCCTCCGGACACTTCCAGCATTCGTCGTGTAATTCGATGCGTTCCCCATCAGGCATGCGGTACTGGGCTGCCTTTAGCACCTTTTCTTCATTTGGGTCCATAGTAACTTAGAAGCACTTCTTCATTTGGGCCCATAGTCACTGGGGATGACAGCGGCCTATAATTTTCCTACTTTAAGTATTATATTAAAGTTGTAGACCCTCGTAGTAAGTGGTCTTTTCATATCCTTGTAGTCTAGATGTTGGTCTTCAGAGAGAGAGAATGATCCTACTCACTACTAGTACTGCTAATTTCCAATGAATTACACATAGAATGAAATTGTGAGTACAACTGTAGAAGTAACCCTGTTCTTGAAGTATTCTTTAAAAGAAATTTCATAGAAAACAAGGTACTCCTGTTGGATGCAAGCAGCTTTGTTCAAGCAGCTTGAGTCAATTCGTAACCCTTTCCCTTAACTTACGTAGCACAAGACTTCCTTCATCTTTACCACCTCTCGTCTTCTGAACGACGTTGACATGGGATAAGCGTTTTTCGCCAGCAACTTCGCTAGATACACGTCCAGTTCACGGCCTGGGTATGGGGTATGGGGTTGGAGTGGTGTGTATTGGCAACTGTTTACATTGTACTAAAGTTACAGCATTAAATATAAGTACTGAGACTACTAGTCTTGTAATCTCATCTACGAGAAGGCTAGATACAGTACCTTGTAAAAAAGCACTGTATTTAATTCCTTCAACTTCTTCGAGATTTAGCCCTAGCAGGCTTTTACAGTAGTACTAGTACAAGACAGAAACAAGCATTTATCACATACGTACTTACCCGCGCAGTGCATCTTCTTGATGTTGTACGGCATTCCGTAGCCGTCTAAGATTGGAATAGCATGCGTGACCCCTGCTCCAGCGTCTAAGACTAGGCCCGTCGTCCTGCCTTGGCCCATAAGGGCAAGGACGCCCTGTATCCTAATGGAAAGACTCGGAACCTGGTGACGTCGGTGCATGGTTATTTACTATTTGGGGAGCATAAAGATTGAATTCCTGCTGGGAAGAGTACCTGCTGAAGTTGAAGAAGATCATACAACAACAACCATATTTGTTTCTGTGCCACCTCCAACCTTTACTCAGCTCAAATACCAGAAGAACCAGAACACCGTAAAAATCACACCCTAAATTTGAGAGCCCCAAAACGTGAGTATAAAAATTACACCAAAGGCCTCGAACATAAGCTCCACTGTGCGTTCCCTGTTGGGCTTCGGATTATAGGGTGCTTCGGTCAAAAGAACCCCATGGTTCTCTGGCTGGATCTGCAACACGTCCACGAAGATGTAATCCCACAACATTTCTATATGCTGGAAATTTTCTGGTCTTAGAGGACACAAGAGGTATGATTAGGATTACAGGTAGGCGAGTGATAATGAGGACATCTACTAGTTCTAGTTCATAGGTCGAATAGGCTCTTTCTTTTAGTGAGAAGCACATGAGCAGCACCACTAGCCTTAATATTATTGCTCCTTCTACGGGATGTGAAACGGAGAGGTACTCTTGATTCTCTGTCACCTCATCCCCGCAGTAGAAGTCCCTATCGCACTTTTTTCGATGTCGCCTTCGTGGTATTCCCACGTCGGTGGGAAATACCTGAATACGAATACGGTGATTTCAGAAAATAAGACTCATTGAGGACTGCTCATAAATAACTACAGATGCAGGTACAACAACTTCGGGTATAAGGCGCAACAACTTCGAGTATGATAGAAGCGTAAGCAAAGAGTCGAATAATATTTATGAGTACATCTACGTCTACATGTACATGAACATGTACACCTAGTACACGATCAAATAAAAAAATCAATACCTTAACCGGTACGTCGTCTGACGACATACCGACCTTTGTGAGTGCAGAGCCATTGTCAATGATGCATATGAGATCTTCGGGACCGTCGTCATCGAGGTCGACGTCTTCGTCGGCATTCTGTCCGCCCAAATCTCCCCTAACGTCATCAGGCGTCATCGTTGATGTTGCTCGAATGCTTGATTATTCAATCGTTGTTATAACGTCAAGCTGCTGTTGTAAAAATTCTGGTTCTACTATTTGGACCGGAAGATGCTGACCCCTCGATGAAGATGATCGCCAATCTTGGATTACGACGAAAGGTGTGCGAGACCAACAGGAACTTGTTCCCTTCCTCTGCGTCTGCGCAGAAGGCACCACAGGAACGCTTCAACGATATGAAGGCTTTCTTCTTCAGAATGCGTCGTCAGTTCGGAACGCTAACGTACGATTCAGGATCTAAAGCGCAACTTATAAGGCAAGCTGTCGCACTCGTATACATCCCAAGCCAAGTAAGCCAACCACGAATCTGCCTGATCCAGAATGTCACAGCAAAACAATACCTCACGAAGATTCGTGAGGGGCAGCGACCCTTTGGGTCGCCGCTATGCAAGGCGGCAACCAAGCAAACCTGTAGCCCTTTTTGACGCTCACAACACCCCTGTGGGTTGCAAGGCTGCTTTATTCCTCCTCATCTTTTTTTCATGTACTAAGTTATATTAATACTTACTTCGTACTAATTTCTTAATAAGTAAGGGAATCAATTAGCAACACATCCCGTACCTCCAGTGAGCAGTCAAGAGCACAAAATTAAGAAGATAAACCAACGTTTCTTATACGACTTGATAGAAAACCATTAGATATTGAAGACGACTTGATAGACTTAGATGCTTATCAAACAAGTAAAGAAAAAGAGAAAGTTACAAAAGTTGCGGGCATAGGGTTATTGGATTATTATTAAGCTCGTATTTCTATACCATTGTCGTGCTTCACGTTGTAAGTACTACTACGCTTTCACTAGGTCACTGCTGTAGCCGCTGCTGCTGCAACGATGAGACTTGTTGCTTTTGACTCGTCTAAACGCGTTCGCACGCAAAACCTAAGACTTAATCGAGACTCGTGTTGACTTGTATCACAGACAACCGACAAGTAATTGGGCCAATACTATAATTAGTAGTGTAGTACATACAAGTCGAACACAAAGAGTACAGTCGAGGCAGCCACTTTGTAGGGGTATGCTGCATGCCAGACGCCAGTATCTCGAAAGTTTTTAAATACCATGTTCAATATCTTGAAACGTCATCATGCGATTCCATCAACAGCTCAACATTTTTAGTGAGGGTCAATCAAGTCTGAGACCTTCCATTCTTCTGTCTCACCATTGGGAAGTTTTCTTTGGATAATAAACGGAATCTTCCCCATTCGCAGTTCCTTCTCGGCGATTTCTAGAGCGTCCGTTTCTCCCTCTAATGGCACTAATATCGGCGCATTCAAACTTATTTGAGTCGCGCGCGTACCTAGCAGATGGAGGTGACAGATTCAAATTTTAAATATATTTTTTTTGAAATCATATCCATATGACTACTAAGTAATCATAACGTATATCTTTTTTCAAATTTGATATCATATCCATATGACTACTAAGTAATCATAATTCGAACACGACTTGTTTCTGATATAACCACTAAGTACTCATATAACACGACTTGTTTCTTCGAAGAGCAGTGAAACTGAAACTCTTTTGTGGGAGAGAAGAGCAGAGAAGGAGACAAAGTCTTTAGTGGGAGAGCTATTCAAAAGACTTAGAAGTACCTAATATCCTTGCCCGTTCGTATTTGGTCATATATGCGCTCGTCTTAAGACCACGATTCGACACTTGCGGTGGCGGTGGCGGTGCTGCTTGATCTGTAGAATTGAGAAAATCAAATTCAAAAATATAGCAATAAATTAGAGCGAATCATTATCATACGTAGATAGAGTGAGAGACTGCCTACCAAAATGAAATAGAATTTACTATCTACGATGTATCAGACCACAGGACTAGACAGGACATAGGCAGAAAAAAATGAAGTACCATCGAAAATCCCAGCATCCTGTTGTTCCTGGTCCATTTGGTCCATCGCATCGAAGTCGTCGTACAAGCCGCCATCTTGCGCAGCCTGCTGTGCTCCGGAAGTGCCGTCCATTTTTTTTTTCTACGTCTTTTTTGTTGCTGTAGGGAGATAAAGGCCGCCCTAGAAGTTAGTCTTATAAGTAGATACTTATACTTTTGGTAAAAGGCCTAGAAGTTTGTCTTACTATACTCAAGTCCGAGGAACTTAGTCAAATAGCGACCGTTATGCACAACCAACCTCAGGTAAAAATAGTAGTCTCCGAGCGACGAGACGAAAAAAAATTCTACTAGAAAATGGTCGCCGTAGTCTCTGTCAGCTTTCAATCAACAGTCGTCTCTGTCACCTTTTTAGGTCAGCTTTTTAGGTTTTCGGGTTAGATTGAAGAAGGATAGATTGAAGTTGCCTCATCGGGTTGTTGGTTGAAGTGTGGAAAACTACGAAACGCATGATGATCACACTGGAGCGAGCTGGTAGTACAATGCAATACAATTAATCCCGCACTTTGTTTTTTTCGTAGTGCGAGCGAGTTCCGATAAGTCAAAACCTATCTGCGTACTTTGCAAGCGAGTTCCGATAAATCAAAACCTACCTGCGTATTTTCCGAGTGCACAAAGATCAGTGCAGACTGCCTTAAGGGCGTCATAGATGGTCTTCACGATGGATCTCACGCAAAGAATGTAACAGCGAAGCGGTACGGTTAATATATAGTATTTCAATTTTTCTGTGGTCTTCTCGACTAGACCTAGGCGTTGCGAACAAGCATGCGGTAACTTCTTTTGAAGCTGAGTATCATTCTTGTATCAACTATGCAGTCCATTTCGAACTGCAGAGAATTTCGATTCAAAATGAATATGGACGACCTCGAAGAGCAGTGCAGAGATCCATTCTCTTCCTTTTTCATTTTCTGTGGTAAGCATCTCAATAGTGCCCACTGCATGTTGGAAGACCATGCTTGCAGATTCACAAGTAACAAACAATTACAATTACAATTACAAGTTTTCCGAAGAGTTCGACGCACCAGCAGTGGAGTAGGGCACACGGAGCCACCTTGTATGCAGTTGGTCTTTGTTGTAAAAAGTATTAAAAGAGCTTCCGCATCCAAGGCAACATAAAATGTCGAGTTATCACACCAGGATCCAACATCAGTACGAAAATGATGTATGACAACGATGTGTATGTGAGTGGTCTTAAAATCTTCCCACATATACCTGATGGCAATGGCTGCCACACGTCCACAGTGTGGTGATTTCTTCTTGTGAACCATCTCAATTTTCTTCTCATGGTACCCTATACTGCCTGTGATGTCATCGGGTTCAAAACATCATTTTTAGTTTTCTCCCGAGTCGAAAGATCATGGATACACGGAATTAGATTGATATCAAAGATATGTGTGCAGGTTCAAATTCCATATTCCAGCCCGACTCCTGGAGGTAAAGATTATTCTTCTACAATTGGGATTTCTTCATGGTGAATATGTAAAATTCACAGACTTCAGGAGGTTGAAGAAGTTACGGCGTTACGAGAAAAAATAAGTCGTGTTGTGTGGACTGTTGTGTACTATGCACAGTGTCCGAGTCTTCTCTTTCATGCACTGTGCCCGAGTCTTCTCTTTCTGCAATCCGGGTTTCTCCATCTCCTCTCTCCTCTCCAGAGTGTGGCTGGAGATACGAGAATTGTAGTAGCCGGCTCTCCCTGTCGACAAGAAATTCGAAGGAAAAACCTTGACTTTCTTCGTGTTCGTCTCCCTCGCGACCTTGTCCTCCTTCCTCACCAACTCCAACATGATGGCTCTCACGCTTATGTATCTCGAAACTACAGAAGTTGCTCTGCTGTGGCCTGGGCTCGTCGGACTTGAAAATTCTAAAAGATGGTGTGCGAAGATTATAGTCTCCGATTTCAGAGGATGATGAAGATGACGACAACGACGCCGAAGATAACGATGAAGTTTCGCCGCTTCCTACCTTCGCATGTTGTCCTGCGACCGCTTCCGGAATAATCATCCTGTCGGCTACTTCGTTCTTAACACAACTGAAGAAATCTATCTTGAAGAGCAAGTAGTCTTCATGCTGTCGCTGCTGCCTTCGCTGTTCGTTAGAGCTACCGCGGTTGCATCTTCCTCTTATTTGAGAGTAAGAAATAATATTCTTTGTGGGAGACCCCGTGCTTCTTTTCAAACTGTATAGAAAAAGAAGAACCAGGGTCAGATTATGGTGATGCTGAGAAAGAGGATGCTCCAACCAGAGAAGTCTTAACTTCATCTGGCAGATCAGCTTCCCATTCCCACTCCGCGACCAACGATAGCTCCACCTTTGAATCTTCAAGCGCAACATCTAACGGTGCTCCTCTGCTTCTTCTTCTAAGGGTGCACCTATGCTTGGAACTAAGAAGAGTCCAGCTTTGGACTCATCTTGGTCCCCGTTTAGAAGTCCCTATGCAAATTGTAAAACGGGAGGACCAACCAGATGCTCTCCTGGGGAAGCTGGATTTCTTGTGCTTAGCCTGATTCATATGTAGGCTGATTCATCCTCGTCCACCATTGACTCTGGCTCACCTCGTAGTGGCTTATACTCATAGTCCATGCTTTCCAGCATTGCCTTTGGCGCCGTAGTTGTGGGACACTCGAAACGTTTATGAGTTTTCCATTCTGGAAAACTAAAAGATGAACCCTTATCTTCTTCAGTTACAGTCTGCTGCCGAATTCTTTCCAGCGTGTCATCGTCGACTTCGAAAGCAAAGCCTCCCCTACTATTGCTCTCAAGAAAACGCAGTCGAGCCAAAACGTGCTCATACAAGAGCAAAAAAGTCGATGCTTGTTCGTTGTTCATCTGCTGAAACGTGTGGTCTGCAATAGCGGCACCTGTTGTGGTACCTGTAGTGGTACCTCCTGGTGCTGAGGTGGGTCCTCCTCCTCGTCCTGTGGCCGCTGCGCTACCTCCAACATCAAAACTACGACTACCGAGGAAAGAAATATCTACAGTACTTCTTCGCTCTCTTCACAACTACCGGCGCGGATACTAGAAGCACCTGCTTCGCTACCGAGGAAAGACGGATCTACTTGACCTTCTTCAACTGCTTATCTTTTCAGCTCCGCAAGCGATCCTTTCCATACCACACGTTCTACGAAACCCGGGTAATCTTCTAAAGCTTCTTGTACACGGAATACCTCCTCTGGCGGGCGTGTGATGCTCCAAGGCAGGACAGCGAACTTTTCTGAGGTGAGAAGATATTTCGCCACTTTGCAAGTAAGACTTCGGTTGAGAGCTTTTGCCTCTAGAAAGCGAGTATTCTCGCGCCCTATCAATCTGCCGAGTACTGAGAGGGTCCTCTCTTCAGGGAGGTGAACAACATTATAGTCATGACGAAGACGACCTCTATCATGATATCCAACACCAACGTCTTGGTTGTCGAGCCTTCTATTCGTCGTCGAGTAGAAAGCGTCGAAAAAATCTTTCAGACCTACTTCTACATTGTTGCTGCTTCCTCTTGACACTTCTGGAAGAGCGGAATCCTCTTCTAGAGTCGTACCTTCGCCACCTCTTGACAGTAGAAGAGCGGAATCCCCTTCTAGAGTCGCAACAGTAGGCCTGCTCGTCGGACCCCGAGAGAGGTCGTATTCCGGAGGACCAAGAAACCCAGAGCTCTGCTGAAGTGCATTCACTTGAGGAAAGGCCGACCCCTCGACCCCTGCAGCGGCAACAGAGGGAAGGAAAAAAGAAAAGATGAAAAAACGAAACATCCTCCTTGAAAAAGAAAGCTGCCCTAGCTACGTCACTTTTTATCTAAATCTATACTCAGTCAGTCAATCAATCAGATCGCCTCCACAGGGCAGCGACCTCCCTGCAGCTGCTACTGCCGCACCTCTGCGTCCGACTTTTGAAAATCTTTATAGTAAATTAGTAGTGATCATGAATGCTTTTTCTTAGACAGTAGTAGTTGTTGCACATCTTCTGTCAATGGTCAAGTGTTTCACGTCTATCACTCCCTGGCCAAGTCTCTCTTAGCAGGAATGAAAATTGAAACATGCCTCTTCCTCTGAAAAGAATACTTCTGCCACGTTGTTTTATCCGTGTCGTTTCTTCAGATGTCCTTCATCAAACAAGCACGCTGGAGGTTAACCGTTGACGTGGAGGACACAAGGAAGTTGATTTAGATTTGGAGGCTTCAGAGAAAGTTTCTTTTTTTTTGTAATGCCGGAGAGATTGAAAGAATCCAGTGACCTTTATCCAGTTCGCAAACCGGCAGCAGGCGGAGCATACTACCCCCTCTATCAAACCTACTCCATCATATTAGCCCCTCTATCACATGGGGCGCAGTACGTTTCACAAGCATATCGCGGCACCATCATTTTGCTACCATCTGGCTGTCAAGATTATCTTACTCTTCTTGTTCTAATTCAAGTTCAAGTCATTTCATGTCGGTGGATATATATCCCAGAGGAGATGACCTTCTATTTTTATCTAATGAAGGTTCCCCATTGTTCAGGATTATCTTTACACCTCTTCTAGTTCTTGATACTTGTCACGTTAATTATGTGGATCCATTTTACTATGTGGAATGAATCCCAATCGGATGTCAACATAGCTAAATACGAAAGAAAAGAACCAGTTTCAATCATTTTAGTGTTGAAAAATTAGTAGTAGTTAGTGCCCCATAAACTATAGGTGAACAATCTGAAAAATCTACATTCAAAGTTCGCGTTCGTAGCCTACATTATCATATTCTTGAAGCAATTGCCGCAGACGCCGCTGCTACTGCCCATTTTTGTCATAATCAAAGGCACAAGATATTAGTGTTCGATAGCTTGTATCGAACACTAGTACAATGGGAGACTTACCGCAGAGAAATTAAGGCAAAGGCAATACGATACCATCAATCTCGCACACAATACAGCGCAGACTGCCATAAGGGCGTCGTAGTGTTTCTTATCCCGATGAAGGTGATCTTTTCCCCCAATGAAGGTGATCTTTTCCCCAAAATAAAATTTACTCCTTGAAATTCAATGTAGACTCAAACATTTAGTCTGGACTTCGCGATTCTACAAAAACATTGGTAAGGGCACGGCGGAAGAGCAGGGTCCCGACGAACACCTTGGTAATCCCTTGTAGGCGAAATGTAGTTTAGAGGTTGCGGAGTTGCGTCCCCTTTAGAACATCCTTGGCCTATTTTCCCCTTGAAAAGGAGCCAAGGATGGTAGTGAGGGATGTAATTCGGAAACCCTTAAGTAGTTCGTAGTTCAGTCTGTCGACAAGGAACTCGAAGGAAAACCGTCCATCGTCTTGCTCCGGTAGTCCATCTCTTCCATCTCTATTTCCGATTCCGTCCTCTCCTCCGTGGTTAGATATTCTCAGTTTCCTGAATGTACTCTGCCGTAACTGCCCGTTCGGATACCTGTTGTCCCTGTCCGCCTCGAACCTTGCCGTCACTGACAGCAACGGACGCCTCGCGTGCTCACGCGGCTCTGCAATACTAGTAAGAGTCGTACACCAGGAGTAGTTTCGTCGTTTACTAAAGGTGGAAGAGGTGGTTGTAGACTCTGGTCGACGCCGTTCTTCTCCAAATGATGAAGCTCCTGCTGATGGAGCTCGTCGACTTGCTCCGAATGCGGTTGCTGCTGGCGAAGGCTCTCGCTGTCGTTCTGCTACAGGAATGATCCTCCTGTCGGCTTCGAAGAAATCTATCTTAAAATCCAGATACTCATACACCTGATCGGCAACCTGTTTCACGCAAGAGCTACAATCATCGAACCCTGCGATCAACGACACCTTCACGTCGTCAGGAAAAAAATTACCTCGCACGCTCGCGGACACGTGACTCCTTAAGTAACCTCCCAGACTCGTCCACCACAGCTGTTCGAAGCCAAGTGGGAAGGGCTTCACAACGACCCCAGAACTATTATTATCATCTTCTGTTCCTGTTGTGCGGGTACCATGATGATCTTCTGGAGCTGTTGGGCGGGCCCCGTCGGAGGAGAACGACATATCATACCGGCTTTCCCAGGCAATGCTGCTGCTTCCGCTTCTGTCAGGAATTACCATTTTCTCCCGAAACACTTCCAGCGCGTCTTCGAAAGAATAAGGAACTTCTTCTAGGCCACCGCCTCGTCTCATCTCTCCTCTTGTTCCTAAGGAAACATGATTATCTTCATCATGAAGATCCCCTTTGTTGCCGACAAAAAATAGCAAATCGGCTATGCGTTGGTACAGACAGACAAAAGTGAACGCCCACTCTACTTGTCGAGCTGGTGACGCTATTCCATTCAGCTCTGCGAGCGATCCGCTCCAAAACTCATACTCTTCCAAGAAATTCTCTTCTTCTTCTTCGTATGAAAAATCTTCTTCTTCTTCGTCTTCCCAGAAATCGAAATCCTGCTCAGCTTCTTCATTTTTTAAAAAAACTGCTTTATTATCCACGACCTGTGCAGCAGGAGCCTCGTTTCCTTTTAAACAGAAGCCTTCCTCTGGCTCCTGTGCCGCGCGCGTGATGCTCCGAAATAAAGGAAGATTAGCGAATTTCTCTTCATAGAAAAATAAATCGGCCGCGTGGGTTTTATCCTTGTGATCGTGGTCATCCCAAGAAAAAGATGCGTCCTCAACATCTTCGGAGGACTCATCTTCGAACCGAAAAAACGGACTTCGAACTTCGGAAAAAACGTTCACAAATTCTGACAGGCCTACAGTATCAGTCGTGGAAAGAGCGGACTTTCTGATGCGAGTCTTGTCATCACTGCCAGCTGCTGCTGCTGCTGCTGCTGCTGAGCTAAAGAGGCCCTTAGGTGTATCGCACACGTTGCTGCAGGCATCGTGGATACTGCCTCCACTCTTCGCCACTGCTCCAGTATCAGTCGATGGGAGAGCGAAACTTCTTCCCGTCGCATCATTACAACATTCAGTGCCACCTGCTGCATGAGACCATTCAGTGCCAGCTGCTGCACTGCCAGCACTTCTGCTAAGAAACCCCCGTCGCGGTGTCGCAGCGGCAGCAACGAAAAAGCAGACGAGGGAAGAAAAGATGATAAGATGAAACATTCTTGATGTCGTCGTCATGATGGCCCAACTTACCTTCAATAGCACTAGGTATGAGCTTATTCTTAGCTAGACAGTCCTTAATAAATGCGTTGACTTTATTTCGTGTGACTTTTTTGCAAGTATGTGCAAGATTTTTACGCGTTCTAACACTTTGACTCTCGTATTTCTATTTGAATGATCTTGTTACTTGAGAAAAAAGAAATATCTCCGCAGTCCAAGGAAGGGGAATATTAACATTTGTCTCTGTGGTTGAGAGATGTAATTCGTAGAATGATGTCCTACTAGTTATTCGATTTCATGTTCAAAGACGCAAAGCGTGCGAAAACTCAATGGTGACGATGACGAGGATGTGCGCAGTAGTGCGAAGCACGGAGAAGAGCACCAGCACACGTGGCATTGCTACAGGAAGCCTCGAATACATTGAAATTGCAGGAGATCTTAAATTGAAGCATGGCCCGCCGTCAAACTACTTTTATTGTGTCTTTTCACGGAACACCCAGTAAAGACCACCGAACATCAAATCTGATGTGCAAAGATTCCACAACCCCACATTATCGTGCTTCCTTCCTGTTCAAGAAGCGGCTTTGCTGATCACCTCCCATCTTCACTGGAGGACAGACTACAGGAATTTATCATCTGTCTAGTTGTACGTTGTACTTGGAGAAGATCTTCCTTCGAAGTGAGTCTGAGATTGGAAAAAAATGGAAAAAAATTGAGTTGATATTTGTCAAGTTACATCCGGACTCCTGTGGCCAACACGACCTCCTACTTATTACTTTTTCTTTTTTTTAGGCGTAGGTATCCTTAGTCCTCACTCTCACACCAACCACACCAACCACTTCTAGACCCTCAAATCGACGCCGCATAAGCTCGGGAGCACCTTTTCGACATAATGTGTCAGAAAGGAATCCACGCTCGCAAACTGGAAGACGCTGCGATTGATCGTAGCTTTCGGATAATTCTGATTCAACTCCTTGGAAACCTCAACCCATGCTGACTGCGACAGAATAGTTTAGAAGAGCATTTGCAAATTGTTCCGCCCCCGTTGACCTTGAAATGAAACTCTCTACTGTAATTTTTACAAGAACTACAACACAAGTAAAAAAAAGTTTATAAACTCCTTGTTCACATAACAAGTGAACAAAAAAACCTCTTTCACATAACTGCTCATCCCACCAATTTTTACGGCAACGAGATGAGCGCGGAAGCGCTGTTCCTGAAGCATTGACAGTGCTGCAAAATTCGGCAGGAAGTTGCTAGAACTGAAAACTAGCACTTTCTGTTGTGCGTCCTGTCTCGCACCTGGCGCTGAAAACAGTGCACGAGCGAGAGCGGGAGGATGAAAGCGAAGGAGAAAAAAATAGAAATGACATTCATATATATCAAGAAACTCAGTGTAATCAAAAAAGGAAATGATCGAATAATTTCAGATGTCTGGTAAGAAGCACATAAAGACCCCGCCAAATGTCGAATGGGCCGTTGGTCGGTCCGTTCGCTCCAGTCGTCGTTCCAGTTCCACTTGCCCCACTCGCTAGTGCCTTTTGCAGTGCAGGCACAATTTCTCCTGTCAAGTCTGCACTCCTATGAATGTTGTTTTTTCCATCTAGCCAGATCATCCTGGCACTTTCCCCCCTTGAAATCAGTGCCAGGATGGTCGTAAGGATGGAACTCCATTGTACTAGTGTTTCGTATGGGATAGGAGAACATCATTCATAACTCCATTGTACCAGTGTTTCCGCAGTCGCTTTCGCTGAAGATTTTGATCCCTCGTCTTCGCTAGCAGTTTGATCTTCTGTTGGCTCTCTTGCCATTTCCGCTTTGGAGTGTGTAAGGCTTTTTCCATCTCGCGAGCCTCATCTCAACTATACCCTCTTATTATACCCTCATCTCCCTTTTCTTCTTCTTTCATGGAAAAAAGGCACCGAGATGCTGAGACAGAAGGACAAAAGCTAACCATAAGTGCTGCCCGTTTCTGACTAGCGTAAGTTGCAGGAGACGAGGCACCAAGAATCTCCAAGAAGCTAGGCCCCCTCACTGCGACTACGCTTACTTGGACATTCGTTTTCTTCTCCAATTTCATGCTCTCCAACATCTTGGACACTGCTTTGACGTTGTTCGCGACATCTGCGCCAGAGGAAACATCGAGCAGAACGACCAAATCAGTGTGTCCTTGACAGGTGCGGCCTTGGCAGGTGGCACTATGTTGTTCTGTGGAGGTGCTGATACTACTGCTAGCCAAAGACGAACTCGATGATGTAGTACCCACAGGAGTACTAGTAGTATTCATATTCTTAGATCCAGCATCTTCTACACCACAAGGTCGAAACTCGCGTCTGAGCGGTGAACTCGGCGCTGCGCAAGTACCTGCTCCCTCAGGTACCGCGACCACATCACGTCGACGCAATTGAAGCCCAGTGCCACACGTCTGCGAACACTGATCCCAGGAGGTCCAGTCGGAAAGGACGCCTAATTAGAGACCAGTTTGAGGGAGCTGTAAACTAGTCCAATTGGAGAGGACGCTGAGACTGAGTTAGAGGAAATCACAATATCATCCCACGTATAATTAGTAAACCAAGGGTTCCCATCCTTCCGCGATCAACAACGGAGTTACACGTATTCACGAGTCAACTACCAGCAGTCTGCTATTAGTTATTAGTGCCACTCACTTCGTCTCCCCATTGCCGGGCGTAGTCGACAAACCACATGATTCACTCATTCTCATGAATCAACAAAATGGATAAATGCATCATAACAATCCTGATTGCAGCTGCGTGCTACGCAGTTTTCCATGTCGGACGTGGAGGGACACTGCTTTCCACCGGCCGCGGCCTCGCGGAGTACATGGCGAATCCTATGGCGCACGCCAGGCCCACAATGGGCCGAACACTCGCTCCATTCAGACCAGTCACTGACTTCGCAGTCCACAGCACAAGCAGATGAGGGACAGGCCTGGTGGTAGTAGGTTGTGAATTTTATACGTCTCGGATGAAGGAGCGGAAGATTTTCTGCGTCTCGGTAAAGCAAGAACATTTCAAATATGTACAAGAACTCACCTATGTTGTACAACCGCTAGGTTGAAGGTTCATGTACCATTTTCCGTTTCATCTCGTTGGGGCACTGCATTCCAAGCTCGTTATTTGAGGCGACCACCTCTCGAGTAGCGTAAAAGAAGGCCATCCGTTTCGCAGCTCAAATGATGACGGTCAGCATGCATTTCAGATCTTCCAAACTTAATGTACTAAGTCTTGAACAGTGGTAGAGGATCTTGTTGTTCTAGAACTAATTCTAATCACTACGACGTACATCTAGATTCAAGGTTCAAGGTTGAAGGTCCGCGGCTCTTCAATTAAAGATATTTATACGATTATAAGAGACCTATTATACGATCAGAATCTACACAAAATAAATTCCTTCGTCCATACAGCTTCCCACAGCACAATGCGCAGTACAATCGGCTTGGTTTCCTTCCCATTCTGAGACTTCACAGTCTTGAGGTAGGCCTTTGATACCCCGCATTGTCATCATCTCGCCACGGGCTTTTCGCAACTTGCAAATAGCATCATCAGACTCTGCAAGCTCCTCTTCGCATTGCGAGGAATGAAGGGGAATTTTGGATAACAATGGCGTAGAGGTTGTTCACGATAGAGCAACATACAAGATGATTTACAGTGTCTAATATCTTCTATCATATTTTTTCGAGACTTGTGCTACGTTCTTCTTCTCCTTTCTTCTCCTATCATCGTGCTCTATCCTCGCCTTATCGCCACCACCTTTTTCATCTTCATCATCCAACCAAGATACAATCACCGATCAGTTTTGACTTTGACATCCACCAAGCCAAGATCAATTTTGATTTGAATCATCCGCTACAACCAACTTTACACAATGTCATAATGCAAACCCCTTGATCGGTCAGTATCAACAGCAGTTTTTTTGCGAGATAGTAGCTCTAAGTCTGCACGCGACTGCCCTTGCTGGGCTGTGAGTCGTGCAATGCGGCCGTTCAGAACGTTTAACTCGTCACGCGCCTGCTGCATCATTTGCGAAGAGATCTCCGCTTGTCCTCGACAATGACACTTAGAAGAAGAGACAAACACCGTTCTCGATGTCCCCTAGGTTGGAACAGAAACATGAAACCATGATGAATGCTCTTAGTCTAAGGTGTAAAAAGCGCAGCTGCAGTTGATTTTACTCGTCTGACGTGTTATGACAATGTCAGTCTCATGTAGATAAGCACTCTCTTAGTCTAGAAACTGCCACTCTCTCAGTCTACTACTAACTCACACTCAACAAGATGTTACTTCCAACATAATTTCCGCCTGCTTCGCTAGATTGCTCTTGCGGCCCTCCGTCTCCGCTGCTGAGGATTGCAGCAGAGCGGTCATCGCCGCTTCAAAATGCGCACAGGATGGCGCCACTGAGGGCGTGCAAGTATCCGGCAACGGTTCCGGAACGTCTTTCAGCAGCAAACGGAGAGAGGTTTGCAGCAAGGAAACGGAGAGAGGTTTCTTTTTCTCAGTTGTGTGCTCCTCTTGAAGTAGATCTTCGTCTGGGTAATGCGACGTGCTGGCGCTGTCGTTGCCCTCATCTTGTGCTTCCAGGAAAACGGTAGTAGAAGATGACGAATGATGTGGATCGTCATTCTCAGCATCTTCATCCAACCTGTGAAGATCAGAATGTTCCCCCTCCACATAGTCGTAATGCTGATGTCGACCACGTCGAGGAACGAATTCATCATCGTAGTGACGCCGCGCAAAGTGACCACGTCGAGGAACGAATTCATCATCGTAGTGACGCCGCGCAAAGTGACCAAATCGGTGCGGGAATCGGTGATGATAGTTACGGCGATGGCGGTGGCGATGCGAGGTGTGATATTGAGCTTCGTCGTGAGTCTGATGACGCGAAAAATGTCCGTGTAAGTGATGACCGTGTAAGTGATGACTTTGGTGAAAGTGATGATGCTTCTCCAAATGACGATGGCCATGGTGCTCATCTTCCGCACCGACGTCAAGAAAACGATGCTTGCTGCGACGCTTGTTCGCGGATAGAGCACGGTGAAAACGGCCTTCTTGCTCCCCTGTGCTATGCATGTCATCGACAGAAGACGCCTTGCCCTTTGCGCGAATCTCACTGCTGCGCCTTTTGGCCTCTTTCCTATGTGGAAAACTAACACTTTTGGATGAGGCCTCTTAGAAGAGGTCTTGATGACAATGATGAGTTCATCATTTTGAGCAAAAATCCGAATCCAAAGAGAATCATCTTCACATTCATCACTCTGGTCCCCATGTAATAATTCATCAGATCGTCATCTCTACTGTAATATTAAGATGAACCTAGGATTTCGAAGATCAGTATTTCGAAGGAGTTAGAATGCACTCTCTACTCATCATCTCTACTGTAATATTTTACAACGAACATCACGGAATCGATAGATAGTGTCCTCGCAAGAAGCCATAATTCTCCTCAGCATCCTCTCTTTTCCCGTCAGTAGCCATCTTCGTGTCCAAACCCTTCTTCACGTGGCACTTTCGCATCTTGAATCGTGAAGAGGATCCTGATCTTCTTTCCCCTTGTTTTGTTCTTCCTAGGCTGGCTGTTCGACGTTGTCGTACCCCTTGTTTTGTTCTTCCTAGGCTGGCTGTTCGACGTTGTTGTCGTCGCGATACTTCTAAAAACGCTGTTGCGCCACCAGTTGTATCGGAGGGGCCATCGACAACCAATTCCTTGACCCTCTCCGGACACGAAGCCTTCAGTACTTCAGTCGTCGTCTGCGCTTCAGACTGAGCCGCGCGTAATTCCTCAGGAATTAGAGATGACCTCTGCTAGTCAGATTGATTTTTTCCTATTTGCTGAGTGATCCACTCGCCCATAATTCCAACGACTTTTGCTGTCGTGCGCAGTCTCGTCTGCCGTCCGTCGCCGCTTCTTCCAGTTGTCGCAGTCTGCGTTCCTTTTGCGCTTTCTCCGTCTGCGCCTCCAGCAACGCAGCAGTGGCACGTGCGATATTCGACTGGGTTTCTTGCAGGTTCAAATCTGCACTCCGCAACTGTCCTTTGGTACGCGACTGGAGAGCCGCGCACTCAGCCTTTTTGGCGGCGAATTCGTCGGATGTAGTCGAAAGCAAGGAGTTTAGGGAATGAAGCGGAGACAAATCCAAGGATTCTTCGGAGTTGGAAGATGTTGAAGATGTAGTACTAGTCCCAAGACGAGAAGTTGATGTACTAGTAGAAGATGCTGAAGTTGATACAATAAAGTTTCCCATATTAGTACTAGTATCAGAAGCTTCTTCAATTCGTCTGGAAGAACCACCTCGCCCAGTTGACATTGTCCTGGTACTAGACATCCCAATGGCGCCGCCGAAAAAACGAGCTGCAAGTCTTGCTTTGCTTGCACTATTTTTAACCTTGCGATTCGTAGCTGTTCCTTTGGTTCCTACGTCGAGGCCACTTGTTGAACTGTCGATATCGCGACGTGCATCACCACGCTCATCTTCGAACCTCTCCGCCAAGCGAGCGCCTCTATGATGGTGGTGGCGATGGTGATGCTGATGGCGGCCGTGATGATGTTGTTTGTTGCCGTGACGCAAGCGGAGATGCTCTACTTCTTGACGCTGCTGCGACGTGAGTGCATTCGCGTTGCCTAGTCCTGTCTGGCATAGAAGCGCCAGTACGCCGATCCCGACTCTGAGGACGCAGTAAAACGACCTCATTTTCGAGCCTTGAATCTAATCTAGGTACAGGAGGTTACAACATAATCTAGATGATCCTATAGGAAATTACAACATTATGTGATCAAGGAAGTTTCCATCACCATGGCATCAAGTCATATCTAACAACTGCTTCTGACCGAAGCTCTTCACCGCAGACGATGTGTCTATATATGTTTTAGGGCTGGACGGTACCCCCCCCCCACGAAAAGGAGGGCGCCGCGGTAGGGGGGGGCACCGTCGCCCCGTGCCCTGGATCATATATGTCTTTTATAACCGCAAATGATAGTCTCGCCAGTCACTCGACCGCTCGTTTTCTTTATCGCTCATTTTTCTCTTAGCTCCTTGTGCCAAATTCTTGTACCGATTGCTCGATTTCAAACCAATATCTGCGTGTGCCTCAGGTAGAGTCTTTGACTAGGGTTAGGACTATCCTCTTGTAGTCAAGAGAAGATGCTGCGGAAGGAGGCCTTCAAGACCTTAGTACATGGGAAACCGGATGGGAATCCGAATATCTACACTGAGAAAAATCCTAAAAAAGGTGTCGAATTGTTGGAGGCGCGTGGGTTCTTCAATCTTTGAGGGTGTGTTGTCGAGGAAGAGGGAAGATCATGATACTTATTGAGGGATGAGAGACGCGCGACTCGCAGAGGCACGCGTCTCGAATGTTGTCTTGTTAGTTCTGAACAATTCAGCTCAAGTCCAGTCCATCATCATCTGGCCCGTCGTCCACGAAATCATTCATAGCTCCTCCTCCTACTTTTGCTCCTATGCCAAAGAAATTTGCCTTCACAGTCTGCAGATGCGTGACAAACCACGGCTCCAGTGGTTTGGTATCATCATAATCGCCTAGTGCTTCTGTGAAAGCTTTCTCATCATTCCCCTCGATAGCAGCTAATAGCTTCGAAAACAAAGCACCTTCCATACTAGAGGCAAAGCGCGGATCCTCACTAGCGTATCTGTCTCGCTGAATCTTGCACGTAATCAAATCTCCCATCACCATATGGAGTACGCCAGCCTGAAGAGTGAAGACAAGTGTAAGAGAAACCATGACTAAAAAACTACTTACTTCTTTATACTTCCTGCAATGATTGCTAAACAACTTCAGGGGAACATATTTCTTTTTCTTCATTCCGAGTAAAGTACGAGGGTTCCCCTATTACAATACTCAGACCTTCTTCAAAATAGATGAAAAAATCTAGCTCTTTTAAAAGTACCTGCCAAAAGAGATCCTTTGCTCCATATTGTCGCAAGTTGTTGCTCAGGCACGCTCTTGCTTCGCTTTCATACACCATGATGGCTGCTTTATAGTCTCCGGATCGTGAGGAAAAGTCCGCCAATTTCAACTTGCATTGTGACAAGAGGGACTTGCCGTAATCGTCCATCTCAAACATATCGCAAGCCCGTTGATAATACTCCTTGATCATGTTCTCATCGTCGGTGCCCATTTGCTCCTCCTCTAGCGTCTCAGCTATGGTCTTCAACTGTTTGCCGCTCTGCGAGGAATGAACAAAGGAATGTAGTCATCACTAGCAAAAGAGTGAAAATCTTGATTCTACTGGGCGCATCAACAAAGAGCCAAACATCGCTGTGTGTACTTCATGCTAAATCTAGCAAGTCTAAGTTTCATCGACCACCGAACCATAAATGTATTTTCCGTCTTGGCCCCAGAGCGTTATTGCGGTATTGAAAGCTTGTAAGGCGGGTTTTATGTTCAAACTGGCCTTCTGCAAGCATTTACCACCCTCTACGAAGTAATTTGCCCTTTGGAATCTTGGCGCTCCACCTTGTTCTGCGACGTGTGTTAACTTGGGGGATTAGAGGAAGCTCCTCTGCCCCTAGGGGTCGGGGTTTCTTCTGGACATGGCTAATGGAAAGCCTAACAATGAATCAAGTGTTTATCTGAAGATTGGCCTCCTATCTACCACACTTGTCCGCGGCCTTCCGTACAGTTTACAAGTAAGTTGTCTACTTCTTAATTATTTCTTGCTTTGCTTCAATCATTTTGTTTTTGAGAAGTACTGGTTACTACACCAATACAAATTCAATTTCCATCTCCATCCCACCATAAGTCAAATAGACTTCTGCTGCTAACTGGAAATTCTTCTCGAGTTTCAGCTGGTTACACGCTTGCTCGTACAGTTCTTGGCATTCGTCGTATGGTGGTCCGCTAAAGAAGCTCATGAGGCCACCACCCCTCAATTTCTTATCCGCTTTCGCAACAAGGTCGGCCATTTTTTTTTGATACTCCTGTCCTAGTATTGCCAGACAGTTAGGAAAAGACAGTTAGGGAGAGGCCGGGCGAAAGTTGATAAAGTGTTATCTACTGGATGATGAATAACAAAGACAACTTACGAGTGGTGATGAAAAATTCAAAAATATAAGGTAACGCGTAACCTGATTCTGGTTGAACTCTGTGAAAGCGAAAAAGTCCTATAAGTTGACCGCCTCGCTTGTTATTCAATACTGGGTTATCATATCTATTAGTCTACTTGCATTTTACTCATTTCTCATTCTGAGCGTATGGAATCCAATTCTCATCTCTCTGAAACATTTACATTCAAGCCAACAATTTTTGGATTTCATCTTCGTGTCGCAGCATTTCTATTTGTCGCTCTGCCTATCAATCATTTGAAAGTAGAGACAGATCCTTTGCTTTGTTCTATTTTCCAATGGATAAGCCAAGACGTGTGTGAGGGGTGTTCGTGCCGCCAGCACATTCAGGGCTATCGCCTTCGCCCTCAGAGGACGCTGAAGAACTACACCTGCTCGTGCGGGAATCAATCGATACAACGACTACTTCTTGGCCGTCACATTCATAGTTAGAGAGTGCATGTTCACTAAGAACAAGTTCATTCTTACATCAACTTCAAAGGCACAACGCGTCTGCAGGAACCAGAAAGATACCACTCAATATTAAGCTCAAGGATGCATTTGGCATTTGATTTTGAACTGGGATGATGTGGGAAAAGAGGGGAATTAATTGAAATCATACAAGGGGAAATGGACATTTTTAAGCAAACAACTTTACGAAGACATGATAGTCAGAGTCTAAGACGACTTTTCTTCTTCTAGAGTGCTACTACATTCAAAATGATCATCATGCCCAATCGAAAATCGCGAAGAAGAACGAGACTCTTCCTTTTCGCCGAAAGACATCGTTTTTATGCGGTCCCTGATGAATGGCTGCTCTCCGCAGACTCTGTGGCCGCTCCGCTTCACCGCCGAAGTACATAACAAAGTCCCGCCCAGTTCGTGGCTCCAACACCCGCTTTACTTCGGAACTGTGCAAATCAGGATACTTCTCGAATCTTTGTTCCGTCATCTCCCGAGGCTTTCCGATGGTGTGTTCTTTGATAGCAAACTGGCGAATAGGGGAGAATCGCTCATAGTAGTCGGGATCACTGAAAGCGGGCTCGATGGGGTCCTTGTCTGCAGCTTCTTCAACGGGGTCATTTTGGAGGAGTTCCTGTTTGTCAAGATCAAGATCAAGAGCTTCTTTTTTGACCTCAGCCTCAGGCTGGTTCGAACTACCAGTTGAGGTTTTTTCGTTCGCTTCTTTTGGACTCGTCTCTCCCCTCTCCCTCGCTTCTTCTTCCTCCTGCTCTCTTCGTTCTTCCTCCTCTTTCTCCCGTTCTTCTTTTTCTAATTCTGCTTTTCGCCTTCTCCATCTGGCTTCGTCCCAATACTTCTCCTTCGGTACTACTCTGCCGCAACCTCCGACTTCATCCCGAATGTCCACCAATTGGGTCGTCACTGACAAAAACGTGACCACTCCATGCAAATAATAAAAGTGCTCGTCAATGTGCCAACAAGGTCCGTCGGAACAGAATTCGTCATCGGGTGACCGCACAATACACTGGGACATCCAAACTAGTTTCTGTCGATCTCGACTCTCAGGATGCAGCATTTTTTCCGCGACTTTGCCCTTCGTAAATAGCCAGGTTTCTGCAATAAACTTTGCCAAATCGCAGAGGCCTTCGGCTAATTCCATAGCTAATGGGAAGGGGATGCTTGGCTCCTCTGGATGTTCTACGTCGGAAGAGGCAGTTTCCCCCGTTGTTGTCCCAACTTCACCATCTTCAGAACTCGATGCATTGACACTCTTCTCCTTGTTCGTCTTATCTAAAGGCCATTCTGGTGCTCTTGTGAGCGCATGTTGCAGTTGCTCTGCCATGTCCTGTTTGGCAGCCGCCCACTCCTTGTCGCTCAGCTTTTCGTGCAGCTTCCTACAATCAAAAACGCTTGAACGAGGAAAGCTGTCGCCTGCCTGAGTGGGCCGATTCCGTTTGTGCTTAACACGGATAGCTCCCTCTTGTTGTGATGGTGTAGCTTGCTTCTGTGGCTCTTGTGATCCTGAAGGTGTGGCAGATCCCGGATGACCACTTTGTATTGGATCATGTCCATTTTCATTTAATATACTTTGAACTTGAAGATGTGCTTCGTACTCCTCGTCCTCTTGTTTTAGTGATATAATTCTGGGTGCAGGCTGAAATCCTTGGGCAATAGAAGTGCCATGTCTTGGAGATGAGCCCTCCAGTGGAGGCGTGCTACTCCCAGGCGTAGTAGAAGGGGTAGAGCAATGCTCTCCACTGGGACTATTCAAATTTTTCAGGTTTTTTGATGCACTACTTGATGAGTCACATCCTGTTCTTGCCGCTCCATCAAGAACATCTTCGTATTCCTGTTGGAGCTGTCGCGAGAACAAAGATCCGCACTCGTTGTTGAATAGATCCATCATTCTTTTTACTGTTTTTGGCAACTGCGCTCGTTGCTGCCGATAGTCGTCACTTCCATGGGAGTAAACGTGAGTAGGGTAGGATGTCGGATCTCCTAGCATTACGTGATCCGCAGGAGAAAGTGTACCATATTCCCTAGTAGAAGTACTGTCGCGTAAGTTGTCATGGTGTGGGGAAATAGAAACTTCAGTCGTCCGCTGACTACCCCCAAAGCCAAGCCCAATCTCCTGTCCTCCTCTCGTCGAAGCAGGTCCCCCATTGTACTGACTCGAAGGTCTGTTGTATTGAGTACTAAAACAACTGGTACGCAAACTCGGGATATTGGGACCTTCTATGTCGCTTCGTGTAGCGATATCTGGAATGCGTGGCCCATTCGCGCCAAAAGCCGGAGTGCGCTCTCCGCTATCATCCGATATTAACCTATAATCATCGAGATTCCGCCTGTCAGTGGAAGGATCAGGATTACCGCCATCGTGGTCAGCACAGGCAAATTCATCGTAGTCGTCACGATTCAGCGCGAAGCCAGGCTCTCTACCAGTTAGAACTTCAACATGGTTCTCCTTGGCAAGCTCAACAGAAGGAACTACAAAACAAGACTCATCTTGCAAACACGGAGCGGTCGTGGCACGAATATTTAGTACATTCTCTTCTTCAGCAACGCCGCTTTGATGAGCTTGGCCTTCAACTACTCCTTGCTCTACAACGCTGTAATCAACATCCTCTTTTCCGAATGTGAAGCATCTTCCGTGGGTCCCTATGTCCGCCGCAGAGCTACCTGTACTTCTATTCCGGATAAGTAGCTCGTCCGCTAGATGTTCCGCTAATCTTCGATCTGCGTCCTCAGGTGATGAGGAGGGAGATGAAAGTCGCCTGGGCACTTGTACTTCTGGAAAAGCTGAGGAGGGAGATGGAAGTCGCCTTGGCACTTGTACTTCTGGAAAAGCTAATCTCATGGTATCGCCTCCTTGGTGCTGCTGGCCTTGTACTTGCTCTTCTCCAGGTCCAGGTCCAGGACCCTCACTTGTCTTGCTCACCGATCCAGAAGTTAATTCTAATCCTTTCCTCTCTGAGGATGCTGAGGTCAAATCTCCCAACTCCAAACTGCTACTTGGAATCACACCTAACGGACCCGCAGCTGGACCAGTCATAGTCATCATTGGGCTGGTACTATAAGCACCCTTACCCTCTTCGAAAACACGAAAAGGTTGCGTTGTAGAACGGGCTGAAGGACTTAGATCGTCGCCTTGTTGTATCTTGCTGCCGCAAAGTAGGCCAATATCCTGCTCGTCGTCTAGGTGCGCAAGATGCTCCACCATCGTCGCACCGCAGTCGTCGTCGTGGTCCCTGCATGACTGCTCTAAGTCGATAAAACACAGGTTGCTTTCTCCTTCTCTTTCTAGCAACCCTCGCAGAGCATGAGCTCCAGTAGTGCCTTCTAGGTCCAGCATCCGCTTCAGACTGCCACCGAAAGACATCACCTCAGGTGGTGGTATGCGGACTGCCAAGGGCGCCAGATCACTGGTGTCCTTGCCATTCTCACTATAGACACCATTTTCGTGCCTTTGCTCTGGAGAAGAAGGCAACCGCCCGGTGTACTTCTCGTCAACCATCTTAACTTTTTCTAGTTTCTACTTTAACAAGAACCAACTCCAAACATCAGGTTAAACTTCCTTCCTATCTTTTTCGACGACGTCAAATACAATTCAATCATGCGAGCTCAAGTCAACTCATTATTAACTACAGGATTAACTCAAGATCTAATCATAGACCTACATTGTACAAATCAATCTAATGCTATCTGACTGCCTTCAGTTTGCTTCATGTACTAGCCTACAACATATCCTGCACAATGCGAAAGAATAAAGCGGTGATTCCTACAGGTAAATAATTGAACAAACGAAAGTAGATGAGGTGGATTCATTCATTCTTTATCTTCCATTTGTAGTCAGGGAAAGTAGATCTTACATTTTTGATATGAAGGGAACAAAAGGTCATGCTTTTGTGGGGCAAAAAGTCACACTTATGGGAGATGGGGTGGGGGACCAAGCGCATCACCCAGCGCTGTCAAGAACATGAAAATATTTGTCGTGGTATAGGAACTTTGATCTACTTTTAACGAACAGATGCAGAACTCATCATGGATTTTGATCTTTTCTGATAATATCATGATCTCTTCTTGTCCTCGTTGCATTTTTTCGATCACCTTACTGAAGATCAGAAACTTAACTTCAATGTGACTCGCATCGATCTCAGCAACATGCACATTGCCTGACCCACATCAATTATGCCATGTCATCGCGCCTCTTGTGTAGCTATTAGCGTCTACTTGTGAGGCCACCCAATCTGACAGTACCTCCGTCAATTATGCTCGAACACATACTTATGCATTACAAGTCGTTAGGAGTCCACGACTCATTTACTGCTGAGCACTTCTTCCATGTGTCTTCTCCTAGGAACGGAATGGTCAACAAGAAGGAAGGAGGAGACGGTATCTACAAGGCACTCAACAACAAGAAGGAAGCTCTCGTCTCGTGTGAAGATCTAGTACAACAGAAACTAGTATTCATTGCAGAAGTAGAAAGTTGAAAAGGTCTAGAGGTTCACGTTGTCGTCTGCCAAGAACTGCTCACTCTTCGTCTTCCGCGTCTTTGACCAAAGTCATATTCCCCTCGTCGTCTTCGTCGAGGTTTAGGTCGTACTTCTTGCTCAGTTGTTGTAGAAACTGTCGCCTCCATGTTGCCTCCACATCGGTGTTGAGGATGAAGAAGTCGTCTCCTTCCTGCAACGCTGACGCCACGGTCTCCATCTCCCTTCGCCAGCCAGGGTCGTCGTCTTCCATGTCTCTCTTACTCGCTCCTGGAGGTTTACCTCCAGTAGCACCATTCATTGCTGCATCAGAGGAAGCACCTGCATCATGATTGTCGCTTTGGAATCCTTGTCCTCGACCCTGTCTTGGAGTTGTACCCTGAATTACCGCTGTTGTGTTCAATCTGCTGCTTCCCTGGATTTGCTCCAACAGCTCTGGATCGATGTCGTCGTACTCTAAATCTTGGACTCCACCTGGTGCGAGCTGTTGTTCCTCTACTTGTTCTACTACACGACCTCTTGGAGGGCCTCTCGAGGTCCCATGACCTCTCCCATGACTCCCGCGACTTGCTCTTGTTCCCCTGTTATAGTTGCCGCTGCTTCTACCACCTCCGGACATGATATCTGCCACAGTTTGCACTGATGTGATCGCCGCTACTGGTTCTTCCAAGCACGCGGTTGTTCCGGTTAATTGAAGCTCTTGAATCGCTAGGGCACAAGCCTCTCTTTGCGCCTGCGTGCCTCCAATGATCTCGCAGTATCCTTTTTCAGGAAACCTTGGGTCAGATCGACATTTGATATCTTCAACAGCGAAGCGGTCACGCAATTTCTTGATCGTGCTACCCTTCTTCCCCAAAACTAAAGCCTGCTTGTCCCTCGGCACATTCACGAGGGTTGATGGTGATGCACCTCCAATAGTACTAGAGGTTCCTGCAACTGCTGCGCCGTTACCAATACTAGAGGCATCTACACTTGGCGGAGGTACTCGGGAACGGGTCTCAGCCTCCTGCTGATCTTGATCTCGTCGTCCACCAGGATGACCCCGACCCTCAACACTTACACCTCTAGTATTTTGACCAATCACAGGCATACTAGTCACCGCTTTCGGAACGCCTCTTCGTTCCTCAGCAAAGGAGCCACCACGTCGAGAACTCCTTTTCGACGTCGGTTTGGACGACATAGAAGCTGCCTTAGTTGATGTCAACATAGAAGCTGATGTCTTCGCCTTCTTAGTCGGAGGAGGTCGCAAGTCCTCGTCCCTAGGATCGTCGCGGCGGTGGTCGATCGTGATGACGACAATGTTGTCGCGATCACCTTCATCGGCGTCACCTTCATCGGCGTCATTTCGTGCCCTTCTTCTAGTAGTACTTCTATCTCCTGCTCCGTCGACGTCGCGACCATCAACATCTCTTCGCTGCTGCACAACATCTTCTCTTGTTGGTAGTTCACTTACACCCTGTTCGCAGACGACTTTTAACCTCCGCTCTTCCTCCAGTATTACAGTTTCGATGATCCGTTCGATTTTTTCACTGCAATCTCGTCTCGCCTGTGGATCACCGCCTAAAAGTGTCACAGTGAAGGCCTCGTAGCGATCGGCATTTTTGGGCACAGAGTCCGCTTTGATGTCCTCGAGCGCAAAAAACTCGATCATTTCTCGCAGATGACTGCCAGCGGGACCGACGATCTGCGGTCTAGCAAGAGCGGGAGCGGAGACTTGCAGCATGGTAGAACCGGTGGATGCCTCGGCAAAAGCTTGATGCGGTGCTAGTTGTGATGCATCGACGTCTCCTCGTCGAGCACCTCCCTCTCCCGTAAGTTGTTGCTCTCCATCGTCTGCCTGGCCACCATTATTTTTTCCACCAGCACCACTCCCACCACCAGCAGCACTATTCTTATCAACCGAAAACTCCATCCCTCGATTAACCGCTTCTAACACCGTTGTTTTCGCTGTGTGCAGATCGCTGAGGTTTTTGCCCATCAATTCCACACTAGTCTCGTTCACCTGCATCGATATGCCGAACGTCGCTTCCATTTTGCGGATCGAACTACCTCCCGGTCCGATTACTCTACCTTTACTCTCTGGAGGAATAGCAAACCGGAGCATCTGTAATCGAGGTTTCCGAACAACGCGAGACGACGAAACCTCGATGGTTTCTTCCATCTCATCGAGGAGGCGAGAACGAGCAACTTGAGCTTGTTTCAAGGCTGCGGCGAACACGGGGAGCGTGAGACCTGATGATCAAGAATGAAGAGATACGTGTCTAAGTAGGTAATTAGCGCGAATCTATTCATTCTAAACATCGAAAAAGCGTGTTATTCTAACATCTACTAGCGTGAATTGTATTTCAATCGATTTCTTGACCCACCACTATAATCTTAACAAGAAAAAAATTGTGTATCTATGATCAGTGCAAAGAAAATCACTCCGTCTACCTTCATTCTTCACGTCTAGCTGCATGGCAGAAATCCCACTGCGATTTCCAGCTACCTTGAAGTCCATTAGCCCAATAGAATCCTCAAACTGCGTAATATCCGTCAAGATAAGCCCTTGTTCTGCAGTTTCTGCCGCTGTCAGGTCGATATCTGAAGTCAACAGACCTAGAGAAACGCCAGCTACAGGAGAGGTTATCGGTACCCCTGCATCGACTAAAGCGAGACAGCCACCACACACACTGGACATACCTGGTGGCGAAGATAGTAGTTACAATTTTTAAGCCCTATTTGATACGCAGCCTAATTCATATCAGAGAACTATGCTGAGATGCATTTTTTCTAGTAGAGAGACATCAAGTTCCATGAAAGCTATTTTTTTAGATCGAAATGAGAGTATATGTCGAAATAGATTCGGATATGAGAATCTACGCAGAAAATCTACATAATATTTTGCTTAAAATGAATTCCAGAAATTCAATTGCAAATCCACAAAATTTTGATTTTATCTTGTTTCAATTAAATTCACTTCCTGGGGAGCACCTTTTCACGCACTTGCTGACTGATTTAATTTTTCTCAAATAAATTTTGATTTTATCTTGTTTAAATTGAATTCATTTTCTGAGGAGCGCCTTTTCACGCACTTGCTGACTGAGTCAAGTACTCTCAAATTTAATCCACAACACGGATGTCCTACCACATATTTGCTCAGTAGTAACGCTTATGATATCCATAAATGTCGAACTTCGACAGCTTGGCGAAAACTTGAAAGAGTTTAGATCTCAACTTTTCGTGAAAACTGTCTTTACAATATCTTCACAGTTGCATCGAAATTAACAAAATAGAAATAGAAATACTGCTCCCGCCGCAGCTCTCCATGACCGTCGACTCGACTCGCATCGTGTATGGCCAATCATCGCTCTCCGCAGGAATGCAAGGACGTAATGCCCTCTCAGCTAGGTCCTCGTGACCCACTTCCAGTCGCGTCCGCGTATTCCTCTGCCTAACTTCGTTCACAGAGTAAGCTGGAAGCGTGTACTGAAAGAAGAATCGCTCCGGATTCCTGGCAGGCTCTCCTGCTGACGCACCACCTGCTAAAGGAGAATTCGTATCTGGTCCACTAGAGGTTGTTCTTTTCGAAGAAAGTGCGTTACTGCCAGTGTCTCCTCCGTTTTGGAGAGGTCCCTGCACCACCGGAGCAAACAGTCGATCAGCTTTTAGCGCGGTTGAGCTGTCGCCAAGAGTACAGATCGATGACGTCTGGGTTCCTTCAACTGAAAACAGGCAGCAACCGTGTGGTCCTGGTAAATAGTGCGGCTCAATGTCCAATGGACGTAAATCCGAGGTACTACGTCCGTCCAGTCGCTGACCCGTTTGGCGCACAAAATCGCACAACACCAGTCCCAAAAACTTGCGAAACACTCGTCTCAACAAGCTTTCAGCGTACAAAGAGGTTCCGCGATAAGTGGTTAAGACTTGTGTCCGAAAGAATTCCCACACATTTTCGCTATGTTCCCACGCAGGTAGTTTCGACGCCTCTCTGAAGAGAGACACGACTGCAGGAGTGAATCGTCGCGCCAAATCGCTCAGCAGTCGATGTGGATCCAGTTCCGGTCTCAAAACGCCAACACCTTCCAACGAGGCGTCTCCTGGGACTACCCCTTCCATATTGGAAGTAGTAATACCCTCTACACCCGATCCCGAAGTAGAAGATGCTCCTAATGCTAGCAGAGCTTTCTTCTGTTCTTCCTTCTCAGCAGCTAAAGCTTCCCCTTCCGGGTTCTTCTGCTTTTCTTTACCGCGTAGCCTGGCCAAGTGATCCATCGCTTCGCACATGGTGGCGATTGTCTCTTGAGCCACCTCCAGGGCCTGAATAAAGTCGTCCTCGCTACTGAAATTCGCACTGGCCTCTAACATTGAGACACTACTGGCCGTTCCGGCAGCGACTAGGATCAATTCGGCTTCCTCGCGCTCTTTCCTAGTAGGGAAAACCACGAATTCTAAACGAGTTGTGGTAGAATTTTCGTCTTCGTCTTCTTGCTCAGCAGCATCTTGGTATTCGTTATTTTCCTCCCTTTCTGCGGCAGGAAGTTTTCTGCGAATCCCCGCTACCGTAACACCTGCTACTGCCTCCCCAAAAGGTACGTCGCTCAACAACAAAGCCATGCTGGCCGCATTAATTGCAAGCGCATCTGGCAGATGCGCTTGCTCGCCACTCATCAGGTCTAGTGTCACCTTAGTCTCTTTATTCCACCACTCAGGAAAAACCGGTCGCAAGGGCCTGTCCACTAATCGAGAAATCAAAGTCTCGTGGTCTGAACTGTAGATTTTCTCACGTCTCTCGTGGTTCGGCATAGTGAGACCCATTGCTGACCACTTTTCTTTGTATTCGACTGTCAGTGGCGTCGCTAGAGCTGCCTCAGCAGAGTCTGCTGGATTATCCCCATAAGCCTTTGCAAAAAAAGGTCTCGGACGAGGCTCGCAGCAAGCCTGAAGGAGTCAGATATTCATCGATAGGTCTTTACTTAGCGTCCAATTTTCTCCAAGAAGTACTTTCAACACACACAAAGCCACAATGTTGAAGTAACTCTCTTCTTCAATACACACAAAACCACAGTATCGTAGTAACTCTTCTTATGGCTCTAACGCAACTATAATTAGATCTATAGAGGTACCGTTGCCAGTATCTGCGTATCTCCCTGCGAACAGAACGCGCTTCCGCTTGCTCGACACGCTACTTTGCCGGTCTGGAATACCACAGTTTTTTCTGGCGCAACCTTGACTGTGAGCAGGGTTTTATTGGTCCCCTGTTCCGCATCTATGTCGTAGCCCGCCTCAAACGCTTCTGGCAGTGACTCTAGATCATCTGATGCTGCCTTGTTTCCGTCAACATCGACAATCATATCATGATCGGCACCATCTTCAGCAGCCGCGTCTTCAACAGCTTCATCCTCGTCTCGTACTTCTTGGCCAGGATCGCCAGGACTGTCCTCTAAAGACTGGCCACTCTCAACACCTGTTTCTCTTCTGATGTCTCGCGAATCATCTCTCTCCTGGCCAGGACTGATCGACCTCCTCCTCGTATTCATGATGTCTCGTGAGTCAACATCTAGTAGTTTCCGGGTTTCCTGTCGTCTCTGCGCTTCGAGTCTGATAGCCACAGCATCTTCGTCATCTTCAGGGCTAGCAGGTGACTCTTCTGCCTCTCCAGCGCCCTCATCGTCGGCTACGGCAGAGTCACCATTGGCGCCCTCATCGTCTCTCTGTGCTCCAATTTTTGGTAGGTGAATAACTTCCACAGAACTATCTTTCGCAACTGCAGTTGAAATTGGATTGATGACATTAGCTGATGCAGCTCCTTCTGAAGCTGCAGCTCCTGCAGCAGCTCCTTTGCCCATAATAAGGGCATCAGAATTCGCTAAGTCCTCCTGTGGACTCAACGCTGAGACTTCGTCTTCCTCCTCCTCTGAGGTGTCTTCGTCTTCGTCGGCTGACTTCTCGACGACATTGTTTGATCCAACTGTCTTCGCATCGACTGTTGCTGGTACTGTATGGCAGAACTCCTCCACACCTGGCAAAACGCCTTCTACAAATGGACACGCAGTCGCTGTTTCTCTATCCTTTTCTCTAAGTAACACGTCAGCTGGAGTCCTGGAAATTGTATCCCTCAACTGGATCGCGTGCAAACCTTTATTAGGCTTCCCTTCGCTGGTTGCTTCGCTCTTCTCTCCAGCGTAGCAGAGGCCGATCGAAATGCAGAGATGCGTCTTGTCAGGAACTAGAAACGGTCGACGCTTGAAATATCGCCCTTCATTCGCGAAGAAGTGCCATCGAGGTTGGACTAGGCGGACTAACTCGCTTACTGCAGGACTACTGGCATCCTCTGCGGGCACACTGCGACCAGCATGGGTCACTTCGTCGTCGGAAAGCTCACTGTGAAAACAGGAAGTAGTGTTTCAAGGGAAAAAGTGATTGCCTCCATTTTGTCTGATGAAAACAGGAAGTAGTGTTTAAAGGGAAAAAGTGATTGCCTCCATTTTGTCTGATGAAAACAGGAAGTAGTGTTTCAAGGGAAAAAATACAAAGAAGGGCTGTCAAATGCGAACAGAATCAGAAACATGAGGGAGTACCTGGTCAATTTTGCCGGCCACTCGCTTGTAAGCAGGATGTCCACTGGCTTGCCCTCTGCTAGTTGGGCTATTTTCTCGATGCAACTGCGTGTATTAGAACTAATGGAAGTCCATCCTCAGCAACATCTTGGGTCTCCTTTTCCCTTTAATAACGGGACCAAGATGGATGCCTCTGAAAATGGGAGATTTCTTGTGCTGCCCTTAAGTGTATACCCCACAACGTTGACGCCATCACGGTTTTCGTAGCTCGTAAACTTAGCAGGCTCATCATCGGGCACAACACAGCACTGATTAAAGGCGGCCCAATCAATTGTGCCTGGGTAAAGTAGGATGTGGATACATATTAAAATGTAGTTGTAAAAAAGGGGACGTCGGTAGAAGTAGTTGGCAGGGAAATCCTAGGCGTCTTACCGCATACTAGATTCAAGTCTTTCACCGCAAGTTGTATTTGTATAATTTGATCAATCAAGTTGTATTTGTATAATTTGATCATCCAGTCAATCACTACAACTTCAATCAAGTCAATCACTACAACTTTTCTAGTTGTTGCACCATCACGCATCCGTGGCATCGTTCCACTCAAAAACGCAACTCGCAGTCCATCAATCTCTCTCAACCCGCATCCTCCTAGGAAATGGAGCTTGTCCGCAACTGTCTTCCCGTGGTAAGCTCGGTCGACGAACATGGTCGACTCAGCGTCAATGAAGTACGTCGGGAGCGGAACTTTACTGTCCCCGTTTGCTAGATACGGAGCCATTTGCGCTTTACTGCCCAGAAAAGAACCACAGGCAAGCATAAACTCGAATTTCTGCTTCCTATGGTACTCCTCTGCGACACTGAACGTCCGTCGCCACTCGCCATGGGCGCTGCCCACAGCGAGAATTTTGCGCAGCGGCTGCTGCTGTTGCTGCTGCGCGCCACTCATTGTGGGAGTAACACCACTTACAACTACGCCACTCATTAGCGTTGGCTTGTTCGTTGTTGCACTTAGGCCACCTGTTCCTGCTGCAGCTGCACCTCCAACGTTATTAATGTCGTTGCCTTCGTTGCCGTTGGAATTACCATTAGCATGCCTCACTTCGCTCTGCTTCGCTCCTTCACCACTTTGAGACTCAACACGGGCCCGCTTGGCACCAGGTCGAGACGATCCCATATCCTACTGTTACGAATCCATGTGAGTCACTCGCAGCCATCGAAGGAATTACTTAATCAAAAAAAGACATTAGACGATAGATTCTTGTAACTAGGAGTAGCAGGAGTAGCCGCTCCCATCGGTTGTCGGTACAGGAAAACAAATCATGAACGAACTTCAAAAAACAACTTCCTGTTGAGAGAAAGACAATCAAGTGACAAATTATGCTTGTACTTCGTAGAGACGTTGACCTACACACAATGGCTTGATTCAGAAAAGTAAAAGTCCCAAACCATGGAAGGCCAAAGCATCGCAGGTAACAATTTCGTTTTATCACTATCGCCATTGATTTGTTTTTCATGCACAAAAAGATCAGGCCGCTTCTTCCACACAGGAAACGACAATAGCAAAGTGATCGCAACAAGAGATATGCATTCAACACCACACAGGCCACCGAAAAGATAAGGATTCCTTTTTCTAGATCCATGTTATCAGTAATTTGTTGGTAGCATCACCGAAAGCTCAGATCAAGATGTTGAAGCCAGGATATTGACAACTTTTTTCTAGAAGTCTCTCGTATGTCTTTGCATTTTGTTTTCGCAGCAGATGCTGATGGCCGTGAGTTATGTCCTCGGAACAAAACACGTCGAAGTGTACTAGAACGCCACGAAAGTACGGCTATCATGGACCACCCGGCCAGCAGCTACAGTTCCACATGATCACCAGTTATTCTGTTTTGAGTACACACGACTGGTTGCTGTTGAAAGCCTGGTAGATTTGAGCCGCGTTAGGGGTTGGTCTACGCGTTTCTTGCATTATCGTATCATTCTTTCAGACTGCTGAAAGATAAACTATTGTACGCATATCCTAATTCATTTGATTGGATGGTAGGTTCATTGCTGTTTGCAGGGAAATTTCTAAAAAATTAGTATTGCTATGAAGGTCGTGTGGAACAAATACTTCGTTGTTCATTTCAAATCCCTCGAGCTGAGGAAAATTTTTGTGCTTACTACTACTAAGTATAATGTGTAGAGCTCCGTACTACAATGAATGCTAAAAGGCATTCTTATCCGTCGTTGGTAACTCTTCTAGGAAGCTAAAGAGTCATCCGGTTCCACTCTTCTAATTCGCATACATTCTTCGTTACTCATCGTCTCTAGGATTAATTCCTTCATCAGGAATAGGCGAGAATGCTGGAGTTTCATCTATAAATTTCACATAGGTCGTCTGCCCTATTGCTAGCTTATCATAGCTGCTAACTTTTGCGAAAGAAATTCGTATTCCTTTCGTGCCACCTCTTCCTAGTTATAGCTCCTAACTTTTGCGAAAGAAATTCGTATTCCTTTCGTACCACCTCTTCCTAGTCATAGCTGCTAACTTTTGCGAAAGAAATTCGTATTCCTTTCGTACCACCTCCTCATCCGTGCTGCCACAGAAGAAGCACACCACCACCACCACCTGCTCCATCTGCACGTGTCTCCAGTCTGGATGATAGTTTTGAAACATTCTTCTACAACAGATCGCCCAACAGCACTGCTTGATTCTCCTTTGGTCATGTCCTCCTTATCGTCCTCGCCTCTTCCTCTCCTCCTCCTCTTCCTACTGATCTTCCTCTCCTTTTCTTCCTCTCCTCCTCCTCCTCATCCTCACCACCACTGCCATCACTCCGGTCTCTCGAAGAACGGCAACTCCCACAGCAAGATTGCTGCGATGATAATGGCGATGAAGCACAGAGTGAGAAAGCACGTTTGCACCTTCTCGGAGTTGCCGTTGAAAAAACTCTTCATGCCGTCGCCACCAGACCCAGAGGCCACCTTTGGCGGACCCTTTAGAGGAGGAGACGTAGGACTTGACATCGCAGGCCTTGACATCTCCTCCTTGGCTGCTTTTCTTGATGTTGTAGTCTTGTTAGGACATCTTCCGACACACTGAGAGTTGAAAAAAGTCTTGTATGTATCTTCACGACAGTTGTAAGTACTACACAAAGAAATTTTATAAGTTTTCTTCGCTTTACATCATAGGCCCGCCATCACCAAGTCCCTTCCAATACCTGCCGACCACTACCCGCCTACGAGCTGTTTTTGGGAGACAAGTGTTTCTTATGCGCATTCAATGAGCTAAGCATCTACAGTTCCTATGCTTAGTGGATGTGGAATCATGTCTATGACAAAAATAAGATGCATCTCACAGGACGTTGGGAGGATGGGGAGAGGGAGGTGAAGGTTGTTGCGAGGGCGTTATAACGTCACTCGTTTTATTTGAGTTCCCTCCTCGTACAAGACACCGACGACAGATTTTGAATCTTCACCACTTTCCAATCCTTTCCGATGTACACTCACCTGGTTTGCAGTCCCCACGGTGAGGCGACCGCGAGGTGAAAAGGAAGCGTCGACAGAAAAAAAAGAGCGTAGTTTTCCACGCCACAATCACGCAGAACAGCAACCCTGGGCTGTATTGAGACAGAACAAGCAGTGTCTGTTTTCCGGACAAATTTTTTTGCCAAGCTGTCTAGGGTAAGCACGATGTTTTTCTCATAAGAAAGTATGTGTTGAAATAAAGTCCTTAAAAGTGAATAGGAGGTCGTTTTTCATGCATCACAACTCTAGTATGGGAGTAGTTTGTTGATCTTCAGAACCATCATGCATCTCTCACATGAGGGCTACGAACATGTCCGCAGTGTTGAATGATGTCGTCGACCCCGGTGAACGGTGTAGAAGACGTGGTATGCAACTAGATCATGCAAATGATATACATCCGTGCCGTGACAATAACGAATGAGTATTCAACATGTGATGTAGCTTATATTTCTATAAACTAGCTGCGTGTTTGTGATGCAAAAACTGGTTCTGACAACCCATGCTGCATGTTCTGCCAAGAAGGCTGAATGAGGGTCTTTCATAACATGTCGACCAAGCACTTATTCTAAAGCAAGTATTCATTCAATCCGATGTGAATTCGACTTTATGACACATCACAGGGAGTTATATGCCCGAAGATCAGCTTTACTTGAACAGAAAAGATCAGAACAAGAATGCATGACTCATTCCCCTGCTGGCATATCCACCACGTGTTCGCCTTACCATCCCCCAAGAAACCACAGCTCAATCACGTGTATTTGGCACACTTCTCCACTACCAAACCATCCACACCATCCACAGTAGACACCCACCTTCGACAGCATCCAGAGCACCTCTCTCCAGCTGCATGCCACCCTCGACAGCACGACTACATTTCGAATTTACACCCTCTTGAGTGCCGCACTCAGTTCGGCAATGAGATCGCACAGCGTCGACAGCACGATGTCACCATTTTTCTTACTGTCTTTCGCTTTCTGCTCTGGCACGATCTGCTGCAAAGCTGACTCGATCATCTTGATACTGTTCAGGAAGGCCGCCAAGCTCGCAAAGGCCTCCGTTTGACTGAGACCGTTATCTCCGGTGAGAAGTTTCAGTTGTCCGTGTGCTAGGAAATCCAACAAGTACGAGTTCCTCGGTTCATCGACGTCTATAACCGGAATCGAGTTCATGTCCACCTTGGCGACGCTAGTTCGCACATTCATCACTGCATCGCGATGTCCTTTAAAATGGTCCGATAGACCCAACATGCCGCTAAACATACTACGAGCCTTGAGCTTTGACCGAGTGCCGCTCAGAAACTTACCAAAAGCACCAGTTGGATTCATCAATCCCTGTGAAGAGTTAAGTATTGTTGGTGTATTATAATATAAGTTGTGTCCTGGAGTTATGTTTCAGCTTGTTTGAAGAGAGATGATGTTCATAGTCATAATGATTGTCTCCAGGAAATAGAAAATGGTACTAGGACGAATGTAATTATAGTACCTTCTGAAACTCTGCCCTCGGGTTTTCCAGACATTTGACTTGCGTTAACGGTAATCTGTAGTCGCTTGGCTTGCCGGCGCCGGCGTCTAGGTACTTCTTAGAAGCGCACGTCGACCAGATGTAGTTCATGTATGTCTTCTCCACGTCGTGGTTGTAACGTTCGACTTCCGCTTTGATGTTCTCCGGCAATGGCGGTAAGGCTGGACTCAGCTTCGAGGGCAAGTGCTTACGTCGGGTGATGCGAGGACGCACACCACTCATCTTCCGCTTGGCAAAGAAGAAGTGCCCAAGTACACCAAGTAATTGCGTTGTGGCCCAGGTGCTTCGCTGGTCTTTAACCTCACTCTTCTTGGCTTTTTTGAGGTAAGCATGGAGTGCGCCGGATCTTAGCAGACGGTTGAGGACCATGTTTGCTGGCTCCGCTTCGAAGGAGAACGCTACTAAGCCCGCCAAGCCGATTGGCTGTCCGCTAGCATCGATTAAACCTTTTTATTTTACAATATGTTGTAGGGAGGCGTCTGAAAGTAGTGAGAATAAGAATGATCGGCTTCGATGTCACAATAACGCACTATCGCTTCTGGTTCTTTGGAGATCATGTGGTTACGTACGCGGGTGCAGCTACTATAGCAAAATTCAAAAAAAATTACCTTCATTAAACAGGAACTCCAAGGAGTATTTGGCGTGCAAGGCCAGCTGCGACGCGAGGTTCTCGCTATGTGCTGACTGCTGGAAGAATGGACACTCGAACAAAGGTCGAATGCATTCCTTATGAATGGTTTCGTCTAGCTCTAGTCTCCCATTTTCAGCGAAACCGGATTCTCGAACTAAAACTCGCAATAATGTCGTCGCAGATAAATTCATCTCGCCGGAAAGTGTCTATGTTTTATGAATAAGAGGAAGACGTTCGCGTAATCTATGTTTTAAGAATAAGAGGAAGACGTTCGTGTAAAAGATAAAGTTTTAAGAATAAGAGGAAGACGTGTCTATGTTTAAGAATTGTAAGAGATATCAAAGTTTCTTGTTGTTGTTCGTCTGATTGTTGAGAACAATTATTGGCTCCGTGTACTTATAAATGAAGTTAGTAGGACAGAGCTCTTTTGGTGTTGGTCGTGTATGGCTCAAGCCTCTCGGATGCCGTGGCGTTCTGTTCTCAGTGGCTCACGCAAAGCCTCGTGTTCGACTGTCATCGGGATGATCTCACAAGACACGAATGTCAATGATCATGAATGCTACTTCCAATGCACATTCAATGCATAATCATAATGATCAAGGTGTAGACTAGGCACGGCTGTACTGATCCTAGTCATATGATGCATGTTCAGCCCGATCCCTTCTGACATGCTTATGCTGCTGATGTATGACTCATCTCACCCAATGAACCAAACAGGGACTACACCCGCCAGAGATCGCAAGTCTCAGGCAGGAGTATCAAGATTTGCTCGCATTCAAGATTCTGACTTTGTGTCTCCACTGAGAAACGAACCAAGGCACGGAGGCCTGTGTTCTTGTGGTCCAACATTTGGAGATTCATTTTTGTTCAAAATCCAGAGCCGAAAATAAAAAGCTCTCGAAGTAGTCGTGTAAAAGATAAAGTTTTAAGAATAAGAGGAAGACGTGTCTATGCTTAAGATTAATACCGGCAAATCGCTTGCTACTAGCTGCGAGATTTTTTCGAATGGCATACCCCAGAAGATGACGTTTCCGAGCAGATCGAATCCACGTCGTCCGCTTCGTCCAGCCATTTGTCGGAACATCAACCCTGTGAGCTCGACGTCATTGCCGGTAAATACCACGGATCGACAAGGCATATTGATACCCAGAGCCAGTGTTCCTGTCGCAAACACCACTTTAAGGAAACCTCTTCGGAACAGGACTTCGACGATTTGCTTGTACTTCGTGGGCGCGGCTGTTGTAGAACAAGTGTTGATTAAATACATTTATCATGTGAAGATGGAGATGAATTGTAAAGTGGAACGTGTCGTGTTGGATTAAGTACAACCACGAAGAAAATGAACATTTTGTAATTTATTATAGCGTAAATGAACATAATTTTGTAATTCATCATAGCGTGTAGTCGTGGTCGTCCGTGCTAGACTATAGTTGGTAGGAAGAATATGAATGATAATCATGGACCCGTCAAAGCTGCTTTTCAAAAAAAACATTAAGTGGTCTGATTGTACTCTCTTAAAAGAGATGAATGAGAATTTGAATTTGTACCTTCCCAATGCATTCCGATTCCTCGCTCCAAGGCTTTGATCAGCACCGGATCGAGCTTCTTCGCCATAAAGCGAATCTGCTTCAAATCTTCCTCAATCTCAGCCGCGTATTGCCCTTTCGCACGTTCGGAGTGGAAGGTGAACTCCTTGTCCACTTCGTCCTCGACGTTTGGCAGTTGAATAGGTTCCTCCAAGGTCGTCTCATCGAAGTCCTCGTCGTTTGCCTTCAACTTCAGCTGCGCTTCGTAGAATTTCAACTTTTTCTGGAATTCGGCTTCCCGCTTGGCGTTTTCGGCCTTGGTCGCTGCCCTGGCCTCCTCGGTGCCGAGGTACTTGTCGTACTGCATTTGCTGCATGTGGGTGAATAGCCTAGTCACCATGCTCTTCAGTTCCACCCGGTTGAAGTTGAACACGATCGTAGGTAAGTTGTCGGTTCGGTCCAAGTCGCGGCAGAGCTGGTACATCTTCGCGCCACTCGGAGACTTGCAAAGCTCCAACTTGGACACATCCACGGCAGCTGTAGACGAGGAGCTGCCGCCGACTTGCATCACTTGGGTACTCTGCAAACCAATAGAACTAAGCTGTGCTGAACTCAAATTCCGCACTCCCGTAGAACTCAACATATTCGCCGGGGCTGTGCCAACGGCGAGCTGTGTCGTGGAACTCCCTGGACCTTGCCAAGCAATCTTAGGTGCTGACATCGTTGGTTTCAAGGAGCCCACACTCGCAGTACCTGGTGAAGATGCTGGACCACTAGCATTAATACCTGCAGTTCCTGCACGAGGCGTACTACCTCCGGTTTTCTTACGGGGCAAGACGCGCATCGCATTTAGCAACAAGTTGAACTTCTCCTTGTTCAACAACATCGCGTTCTCATCCGTGGAGACAACATCCTGAGCAGATTTTGCTGCTCCGTTGTTCTTTGAAGATACTAGAAGTTCTTCTTCTTCATCCACAGACTCAAATTTCTTAGCGATGTGCGCGATCTTTCGCGCTCCAGCTTCCAGACTTTCTTCTTTTTCTGGTGTAGATGAGCCAGCTTTTTCGCCTGGTAAATGGCCGTTACCTAAAGTAGTAGACAAGGATCCAGCAGCCCCTCCAGCAGAAGCTCCTCCAACATTGCCTCTTGCACCCAGAATTGTTGACAAGACGTGTTTTTCGTATCGCCTGTAGTCTGCCTTTGACATGACACGCAAAGCTCCTTCGCTCAAAGAGTCGTTCTGGAAGAATTTTTTCGGGTCCATCTGGGCTGCTGCCTCCCTCACTGCCGGGTCCGCATCGTTCTGAAACAGACGCACAAAGTTCGCCACTAAGACGCCGCATTCCGAAGGCGTCAAAGAGAAATCCGCGATCATGCCGTTGCTGCGCACTGTGCGCTCGTTCAAGCACGCAAAAGGGTGGAGAGAGTACAGCTCGCCATCTACGTAGACTTTTTTGTACAAGTCGTTCCATCGTTCGGAATGTTTGATCAGGTGGACACGGGATTTGTGACTGTCTGCTCCAAACTTCCTTACTTGCACCATCGACAACCAACTATGGAAATTGTCCGGATTCGACACCGTAGCAGAGAGCGCCACAAACGGGCATGGAATCAGCTGCATCGTACGTTCCCATTGTGCGCCGCCCTCACTCTCGCCAATGCAATGGACTTCATCAAAAACGATATAGCGAAGGCGCTTCACCTACGGATTTTTTTGAGAAAGAGGATGGTGTTGTTAGTTTTAGTCAGCATACAGAGGAGTGGAGGTCGTGGTCGTCGTCGTGAGAGATGTTATTCTTAGAAGAACAAGAATTGGCTGAAACAAGCTGGATCAAAAAGTGTACAGATCAAAAAAGGGTACAACTCGTTGTAAAAAGAACAACTGAACAAAAAAGTACCCATTCATGTTTTTCTGGCGACAGTAAAATCGTCTCCAAACAGTGTGGCACCGTAACCAACACTTGTGTGTTAGCCCACGTTCCTATCTCCGTGACACCACCCGCCGAGTTGAACTCTCTTGTGAAAACACCAAGCAACTGGTTCTTCGCATTTGCCGGGTAGTTCTTGGAACCAAATCGCGCGTAGATTTCTGCACTGACCTGATTCACCAACGCCTTCGACGGAGCAACGTAGACGGCGATGTCTTCGTGGTTAGAAGCCAAAACCCGTTCCATCGTGTAGTAGCAAATGAACGTCTTCCCACTAGCCGTAGGAGCCACGACCAAAGCGGACTGTTCGCTGTCCACGATATCTAGCAGGTCCTTCTGCCAGTCATCGGGTTTGAACAAAACACGTTTTTCCTTGTGCTTGCCCAATGTCCGTGTCATGAAACGGCCATTGTAGAGTAGTTGGAAGTTGAATTCGCCACCTGCTTTGGCCACACCGTCAAATGGAGCGTTGGCAGAGTCCTTGCTAGCTGCAGACTCGGCGTCGACGTAGTAATCGTCATATAGCTTTTCGCTCTTCCCCCCAACTGCTCCCAGCGAACTGCTACTAGACTTTGCCTTCTTCAATTCCTCCTTTTCCTTCTTACTGTCCTTCTTGTCCTTCTTACTGTCTTTCTTATCGCCCTTCTTGTCCTTGCCAGCACCTGCTGTCTCGGACTTGCTTTTGCGATCGTCGACTACTGAGTCCGTCGGAGACGAGCTCTCCTTCCCCATCTGCAGTTCGCGCCAGGCCTTGAACGTCTCAGCCGCAGATTCCGGGAATCCAATCTGGATCAGAACTTCCTGAATCAGCTTGATGCCCTTGCCATCTACTTCTACTCCGTGAATCTTGAAGATTTCGTGACAGAAGTTGAACAGGTAGCACACAAACTGCGCCAACTTGGCTGATAACTTCGTACTCGTTCCCGGGATGACGCCCGTTGCAGAGGACACGCCGCCAACGGACAAGCTGTCGTCAGCTGGAGTAGGGCCAACAGAGTTGTAACCGCCAGTCGTGTTCGACAAAGTCCCGTCTGGGGACGTAGCTCCGAGATTATTCCCCGATAAGGCGGAAGTCATCTCTTGTTCCTCGTCGCCCATCTTCTCCTTGCTCAAGTTCAACTTCTTCAGGAACTTGCGAATATTACTCAACATTTTGATGGAAATCTTCAGCTGAATCCCCTTAGTAGTGAAGTTGCGAGCGATGCCTTCCTTAAAGGCAGTCATGTCGTCCACTACGGAGTAACGGGGGTACCCTGCGGCCATCTCCAGGAGCTTAGATTGGACTTTGAAGATGCCACTAGGACCAGAAGACGAGGGGTTCAGACCCTCAGCTTCCTTTTCCCACTGGGCAAAGCGGTCCTCATCCTTCTTCAAAGCATCGAGTTTGGCCTTCTCCTCGTTTTTAGCGAGCAATTCCTGTAAAAATCGAGACGAAGAGAAGATAGAGATGAAGAAATAGAAGAGCCGGATGAAGTAAGTCCAAGTATACCTATAAATATACCATGTGTAGTACTTATTCGAGAAAGTATTCGAGCGTCAGGCTAAGCTGTACGTCAGATTTGATATGCAAAGATAGTTATCGCTCACAAAGGATCACAGCTATCTTTTTTCCTTGCTTGCTTATGTGAGGGACGAGGATGTGATGGAAGGATCATTACCATCTTCTTCTTGCTTGCTTTTTGAGCTTCTGCTTCTGCTTCCTGCTCTGCCTTCTTCATCTTCTCGTCTTTGACTAGGATCGGCAAATGCAAATTCTTACTCCCGGTCAACGAATTCGCGTACCCAGCCAGTGCTGCGACAGCCTGCTGACGACGGCGATCGTCTCCCTTCTTGAAGAAGTCCATATCTGATTTAGATAGGTAGCCCTTCTTTTTGATGATAACCGCCTTGCGTTCTCGCACCTTCTTCTGGGCTCTATTTTCTTCCATGTACTCTTCAAAGGCGAGAGAGGAGATCGCCTTCCCCTCAGCCCACTTAAAATTACCGTCTAGACCATGGTCGCCGAAGAGAATACTCCTCTCCATCGCAGCAGGAGTGCCCTCGCCTCCGTCGGCGTTGTTATTAGAAGTTGCATTTTTACAACAAAAAATGTACTTGGTCAGGGAGGCCCTCGAATAAAGTAGAGCTAGCGATGATGCTCAGAGAAAATCTCTCGAGAAAATAGGTAGATCAATAGTACTAGCACTAGGTTTTTATATGCAAAATTCATAACATTTGTTTCCTCATCTTCTGTGACAGCTTCGCCAGCAGCCGGCTTCTGTTTGATGGTTACGAACTGACGACGCGCAAAAACCACCTCCTGCATCAAGTCGCTGTGTACATCACGTACTACTGGATTTTCACGATACCCTTCAGGCGTGGCCAAAGTCTGGTTACAAGCAAACTGATGCGTCTCAAACGCCTCACCCGCATCGGCCAGAGGCCAGAACTCACGTGCTGCCGGAGCAAGAGCCGCTGCTCCGTCTTCTGGCGACGAACTAGTCACAGCCGCCTTCCACAAGGCAATCAACTTGTTATTCAGCTTCGCAGCCAACGTGAAGTCCTTAGTGTCAACCTTCTTTTCGCCTACGACCCACCCTAAGACGTGTCTGTAAAAACGACCATCCACGAAATCGTGGAAGTCCAAACCCGGTCCGAGCGAAACACCAGCAGCGGCTGTCGCGCAAGTAGCCGCATCGACAAAAGCGCCAAGCTCTTGTGCAGCGAACTTCTGAAACTCCGAAAAAACGGTCTCGCCAAATTCTTCCGCGAAATCCTCTTCTTCTTCTGTTTTTGTAATCATGAGTCAAAAAATATTAAAGTAGTAGATTTAATAAATAAAGTAGATAATATCTAGTAAAAAAATAGAGTAGTAGCTTCATAATATCTTGGTTTTATATTGGTAGTACCGCCCGCCTCTTCCCCTTGCCACGTAGCGAAGCATCGATGCGGCAACGGCATTTCGGATTTCAAGACTGTTGAAAGGAGAAGAATCTTGGCCAGGAGAGTAAAAGCAGCAGTCTGTTCGTCTAAGCCGTCCTCGTCCGCGCCAGCTATCAAAGCTGGCAATAGCGTTTGGCGCACAAACCTCAGCACGCAAACAGCGCTACCAGTTACCACACTGCCCTCGGGAGTCAACGCTAAGCGCTCTCTCTCAAAGTTGGCTACTTTCTCCAAGAATGAAGGGGAGAGATGGAGGAAGAGGGAGGAGTCAATGATGCTGGAGGAGAGACTAATGATGGAAGGAAATCTACGGGGAGAAGAGAAAAAAGTGTAGAAAGAGGTCCTTGGTGTTTTTTCTAGAAGTCGATAAACATTTCTACCTACAGTGACTTAGTCGAGATGAAAGTGTAGTAAAGGAAGCCTTGTTTCTTGTTTCATACAGTCGCTTCCTTGACTTTTCGCTTGATTTCCGGTTCCCCACCTAAGAGTTCGACCCCCTCCTCGTCTGAGGATAATTCTGGGTCGTCTAAGTCGCCTGAATCTAGGAGTTTGGAAGGCTTGAGGATATCGCACGTTGGGATGCAACTGAGATCCACTGGGGTGCTCGTGGCATAGTGCGCACCCAACGATCCTACCAGAGGCACACTCTGTGCCGCAAGAGGCGCAGAGCCTACCGCAGAAGAAGAAGCGCTACGACCTAAAAGGGCAGCTTGAGCGGCTTTGGCCGCACCAGCTGGCAGACTCAACGTGTTTAAGCTGGCAATGTGACGAAGCGATCCGGGTCCGCCTCCATGAAAGGACGCCAGGCGATTCTGCGACGCCAACATCATCAGTGCCGAAGAACTGCTTCCTGCAGCAGCACCTCCGCTTCCCGCCAACGTCGCGCCTAAGGAAATCGAGGCGCCGCCAGCGATGGAATCCAGACCTGTGGCAGATCCGACACTAGGTAACATGCTGCCATCTGCAGCCACTTGAACAACAGCCCAGTGGTTGAAGACGCGCTCTAGATACTCAGCCAAAGCACGACAGCAGTTCTCGATACCCAAAGTAAAGGCCTCGACTCGGTGTCCACGATGCGTGATCCCTGATAACAAAGCTACTGGAAGTTTACATCGCAAAGACGCAATCGCCAATGTCTTTAATACACACCCCATAGTTGCAAAACCTTCTAGTTTACGTTCAGCTTTCGTCATTTTCTTGCATCCTTCACTACTACCATCCTCTGCTCCTACCGCGCCAGCACGTGGCCCAAGTTCCTCCGCTTCATTAGAGTCTGCTAGATTGCATCTCGGCCCCCTCATCTTGACCCCTTTACTACCCTTGTATAATTTCATAGGAACAATAATACAAGGGAAAAACAAAAGGGGACCAAGATAGATGTTGCGCCGAGAATCATGGACACTAAATGTTGAAAGAATACAGGGGAACAAAAGGGGACCAAGATAAATGTTGCCGAGAATGATGGACACTAACACTAAATGTTGAAAGATTCCGACGCAGTTGCCGAGAATGATGGACACTAACACTAATCTATTTTTCTGTGTCTTTCAATGATAGAAGACGTTGTTGAAAACTAACACTAAATGTTGATGATGGAATGTTGCCGAGAATGATGGACACTAACACTAAATGTTAACCATAACTTCAGATTCGTCGTCCTCCTCGTCTTCATCCTCCTCTTCTTCAAACAGAAGTGACTCGCCTTTCTTGTCGTCGAAGAAGTTGTCGCTGATCAGGAAAAAACTCGGACGCCACTCTTTCACATGCTGTTGAAAAGCCGGATCATACCAGGATTGAAATCGCTGCACGTCCATGCTCTGAGGGATGTCTCCTCCAGAAGATGATCCGCCATTCGTCGCAGAACAAGGGGATGATGGTGATCCTCCATTACTAGGTGTAGTTGATGCCATCAGATTTCCGGAAACACAATGCATCAGGAAAGCGTTGCGCAAGAGCCACAAGGACTCGCTATTCTGGAGCTTCGCGAAGACGGACTCGAAGCAGTCGAAGAAGATCAGACGGAACGTCTTACCTCCTGCTTGCTGCAGCGTTTCTAAGATGCGCTCCATTGCGTGGATAGCCGGCAACGTTTGCGGCGCTTTGCGGAAAGAGCTGCATAGCTGTAAAGTCAATGTGGTGTGGTGTCGTAATGTGGTAAAAGGGAAACGAACTTCGCAGAATAGGTACTATGTTGACATTTGAATCTAGATACCACAGCGTGTAATTCTTCATTCGGTTGAAAAATATCACAGCGAGTCCGGTAAAAGAGAAACAAAATCTCATGGAAGTCAAAGTACGCTATGTTCTTCCTTCTGCTCTACTCCTTCGAACAACAGCAGGTGCAGGATCAAACTCTCCGCCGAAATGAAGTACAGATTCGTTCCGCCCATTTCCAAAATCAGGTTCAGATTCCGGAAATGGCACTGCGACAACCATTCCTGCAGCAAGGCTTTCGGCTTGTCCAGGTAAGGAATCATCTCCTTGAAGTCGATGCAGCTACCAGCAGCTTCAGCCGCATTGAGCGCATCCAAATCCAAGTCGCCATCCATGTCATCCTCGCCAGCTCCGACGTCGACGTCTGCATCGACGTCCTCCACTTCGTCGAGCTCCTCCTCTATGTCATCAGGACCATCAAAATCCTCCATCTTGTTGCTGCTATATCGTACTCAAGAAGATATAGAGGTAGAACAAGTAGATATAGAGGTAGAACAAGAAGATATAGAGGTAGAACAAGTAGATATAGAATGGTAGCTCCACAAGATATAGTAGAGGTAGAACGAGAAGTTGTTTCTTGCGCTTAATATTGTTGTACTTTCTTATTGTAGCTTTTTCTTTAGTCCTTGTTGCAAGATATACGTCTCCAAAACGCAGTAAGAGGAATTCGCTTTTCACTACGCGGCCAAAAGATTGCAAGATTCTTACTTCAACGACTATAATTTAGTTGACAACTCCTTATTATTCTCTGCTGGTATCGAAGCGAAAACTACAACAAGTTTTTCAAAAATTCGATGCAGTTTAAGATGAAATTAGAAGGAGACACTGAAGTAGTCAGATATGAAACAACAGAAGATTTTCAATATGATCTAAATATGCAGATGCTTATGCAAGAGTCGCTTAAAATGCGAGTCCTTATATTATCTATGCGATTGATACAATAACTCTTCTTAGGTACTATATTCTTCTCGGTGGTAGTAAGAAAGTAACAGAAAGAAAACAAGACAGTCAAATTTACAAATATTACCAAAGAAAAGCACTCCCATCAAAAGTCTTTAATCTATCTTTTCACACCTTGTCTCTTTTAATATTGCTTTCTTTTATTACGTCAACATATGAACGCTCAAGCGCACAGAATACTCTGGATCGGTGACTGTAGTATTGGGATTCCGCGAGAATGGAGTAAGACTTGTAGGATGAGCAAAGAATCAATGGAGGTTGTACCATGACAAGGCATCATCACGATATTTCGATTGGGATTTTGGACAAAGAGGATCGAGCATCAAAAACATTGATATTCTTCATCTTGAATTCGCCAGTCGTATCCACCTGATCGTTCCTCATCATGATGCAACATTCATCGGGGATTTGGATTTGGAGATTTCAGAAAAAAATTCTTTTTTTTTTGTATCCTGGGTCTACTGAAAGAGCGGCCTCAGCTTCATCCAGTTCGCAAACCGGCGGCAGGCGGAGCCTAGTGTTCCTCTATCATTCTATTCGCTACGAACCCGCCGGCTTTAAAATGGTCAAGAAACTGGGAGGTTGAGGGAATGACTAAACCACAACTCCCAGCGATTTGCCGATCGCCTCACTCATAGCGCATACACACAGGCCACCAAATGGGGCGCAGTGCGTTTCACAAGCATCAGACAGGCAGAGGAAAAGACATGCCGCGAGGTGATGAACTGTACTTAGCGACAAGCTACACTACATTTGTGATTCTCTTCTACTGAGACGGAAAGTAACGACAACAGTCGGTCGTCGTGTCGTTCGTTCAGGGGCGATAAGATTTGAGACAAGCTTGTAATTCCAAGAGACGAGATGATACCTTCAGAGATTTCCTGAACAAACCAGTGAAACTGAGCTACATCGAGCCACACACACACACAGCATTTGAAACTTGAGTGCACAAGAACATTGCTTTCACGAGTCGGCTCACTTTTTCGACTGTGGTATAACTTGAAAATGGATGTACGAAGGTTCCAGATCCTAGTAAGCGAAGAGAACCTGACCAAACTGCGACAAAGTAAACGACGCGCGTCAGTTCTATGATAGATCTCCAGAAAAAAAAAGTAATCACGTGTCTGTGCATGATATTGGCCAACGATATCTAGATGGATGCAAGGGCAGCTAGCATGAAAGCTCGGTATAGGTATGAATCCGATGAATGATGGTAGAAACCCTAGAAAAGAAACTCTGCGGACTAACAATATCGACGCAATAGAAATAATTATGTATGATGGAATATTAGAGTGGAATATTAGAGTACAAGTACATTTATGGAGGTTCTAAACCTGTTATCGTTAATCTCATCAAACTGTCTTCGTTATTTCCTGTTCCTCTCCTAATCTCAGGATTGCGGCATATTCAAGCATACCGCTATGAGCGTCCCCGTCGCTGCCACAAGGAGAAGAAGCTTAGAATGTGTTATCTATTTCGTCCATCTTCTCGGCGACAGATCTTGGTTGATTCGCAACCTTGCTCTCGTACTCCGTAATATAAGTATCCTAATATCATCAAACATCATCATCTATACCGTATCGGCATCGTATCATCTGACATCCTAGTATACAGTTGCAATGATGAAAAAAACAAACCAAGACCATAACGAGAAGAACGATGAGCACAACGACCACGCGAATAGGCAGTCCGCACAACATTCTCGATTGGTCTTTGCCGTTGCGGCAAAGACTCCTAGGCGGACCCTTGACATGTACCATCACGTCTTTGTCGTTGTGGCAAAGACTCCTAGGCGGACCCTCGACATGTACCACCACGTCGTCCTCGCCAGTCGGTGCATTGAGAAGAGGGTCTTGCTCGAAACCAGTAGCGTTGTTTCCATTGATGCACACGGTGCTGTTGCGAACCACTGTGGATTAGAGGCATGGGAGAAAAACGTGGATCAAAAATCCTCGCTTCAAATACAGCTTACCAAAGTCAACGACAAAAGTTATAACGGCAAAAGAACTAAACTGCGTTCATCCTCGCTTCAATGGGTCTATGTGGTAGACCACAGCAGCTGTAGTCAAGACTGTCAACGGCACCTAAAAAATAAGACCGTCAAGACTGTCAACGGCACCTAAAAAATAAGACCCAGGAGCAACGTCCATGTTCATAATTCAATATTTTGGTGTGTGAGGTTCTTGACATCCCTGATATCCGCATCCACATCCTGGAGGAAACTGCCGTCATGTCAGACATCACGCTGGATCGTCCTGACTTACGCGGACGCCGTGAGGACGCTGACGATTCCGAATGATGATGCGAAGTATCGCCCTCGTCGTTCTTCTGCGAACAGGAGGAGCAATCATCATCGTCCTGCTGTTGTTCCCTCCCACGTGTTGCATCGGTTACTTGCGACAAGGTACTGTCTTCATCCTCCTCTCCATCAGTTTCGTCTTTATCACAACCATCTCCAGGAGGAACAGTTGTGTTTTTTTTCTCAAGTACACGATCATGACCGAGGACTTCCGAAGAAGTGCTAGAAGATGCAACTACTTCTAGGTGCGAAGAAGAAGATAATTTATGTGGCGTGCTAGATGCTGTAGAGCAGAATGCGTTTACGGCATCCTCCTCTTGCGTGATCCGCTCATCGCTCCACGTGGCTGAACTCTGAAATGTCGAATTGGTTTCGCAAGCATCCTCCTGCTGCTGCGCACTTAAAAGGGGCAATTGTTCGCTGTCGCCCTCGTCTGCACCTGGAATTTGCCCTTGCTGCATCCAGTCGTCTTTTGTTAATGTACTAGAGCTAGAGGCGGATGCAGTACTTGCATTTCTCAGTGGGCTACGAACAAGAGGACCACTGCTAGAAGATCCAGCTGATGATGAAGCTGCTGCAGGAGCTTTTGTAGGACTTGCGAATGTTTTCGCCATTTGACCCCATATTCGATTACCCCATGAAGATTGCGCCTCACTAGTAGACTCTTGAGGACCTTCTGATTTAGGTACAACAAGATCAGCACGTTGTGAAACAGTGGTCGCAGCAATTATAGGGTACTTTTTGCCTTCTGGTGTATCGCTCGATAACAACGTTGTCGTCCCGGTTGATCTCAGCGCATTGGCCGTGCTGTCCAATACATTCGAGTTATTAGCCTGTACCTCTTTCGTAGGCGTAAAGGTAGAAGGTGCTAAAGTTGACGCAGGAGTATTACTAGCACTACTCTTCCCTACATGATTGTCGCCAGCTAGTGCATCGCCATTAATCCGAGAAGATGATATGTAACTGTACAACGAGGAGAATACTCCATTCACGCCAGCAGCTGCTGTGCTGCCAATCAACGTCGTAGTCTTAGTTGCGGCTCCAATCACAACAGAGCTCGTTGGCGTTAGAGCCGCACAAAAAAATGGCATCCCTCCTGAGAGGGCCCTCCTGAGAGGCCTTCTTTTTCAAATGGAAAAAAAAGCAGGGACGATGTTGAGGATGCTGTTGTATTCGAAAAACTGAAATAAGCGAGTAACTACTTAGAATAACCCTGAGAGAGAGATGAGAAGGAAAGGTAGCCTTGACGTTAAGCTACCTCCCTTATCTCAGTCAGCAACTCGGTTATTTTGAGTTTTCGATTAGCCATAATGAAGACAGTGCTGCACCTCCACCTGCATTCCCGATTATAGATTTCCCGATACTTCCACCTAGGTTTCCAAGAGACAAAGCTGGCTCCTCGTGATATGTTGCCGCTGGTTCCTCGTCCACGCCTACCAAAGGTAAAGAGGGCTCTAGAAGAACTGGGGCTGGAGGAGGCCCCCTCAAGTTAGAGGCAGGAACTGGAGGCCCCCTCAAGTTAGAGGCAGAAGCATTTTTACGTTCTTCAGAACATCACCCTTGTTGACCTTTTTTGCTACAATTAGGTCAAGGAGGTTACTGAAGGATGTAGTTCGGGAACCCGTAATCAAAAGTCTGCTCCCGGATTGGCCATCATAAAGTACTTTATCAAGCTCTTGGAGCACGAAATCCAAGCTGGCACGTTTCTTTGGGTCTCGCTCCAATAGACGAGGAATTAGACGGAATAAGTAGATTTGACATGATGGTACTGCTACCCCACACGATGACGACGATAAGTTATATTTAGAATATATTATTATCTTCTCATCTTCTCATCTCTCTTAAAAGATAGGACCTTAACTGAAGAATCGCGATAACGTGGTAAAATCGTTTTTTCTCTTCAGGATCCTTATTGGCGTACCGGTGATGGGAACTCCAGTCGGGATACTGGATCCGCATGCGAGGATCCGCAATGCCGATCATCATGCGCGCACCACCACCCGATAGGTGATCGTAGGGTCCGCGGCCGCACGTTAGAGGCGATAGACTTATAAGTATTTTTTGGTCATTCTAAGGAATAAGTATTCCACAGACTACTGGACTGAAGCAGAAAGGTCTTGGTGTTGATCTACTTCAAGAACAGAAAGGTCTCATACAGAAAGGTCTTGGTGCTGATCTACTTCAAGAACAGAAAGGTCTCATACAGAAAGGTCTTGGTGTTGATCTACTTCAAGATGAGGCTTAGCTAGCGTCTCCCATACTTCATCCGCCTGCACATTAAGTATTTTGTTTGAAGGGATAAGCCTAGGGATCGATAGAGGTGAAAATTTACGGTTGCTATACTTTACTTTAAAAGCACTATGGTACAACAACGTCAATGTCGATGCACATTAAGTACTCTTAAAAACATTATGGTACAACAACATCAATGTCGATGCACATTAAGTACTCTTAAAAACATTATGGTACAACAACATCAATGTCGACGGACTCTACATCCAAAACTTTGCCTTAAGTAAATGAGCAGGTACAGAATAATGCCCAAAGCCCATGCATCCACTGCTTGCCGCAGATGCAAGGATCCTCCAGGCTTTGCTGCTAGTCCTGGCCCTCCTTTGGAATTATGAATACCATTCATCACTCCAGACGCTCTAGAACTGCTTGCACCACCAGGACTGCTTCTACCATTCATCACTCCAGATGCTCTACCACTGCTTGCACCGGGAGCACTACCATTAACTCGCTCTCCTCCTGCTGCTCCAGAACCACTACAACTCGCTGTTCCTCCTCTCCCATCAGGAGTCCCCTTGGGTAGTACGCCTACTCCTCCTCCTACAGTCCCTCCTCCGCCTGAACTACCAGCGCCACCACTGTCACTTCCAGATTCCTTAATCTGTGATAGTGGTTGTTTATGTACTATGAGTGGCTGATGTTTCCCATTCGCATTCTGGGTCCTTTCAGGTTGATAAATTTGCTCTGGTGCCATATAACGTGTAGTACCGACTTGGCCATTCCTCGAAATATGCGTTTCTCCATCCCCCACTTGACCCGCTACGCCAAAGTCCGCTAGCTTTACACGACCATCTACCAGTAAGAAATTCTCAGGCTTGAGGTCGAAATGCATGATGCCTCGAGCATGCACGGCGTGCACGGCCTGTACCATTTGCCCGAAATAGAAGACGATCGTAGTAAGCAGCGTCCCCGTATCGCCTTCCTCTTCCAACTTGTCATTCCAAAACCGAAGAAAATCCGAATCCGCAAACTCCAAAAGCATCGCGATCATGCGATTCTTCGCTACACACTTCCACTCCTTCAGTTGAATCACGTGCGGTTCGTTAACGAATTGTTTTGCAGATTAGAAGAAGAGTCGGAAACGGAATCTATTATAGAATATAAGTAGAATATTAGAAGATTATAAGGAGAGGCCTCGTCGCTCCTTGTAGTTCATCATCAGTGTGTCTCTGATAGAAGTCACTCTTAAAAAAACTGAAATATCAGCGAGACGAAGCGAGGTTCTTATTCCTCACCTAGTTAAATATCGTATAATCTTTACGAACATTGAATTTAGAAGAAAACTACAGTGTAGAATGCGTAAAGCAACAACGCTTCCTGTTTGTAACATTCCAACTGGCGTGCATCGCGTGCATAGACGACTTTCAGTGCGTACGTACACGGATTTTTCGTGTCTAGAACCTGGTAAACCTCAGCCGAACCGCCATGGCCCACTAGTTTTTGAATCGCCACTACGTATTTCCCTATCAGCACGAATTCTTTGGACGTGTCCGCTGGTTTCTTAGAGGGGACTGAGACTAGTTGTTAGCATAAGTACTATAGAAGAAACAGTCTGATAGCATGTAGAGAGGAAGCTTCCTTTGTTAGAGGAAGCAGTCCTGGTACTAGTTCTTGTTAGCATAAGTACTATAGAAGAAACAGTCTGCTCTCGACGCATGATCGAGAAAAGGAAAAGGGATCAAGACTCGAGTTAGAAGTAGTATTTTGTTAGAACCAAGTGTCCACATGGATGCTAGATGCGAGTGACATCAACAGCAAGACAAGGTACTACTACTAGTATACCTAAGAAATGTACCTGACAAGAAGATGTTGTGATCCATGGTAACATTAGCAGAGCCATAGAAGAAGATCTGCGAGCATTCTGATTCGCACCTACCGTGGACTCCCTACTATTGTTCACGCTACTGCGCTTGCTGCTCCTTTGGCGCCCGTTAGTTGTACTCTGGCGTCCATTATTAGTTGTACTCTGGCGTCCAATATTAGTGGTGCTCTGACGCCCGTTGATGGCTGTGGCCTGCCTTTCTTGGCCCCCGCCGCTGTGGTTGGGGGCAAGCGGAAGCCTATTAGCAGCTGAAGAAGACGACGACATTTTTTTGAGAAAAGAACAAGCGCCCGAACAACCTTGTTACTTGGAGTTTACAAAGACAACGACTAGGTCACTGGCTCGATGTAATTCCGCAAATTGCAAGAGTCATTCATTAAGGAAACACAGTGTAATAACTACTACAAGTAGACCTGTGATGTTATACAAGACAACTGTCAAGAACTCCTGTTTCCCGCCTCTAAAGAGTACATTATATAGAACATGCGCTTCTTCTTTATTACGCCTAGAGGCTCGCCGCATCAAGATGTAGTACTGGAAACAGGGATACGCTGCTGCAGGGACAGAGAAACGACGCTCACAAACTCGATTCACAGTTTGGCAGCTTACGTCTCTCTTGCTTTATTTAGCGCGTCCGGGTGCACCAGCATTGAATATCTAGCAGTTACGCGTGGTCTTTTTTTAGCGAGCTCTTCATTTTTGACTCCTCGAACCGCGCGAAAAGAACACGCAGCGACGCAGGTAGGACGTCATCTATCGCGAAGCGAGTATCAGTTTCCCTTTTCCTTTCATCCTTTTTCTCCTCTCTATCATCTATGGTAAAATATCCATCGCTTTGTTGACTTGTGGTCACATTTGGTCTGCTTCCCATGAGTCTTAGTATTAAGTATAGGATAGGATAGGATGCCTCGGGTATACACTCTCTAATGAAGTGCATAGCTGTAGCATGATCCACCACAACATTAAATAAATTGACGGCACAGTCAAGAGGAGGACTACCGAACTCAGCTGTAGCATGGTAACGTGTAAAGCGTGCTGACGAGATAAGTGCTAAAGCATCGGCAGTGTGCTGTGTTTGGAGGGGAGGAAGAAGAACGCGAGAATGACATGATAAATATGCTACTAGGACCTCCTATGTACCTGCTGAACCTGAAAGTTGTATGGGCGTAGGAGTTGTGTCCAGTACTCTTACCATAGCAACGCCGTCGCAGCAGTAGGAGTAAGTAGGGTAGTAGAGTAGTGGCCGAAGGGTATAGCAATACCTAACAAATATTTTGACGCTACATTTTTTTCGTTCTTCATTCATTCATTTACCTGCTTTGAAAACAAGGAGCAAAAGGGGAAAATGGGTACTTAATCGATCCAAAACAACAAAAGGCGACCTAAGTATGTAATATGCTGGCACCAACGATTCGTGAGATACTCTACGTACCACCCAAGGAGATAATGAATGATCCAAAACAACAAAAATCTACGATCCTATGATGTTCAAGTCCTCGGTGTCCATGAAGAGTCACATCTTACTCTTAGAGCACCTGTCTAATAGATAGAGAACTCGACGTGCTTCTTAGATTTAGACTAACAGCTTAGCGACCTGTCTTTCCTACCGTTCTGACCTGGTTGCCAACTTCATTGGTAGCTGGTAGTTGGAAGGGACTCGCATTTCCCAGCTGGACTAGTATGGGAGTCGGCCTCGAAGTCTGCTGCCTCGAAGTCTGTCTCTACGGTGGTCGCAAGTGACCATATCAGGGGCAGACACATGACAAACAAGACACGCTTCCAGCGCTTGCAGCCCCACAGGCATCGGCATAAGTCTCGTCTCCGGTAGCTTTTTAAGGTTCCAGCCGCAGAATACATGGCGCCGGGTGATCGTGTGCATTTCCTCCATGCTCGTGGTTCCAGTCTTCAGCCACCGCAAAAGTATACTTTCCTCGGAAGTGCCCGCTTGGCTGTCTCATCGAGAGATACAGGATCAAACCTTGTTCAACGTCCCAGTCGTCAGCACGGTCCGCTCGGAATGGGGCGTCTTCAACCACAGGCAATCGGTATCGGGCAGTTTCATCACCGTCACCATCGAAATACCTGCTTTTCGAGTAACCTAAGAAGCGCGATTCCATCGAGTGCGGACCTGTAAGATACCGCCGGAAGTCCCCGAGCGTCTGTGGAAAATTCTCAAAGCCGCTGCTCTGAGTACGCCGTGGATCTTGACGCACTAGATCGTAGATCTTTGCTAGCATGTCGTCGGAAAGAATCACCTTACTCGCCAGCTCCCTTCTCATCTCACAGTCTGGTTCCCGCTGACCGAGGTCGTGTATTTGCGTAAATTTTCAGCCGAAATCGGGAGCGTGAGATGGCCGACATATTTCGACTCATACGCAGTCTTCCACTCCAGGCTTCGCAACCAGACGACGCGCGCGTCATGCACAGGAACGTCGGCTGCGCCGGGCTCCTCCCCGATTCTCTTCCGTGAGCCGCCTTGTTGTTCCTCGTGCGTTGACAAGACAACTCGAATCGGCACAGTGAGCTCCTCCTTTGGGGCATCTGGGGTCCATTGAAATACTCTCACACCATATACCCCCATCAGCCACGTGGCGCAAGCCAGCAAAAACGGGAGGAGGGAGATCTGAAATCGCACCATCATTTTTATTCCTGGGTAACAATAATTTTCGATGTAATACCAAGCTAGTGAATGTCTGTTGAGTAGGCCTGTTTGAGCTTATTAGGAGTCTAGTTCTTGAGCGTACCGAACGAAGATCTGAGGACGAAGTTAAAAACCTGTTTACGACAGCAGTTTCGGGAGAAGGAGCTACAACAACAGAGCGAGATTTGGTGTTTTAAGTGATGTATAATGCCATAAATATTGGTTTTTCCTCCAATTTAGTAGTAAACAATCTAAGAAGTGCCTGTTTTCTTTATCTGTAAAGAGTGGTGTTGAAAATTCAAATGTAAATGATGTTAAGATTACAACAGGTTCACTTGCGTATCTCTCTGTGACTCTGACAAGGCTGATCCGGTCTGATCTGGGCTGATCTGTTGATCTCGACGATTTAGAAGGATCTTCATTAATTCATTCATTCATTTACCTGCTTGCGAGGTGTTGTTGTCCAGAGTGAGGGGGCTCCAGTAGAGGTAGTGCCTTCAGTGGGACGCTTGATAGGGCCTGACACTGCGCCTCCATCTCTAGAATAAGTCGACTCCCGCTCCCGCTACGCACCTTCCCTTTTGAGTTAGTAGTTTGTATTTGCGGTCGTGTCAAAGAAAGCACCCCCTTTCATTTTAGTAGTTTGTGATTGTCTTCGCAATCGATATCAATATCTCTGCCGCAGCTTTTTTCATGATATCACCAGTAATTTGCGACTCTGTTTCCATATTGCCCACCCTTCTAGCAAGGCTAGTATTGCTTTTTACTTAATAGATACCCCTCCCAGTATCAATCTACTTTTTCATCTTTCTCTTCCCCCTTCTAGTATTTGTATTTCTTTTTTCTTTATACCCCCTCTAGTATTTCTATTTTCTCTATGTTCATTCTGAGGAGAATTGGCATTGGCGCCAATGATATACCCTTACCCAGTACGCCATGGCCATCTTCGCGAAGATGATATTGTAGATAGTGCGCCTTCGTCCTCCTCAGGGAAGAATCGATTATCAATTCGCTCTACTTTGACTCCGGCTATTCTTCTACTACTGCATGCCCCCTCTGTACATAGATAAAACAAGCAATAAATTACGGAGGTTGTAAAACATTCTAGAACCCAAAACGCCAAAAGACTGATCCAAAACGACTATCCAAAACGCCAAAAGACGGCCCAAAACAACAAAAACCCATTTCTTTTTCTTAATACCCCCGGTAGAGTTTCTATTTTTTCCATGTTCATTCTGGGAATGATACTCTTCTAAATAGCAAGGCTGGTCTACTCTCATAAAAATGTTGAAGAGTGACATTCTCTTTTGAGCAGCCTGAGCCTGTCTTACGTCTTTCACCACCTCCAAGATACATCTCCCATCGATTTTGGTGCTTCTCGATCTCGTGTCTTGGTGCGAGCTGTGAAAACCAGCCACATATTCCTAGTATTTTTGAGGAGAATTGGCATTGACGCCGAGGATAAACCTCATGCTGCCTTTTCTTGGTAGGCAGAAAAATCCCTCTCGTAGGAAATGTGAGCGTCACAGCGAAATGCCGAGATGTCGAAGATCGGTCGTCACAACATTCATTTCTTCCTCTCCGTCTTGCGCGCGCTCTAACGATGAATTTGTAAGAAAACGAGGATCACCACCAGAGCCAGAAGATGACGATGCTACAGCTGCAACGACGGTTTCGTCGTCACGAGGTACATCCTCGAGAATCCAGGTCTCTTTGGGTCCGATTTCGTTCACGTCGTCCGCGCCACCATTCCAACCAAAACTTGGCGAGTCCGGATTGAGGTACAAGATTACACCGCCCTCCGCGTGCCACCCCTCCAGGTCGGTACCATCTACGAAAGGGAGTTTAGTTGGTGCGACGAGTATGTTCCCCGACCTGGGACCTGGCGTGTCGTGAAAACGGTTTTTCGAAGGAAATAGGAACTCTGACACCATCAGACCTGGAGATGTAAGCCAGGAGCGAAATTCCTCCAGCGTTTTTGGAAACTCGTCAAATAACGCGTGCTGGCGGAAGTATTCATCTTCACGCGCAAACTTGAAGATCTTTTGAAGCATTTCGTCAGGAAGAATTCTCTTGTCCGCCAGTTCCTGTCTCATGTTCTGCACGATGCCAGAACGTGGGTATTTGCGAAGTTTCTCGACCGAAATGGGGAGCGTCACGTCGCCGATGTATTCCGTCTCGAATGCGACGTAATTGCCCCCCAAATCTTTCCAGATGACGTGGCTCTCATGAAACGAAGGAAGGTCCGCAGACCAGTCTGCCGGCTCGAATCTCTTACCCTCATAAAGTGGTCTTTCCCCTTGCGTTGACAAAATAAGGCGAATCGGCAGAGTCACCTTCTCGCGTTTTGTGAGCATGCCAGGTTGAAGACCAGGATCGGTGTGCGTTTGTTCCTCGGAGCCTTTTCCGAAGCCCGCAGCATAGACCTCAGTCGCCCACATTGAGCAGGCCAATAAGGAAAGGCTGGGAAAGACCTGAAGTCGCACCATTTTATTTATTTCTGGGTAATAATGAAGTCTACCTAGAATAACTCAGAGTCCTGGCCCTCTGTAATAAGTAATATAAATGTTTGTGATGTAATACCTAGCTAGCGACTGAATGGGTGCAACTATCTAGCGATATTAAAAGTCTAGTTCTTGAGCGTACCGAACGAAGATCTGAGGACGAAGTTAAAAACCTGTTTACGACAGCAGTTTCGGGAGAAGGAGCTACAACAACAGAGCGAGACTGGGCGTTGTAAGTGATGGATAATGCCAAAAATATTGGTTTTTCCTCCAATTTAGTAGTAAACAATCTAAGAAGTGCCTGTTTTCTTTATCTGTAAAGAGTGGTGTTGAAAATTCAAATGTAAATGATGTTAAGATTACAACAGGTTCACTTGCGTATCTCTCTGTGACTCTGACAAGGCTGATCCGGTCTGATCTGGGCTGATCTCGACGATTTAGAAGGATCTATTTTTCGATCATCAAGCGATTGAAAAGCGATCTTTGCTTTGCCATTTAGGGAAAAGTGCAAGAAGCCATTGTCTCGATCTTCAAATTTGAAACGGCGTGTAAATAACAGCTTAGGAAGATTATATTTCGATGCATAGGCGCAGAAGAGAAGATCATTGCGGTCTCTTCCTTGACTGCGAGGCTTGTAGAGCATAAGCCTTCCACTGTGTGAAATTCACATCGCCTCTTTTTTTGTTGGACGCTTTGTCTGTCCAAAAAAAAAATATCTTCATGTACAGGAGGGTAATGAAAGGATCATGGACAAGAGGACAAGGGCGGGATCAAGTACATAAAGTCAATAGTTCTCGTGAGGTGTCGCCGCAGACCTGCTCACCCAGTGCGAAGCGCACATCGTCGCTTGGCCTGCTCACCCAGAAGCACAATGCGCTCTGATAATGCGCACATCATCAATGGGTCTATCTTTGCCGTCAGTCTGGACTAAGCCCATCTTCTCCACTACCCTCATCCCAGTGAGGACACGTCCGAAAATCGTGTGCTTTCCGTCTAAGTGGTTACATGGCGAGAGCGTGATAAAAAACTGAGAGCCATTGGTGTTCGCTCCCGCGTTCGCCATAGACAATATGCCTGCACCTGCCATATAATAGGTATTTGACGTACTATCATATTTCGTCTTCGTCACGGTGTACTTTTACTTGTGAAGATATAACAAAAAAAGTAATTTACTGTGCCTGTAGTAACATCTACCTCCTGCGTGCTTCAGTCCTCATAATGTTGGTGGAGCAGACCTAACTAGGAGAAACAAAACCGAAAAAAGACAAACCAGTCAAGTACTTATCTAGACTGCAGCTAGTACCTGTGTGCTTCAGTCCTTGGTGTATTTCGTCGTTGAATTTTCCTCCTGGATAGATGCATTCGCCGCCTCTTCCCGTTCCCGTGGGATCCCCACCTTGGATCATGAAGTCTCTTATTATTCTATGCATTAGAGGTTTCAAATTATTCAATTCTTCAGAGCAGTTTGGTAACTTCTTTCCTATCGGAAAGCAACGGGACGTATATTACAATCGAGGAGTTCTAGCGATGTTATTAGTTCTATCCTAGTAGTCCCTGAACTATAATCTATTATTAAGCTATAATTTTTCATCTTTCTAAGGTGCAAAAACTGTAACGCGCGCGCGCGCGTTACGCGCGCGGGTTACGCGCGCGCGCGCGTTACGCGCGCGCGTTATAACGCGTCACGCGCGCGCGCGTTACGCGCGAAATAAGGCGCGCGCGTTACATGCGCGCGGCGCGCGCGCGTAACGCGCGCGCGGGGGGGTGCACTCGCGACCGGGCTCGCCGGGGCGGGGC